CTTCTAAAATTTGGTACGAATAGAAGTAAACACTCAGAAAATAACATACTCGTGAACATAAAGATAGAAAATAATACTATAGAAGAAGCTGACAGTATAAAATTTTTAGGTATAACTCTGGATAGATATTGTAACTGCAGACAACACATAAATGATGTTTGCCTCAAACTAAGTAGATTTGTTTACGCCCTTAGAAAGCTTCGTACCGTGTCTAATGAAAAGACTGCAGGTGTAGCTTATAAAGGTTACGTAGATTCAATCCTTAGATATGGGTTAATAATATGGGGGAATTGGACTGATGTTGATCAAGCCTTTATTGCCCAAAAGAAATGTTTAAGAGCTGTTTGTGGAGTGAGTCCACTTGACTCTTGTAAACCGTTGTTTAAAAAACATAATTTGCTGACATTGACCTGCATGTATGTTTTTGAAGTATCAATCTTTGTTAGGAAATATAATAATTTCTTTAAATTCAAGTGGGATCATGTTACTAAATACAGACCAAGAGATCCTACGAAAGTAATGATTCCATTTTGTAGAATATCTTTTGATGAAAAAGAATGTGTATCACATGTGCATATCAGTTTTTAATAAACTGTATAAGAGTAGTCTTGTGCTTAATCGGACATCTGCAGGTTCGCACCGTACTAGTACAATTCGTACAACGTACTAGCACACCGTAATAGTACTATTAGTACAGTTATAGTAGAAGTAGAAAACTTAAGCGTTTGTATTGATATTACCAACATTAATGAAACGGAATACTAATAATTAAATAAATTAAAATACGTAATTTAAAAAAAAATGTTATAGTTTTCTTTTTAATATAGATGGCTTTGTATTAGGCAGTTACTTTTCTTCAGTATAGAAATAATTACACAGTTCTTGATTATTTTTAATGTGTTATCCCTTTCTGAATCCCATAAACCCTAACAGTTTGACTTTTAAATACGATTTTTTAGATTACTTTACACTAAATTTTTAAGCATACTATCGTATTTGATTTTCCTTCATACTTTACAACCCAACGTATTGTAGTACACCTGTATCGCTGTCCCTTTTACTCTCACACTGTTTACCAATACGGAACAATAAAGCGGAGCATTAACAGTACGTCGCACAGCGAACGAACGTGGACACTAGTAGACAGAGTAAACAATAGATAGTTTTAGTACTGGCTTGAAGTTGACACTGTGTACTAATAGTTAGACTTGCAACGAATATTCGGTTACTATTCGGTATTCGGCCTATTCGGCTGCTTTTATTATATTCGGCCGAATACCGAATATCTACATATTATTCGGCCGAATACCGAATACTTAAATAATATATTTTGTCATTGAGAAATAATTGGTAAAATGAAAAATTAAAATCGATTGATTACGTATATATTCATATTTTCATTTCTGTGATAATCATTTAAGTAGTCATTGGTGCATAACACAGGTACATAATCATCTTCTGAATTGGAAAAATGGAGGATTTTATGTATTTGAATTATTGTGGTAATCAAAATTTAGAAGGGTAAGGTTCTTATTTCTTTTATAATCATTTAATAATTAGTCATTGGTACATAAAACAGGTACATAATTTAATTCACGTCTGTACAAGTTTTTGGCGCTAAAATCCAGCCGAATACTTTTGCCTAATATTCGGCTATTCGGTCAGGGGCCTCACCGAATATTCGGTATTCGGTATACTGCCGAATATACTATTCGTTGCAAGTCTACTAATAGTGCAAAATGTCCGATTAACAGCTGCCCTATCCGTACATCGTACGTGTACTACCCAAGACCTAAGAGCCTAAGGGAACTTCCATTTAAATATTTTAAAATTAAGTTATGAAAATGGCTAGTTGATAAGTGCTTTTATACAATGAAAGAGTTCATGCAATATAAAACTGATGTATATGATCATTTGTAGATTTAATAAATTAGATCAATTAAATTTAATAATTTAAACACTAAATATGTAATAACATTTTTTTGACATTTTGTTAATTTTATTAGTTAATGTTTGAGTCTCTATATAAATATTTGCATGCCTAGTACAGGCAGAATATAGCTTGAACATTATACACCTTTGTAAATTCTGGTACCACCTGTATTCTGTGGAAATAAATGTTTCTTTCTTTAAAAAAAAAAAAAACAAATGCGTGAACGCAAGCTAATTTCGTGAACTACTAAAAATGTACGGGTTTGCTCGTACATAGGTTATGTATTTATTTTGAATGTGTTATTTATTACGAATAAAAAAAGTCGGACGGAACTCTCGCTAACATACAACTGAGGCACCGTAATGGCGGCAGCTTAGTCATCTGTGGTGTGAATGAATTTTTGAGTTGCCAAGTTATCCAATTTTATTTCCTAAAAACACAGTGAATAAATAAAAATATTATATTTGTTCGAAATTTTACTGTTTAATGTCCTAAATGCCGAGTCATTTTTTTTATAATAATGTTTTTAAAATACTTTGAGAGGTTCTTGAAATTTCCTCTAATTTCGAGATGTGAATCATTAAAGGTTTTTCCTTTACATACTCGATAAGACTTACTTTGTGTTCTATTCCGACGGAAGTATGTTCAGATTCTAAGTTTAAAAAATGATTTCATTGCCAACAGACTTTCTAGAATTTTTGTGATAATATATTTGTGTTTTCTTTATTTTCACCAGTACAATTTCTAATTATTTGAATCCAATCATTTCTCATTACTCCATTTTCCTTAGAAAATTTAGTAAAAGAATATGAACCAGGTATCTAGTAGTAACTATTAAATAAATAACCTTAATAAATTAATTTTAATAACAAACCAAACATTTCCATTGCTTGGGGTAATTTGCAGTCGTGAAAGTTGGCAGCACTTGGCTTATAATGAATTCTTTTGTTCTAGCGAATGCTGATTAATTTTAATGTATAAAATCTGGAAAGAAGTGCTTGTATTATTCATTTACCTATGAAACGTGATTCCTGGTTAATTTTTCTTTCGATCAGTACGGTTGAAAACATGTTGTCTATTTATATGTTTTCGCCGCGTAATGCGTCTCGCTGTCTTAGTGTTTGCGAGCGTAATGGCCGACTAATGTGTGTAAGTGTGCGTACCGGCCTGTATGTACAGCGAGCTGGCCGACTATGAGTGAAACAGCTTTTTGTTAGCGAGACTGTCCGACTTTTTTTATATGTCCATGTTGCCACATCTAAGTATGTCTTCGAGAAACAAATAGGCACGTAAGGAAGTGCTGTGAAAACTGATCATTGTTTGACACTGACCGTCTTGGTGAGAAATCAACTCTATTTTAAAAAGCTTTTTACGTTTAATATCTTTCGCTACATAATCTGGTTAGGTCGGAGTTTTTTAAATTATTTTAGTCTTTTTCGATTACGTTTACACCATCGTTGGTCCAACAAAAAAAAATTGCACTATGTATATGTACTATGTATATGTCTACGTACTTTATTTCATAGTGATAATATATTATGTATACAAATTTAACACTTTACTTTGCCTGGTACTTTGTTATAACTCGATATCATTGCGTAGAAAGAAAAAGATAAGTTAATATGATGTTCAAAACATTTAACTGCAGCTCTATTCTAGTCGTCAAAGAGCAGAAAAGACAGAGATGACTGTAGAGAAGACCATATTCGACGTGGGCTTTTTCTTTTTTATTTAATTTTTATTTTTAGAGTTACGTCACTACTCTTTTAAGAAATACTCACCTATCGATTTCAATCGAGTTTATTTAATATGTAGTAACTAATATAAAAGGAGTGCTACCGCCTGGCTAATGGACGGCCTTGTCATTACAAATCAAATAAGCCCAAACTCAATGGTTTTACTAATAATTAATTAAATTAACATTTAAGGAGTTCCACTATATTCCTTTTTGCTCGATCATAAGACCCTCGCCACAATGCGTAATGAAACGGGTTCGTAAAAACCAATCTAAGGAGTCCAGAGACGAAGAGTTTGATAAAAGTACCTGTGGTGATAATTTTTTTGCAAATTCAGAGCTATTTCAACTGGACTACGGTGGTTGCTCCTTCTATTCAAACAAAAATTACCCGTTCTTTATTTAAACAAATGTAATTTTCTCGAATGCTCTGAAAATTTGGATATTTGTAGTTAAATAGACCTTAATAAATAGATGCCGAAATTATAAGATTTCTCAAAAATAAAAAACCCCCTCCCAAACGGTTTGCCAAAAATTTACAACATTTTGACCTAAAAATGTAACTGAAGTTACGAGAGTACAATACTGACAACATATCCAAATTTCAGCTTTCTACCACTTCCGCAACGCGAGTTATCAATTTTCCAAGTTTTGAAATAAAAACGTGTTTTTTTACAAATTTCGAATGATCTAATGGTCCGATATTGCTTTCCGAGGATTCATTCACTTTTTTTTTTTGTTATTGCGCAAATTTGTTACATTCAACTATTTTCATATAAGCTTGAGTTTTTGCTCCAGACGTGAAAAACTTTGTTTTACTATGTTCTTCGAGTTATTTCCGAGGAAATAAAAAATTGCACTTCACCTAAACACTAGTAAATTGGAATAAGTTGTGTTCTTCATCCAGTAATTTGCCAGGTTTGGAGGTGAAATACTTTCTTAACTTAAAGTAAGTGTTGTTCTAAAAGTTAGCCCTACTAACTTTAAGAACAACAATTAAAATAAAATTGATGATACCCAAAAATATACAGTCAAAATGAGAATCTTTTTGAAGTTGTAAAAAAATCACTTTAAAGGCGAAAGACCATCTCTTTCAAATTCGTTCGTAGTCGACTTACTAATGAGTTGCCTCGAGCAGATCCATCACTAATCTGTACACAGTTGTCAAAACAAGTCGATCGGTCGGCGGTTTCGCGGGCTATTTATTTCCTTGCAGGCAACAGATTACAGTGTTTTTAAATCAATCAACTCTAACATACCTTGTTTAACTCTTTGTTCAGATTAAGCGCTGTGCCTAAGTGATTATCCATAATTGTGTATAATAACGGAAAAATGAGTCACCAGCTATCAGAGGGTTCCCTACAGGTATGTTCTAATAAAACGATGTAACTATAAACTTTTTGCATTTTGAAACATTTCTAGTTGTCTAAAAAACAAATTAGTACCTGAATAGACACACTCAAACCAAGTTTTATGGTGGCTATGGGCATAAAAGCACATATCAGTTGCGAACATTTAGACATGTTGCTACATGTTCATCACAGTCTTATCACGTAGTACATTGTCATTAAATATGTTTTGTGTACAGTATGTATTGTGATATATGTAAAAATCTGCATTAGCTGTTTATGACTTACTATTTAATATTTATACTATCAGTCAGTTTATATATAAGTGTAGTAGGCTGTATTATAAAATAGTAAACAACTGCACACACTTAAACTTAATAAAGCGTTGATTGTAGCACATGACTGTAATAGCTCATTAATTATCAATATAAATACATAATTATATGTTGTTACATTCCAATTAGACTTGCATCACATGTTAATCACACCCACAATTCAAAAATCTTGTGTCAATAGCTTATTTATAAATCATAATCTAGTACTTCAAATAAAGTATAATATTTTCAGTTCCATTCTGAGTTCTTTGACTGAACTATCATGTAACTTATATTGCCTTTTTTGGTTGCTTACAGGTTATAATGAATGGTGGAGTTTATGATAAGCCTGTAATGCAAGTATTGGGCAGCAAAAAGATCCAAGGTAGCGGAGCTAATGAAAGATTCCGATTATTAGTGTCTGATGGGAAGCACTCGCACAGCTTTGCTATGCTTGCAACACAACTAAATGATAAGTTGATCTCAGGAGAGTTATCTGATTATTCCGTGGTTCAGATTGACCGATTTGTCACATCCGTTCTAAAGAACACTGGTAAAGGAGAGAAGTAAGTATCTTCTTTGATTCTGAAATTAAACTCCCACAAAAATTTCGCTGCCTAATACGTCGCCACAGAATGTTTTGTTTATGAGTTGTTTAACGATAGAAGCTTTCAAATACGAACGATTCGACGACAAAACGTTTTATATAAAACCTAATCAACAACAGAACCTTTCCATTACGAACTTTTCGCCGACAGAACAATTCATTAATGAGTAAATCGACGAAAGAATCTTATAACAAAAAAGAATTCATGGATAAAGCGTATTTAGATTTAGGCATTTCTTATCACTACTAGTGACTAAATCTGAAGATTATACGTTTTGAGGTTCAATGAAAAATATTTGCAAATGAAAATAAGTTATCATTAACAATTACCTACAGAACATGGTTTCAAATAACACTTCTAAAGTTCATAGGACACATTATCAGACTTCCCTTCCTGGGACTGTACTGTGTTTTTAAATAATAATTTGTAAGTTTTTAATATTTTAAGCATAAATATAGTGTAAATTTACCGTAGTGTTGCAACTCTTCAAATTCATTTGTATACAAAGTCAGTAAATGATGATGTGGACATAAAATCCTTCCAAAATGTCTGGGCGCACATTTCTCATTTAAATAATACAAAATAATGTGTAGTAACAAGTAGTAGTATTACTCATTAATGAATCGTCCTGTCGGCCAAACGTTTGTAGCGGAAAGGTTGTGTCGTTGATTAAGTCTTATATAAAACGTTTTGTCGGCAAATCGTTCCTGTTTGAAAGGTTCTGTCGTTGAACAACTCATACATGAAACATTCTGTCGGCGACTAATTCTGTTAAATTTCAGAATCATCTTCTTTTAACTACTTTGTTTTCCTCTATTACCCTATTATAAAGGGTTTTCCAATAAGAGGTGTTATTTTAGTATTCAAAGAAAAATGCATTTTTTTAAGATAAATAATCGGCTGTTTATTTTATAATAAAGAGGAAGGTATGCCGTTAATAATGGAAGATAACATCAGCCAAATGGCTACCACGACCACGCTTACAGGACCATATCCTTTTAATGAAATTTTGCATAACCAAATCGCTAAGTGGCTGCCCTATGTCCTCGATAGCCTCACGAATTCCATCTTTGAGGTCTTGAATCAACGCTGGACTGTTGGCGTAGACCTTATCTTTCACGTGGCCCCAAAGGAAGAAGTCGTAAGGTGTTAAATCACAAGATCTCGGTGGCCAATTGTGATCACCTCTTCGAGAGATAACACGGTCAGGAAACTTTTCCCGTAAAAGAGCAATGGTTTCGTTGCTTGTGTGGCACGGAGCGCCGTCTTGTTGAAAGTAAACGTTGTCCAGATCAATACCATCCAACTCCGGCCATAAAAAATCATTAATCATATCTCGATAGCGCAATCTATTCACCGTAAGTGTTGATCCAACCTCATTTTCGAAAAAGTAAGGTCTAATGACCCCGCCGGACCATAAACTGCACCAAACAGTCCCACGTTGAGGATGGAGAGGCCTCTCAACAATAACTCTTGGGTTTTCCGAGGCCCAGATGCGACAATTTTGCTTGTTGACGTAGCCTCCTAGGTGGAAATGGGCCTCATCAGTCAAGATGATTTTTCGATGGAATGCCGGATCATTTTCATGCATTTCAAGTACCCAATCAGCAAAGACACGACGTTGTTGATGATCGGCCGGCTTGAGTTCTTGTGTTAACTGAACTTTATAAGCCTTAAGACCCAAGTCTTTATGCAAAACCCTTTTAAAAAAAAAGTTGAACCGACTTCAAACAACACCGACAAAGAGCACTAAAAATTAAAAAATAATTACAAATCTAAGTAAAAAACTATAATAAGTACCCTCAATGTAACAGGTAACATTATAATACCAATAGTCCCTTCTAGTCTGTTTGCAGTCGGTGCCAAGCCAAATAGGTGCTTGATAGGCATGGTAGAATGTAGCGCGGCAGCTGCAACAGTCTTCATGCTGCGCAAAACATGTTGAACGAGCTAAAGTGGACGCACATCTCCAATTATATTATTATTTTGAATGCTTTAATAAGTAGTTGATAAATTTGCGCACGTAATTTATCTGGTTGGTCTTTATTAATTAACAAAATCTTCGATGTTTCATTAGAATTATTTTGAATTCTTAATTTTTCATTGTGCTAATATAAAACTGACATAGACCAGTCTTACTTATTGTGCATCGAGCTTGGCACCGACTTCAAACAGACTAGAAGGGACTATTGGTATTATAATGTTACCTGTTACATTGAGGGTACTTATTATAGTTTTTTACTTAGATTTGTAATTATTTTTTAATTTTTAGTGCTCTTTGTCGGTGTTGTTTGAAGTCGGTTCAACTTTTTTTTTAAAAGGGTTTATTTTACCATTTTTAGTGTAGGATATGTTTGTAATGAGTAGATAAGTACGATATTTAAAACACTACGTACCGTAATGTATAGTAACAAACTGTAGTTTGTTAGATTATATTAAATATTATATTTAATTACTGCTGGACATAGGCCTCTCCTTAAAAAGTTGACCCACACAAAATTTAAGAGTTTTTTCCAGAACTATTTTAATAAATTAAGTATAAAATTACTTACAAACGAAATGCGATGCCATCCATAGCAACTAAACGTCTATCCGAATTATTTTAACAAGATAGAATACAAAATTTCAACCTTTTCTTCTTAATTACTATGGGGACATAAATACTGCAAGTTCTCTGAGCATCACATCGCGCAGTCTCTGACGTTTGCCATGGTTTGTTTGGCTAAAGAAATACTCGTAGCTAAAACACGTTGTCGGGGCTGTCAAATTCCCAATAATTGTGGGGTTTCCCTCGATTTCTCTAGGATTCCATCATCAGATCCTGAATTGGTGGTAATGGGACCAATTCGGGAGCATACCCTTTCGATTACAAAAAGAATTTTGAAAATCGGTCCACAATTGACGGAGAAATCGCGGAACAAATATACTTCTTTTGTGTTTTGGAAGTCGGTTAAAAAGAAAACATACTGTCGAATCAAAAACCCTCCTTTTTTGATGTTGGTTAAAAATCGACTAGCATGAAGCTCCTAGTCGAGACGAATCAAATGAGCACAAACACGGCGGAATTGCTTTATTTTATTACAGAATTCCCATGGCTATTTACCGTCTCCATCATCAGACCCTGAATATCACATAGGATCGGAGTCCTTATTAATTAGACTCAAACACATTCAAATTCGATGGTATTACATAATTTTGTTACAGAGATCCCATACTCCTAAACCATTCATCATCAGCTTCATCATCAGCTCAGCAACATCAGATGGTGACCATTAGATGCAAAAATCTACATAGATTAAGATAATTTCTGATAAACAGTGTATATGCCTACAAAATTTGAGGGTTTCCCTCGATTTCCCCAGGATCCCATCATCAGATCCTGACCTGGTAACAATGGGACCACCTCTGACGTATGACCTACCAAATAAAAAAAGAATTATTCAAATCGGTTTATAATTGCCGGAGTAATCGCGTAACAAATATACAAAAAAAAAAAAAAAAAAAAAAAATACAGTCGAATTGAGAACCTCCTCCTTTTTTTGAAGTCGGTTAAAAATACGGTATAATGACGTTTGTGGAATGCCCAATTCCAAAGTACGACGAGGAATGGACAAACCTGCGTTTTCTTCAACACTTTGGGCTACAGCAGCAATATTCTCAGTTGTTCTTGAGCGACGTGCACGGGTTTTATTCTTCACATCACTAACTTGTCCCAACAGCTCGAATTTTTCCACCAATTTCTGTATTGCGGTCCGACAAGGTGCTTCACGACGACCAAAAAATACTTTAGTTTTGCGAACTGTGACTGCAAGATTTTCACCATTTTTGTAGTGAATTTTAATAATTTCAATGCGTTGTTGAAGTTTGTATCGTTCTATTTTTAGTAATGGCGTAGTTTCTACTTGTCAAATGTCAAAAAATAAAAGCTTCAAAAGTGACAGCTACCGAAATACCGGGTGATTCAAAATAACACCTCTTGTTGGAAAACCCTGTATACCTATTATCTATTATATTGATAGATTGTTGATTTACATCAGAGATGCACAGACTGCGGCCCGCCGGTCGAATACTGCCGTCAGCAAAAATAATACTCTCGTACATTCGAAAAATATTGAATTCTGTTCCAGAATAAAACCAAAAAAAATTTGTTCGAAAAGTAATTTGAATCTCGCGCGCGCGCTCTTAAGTGCGCTTATCGGTGCGCCGTGCATGCGTCGGTAACAGCGGTCGGTAATGTTCGTGCTGATCTCGGTTAAATTCGTTTTCTTGAGGAAGAGCCGCGACGAGGACAGCGCGGTGGCGGCTTATCCACGGGTTATATTGTTAGAGCAAGCGAGATAGCAATAGTCCCAAATTCTCGATTGCTCGCGTAGGTAGATACACGAAGCTTCCAGGGTCGGTTTCGAGATTTCTCCAGACAGTTTTCGACTCTATACGCGCGGTATAAAAGCCACGCTAACCGCAGCGATCGACAGTTCGGTTTTAATTTGAGTGAAGTGTCAATAGTTCTAGTGTAGATTTTAACTCGACTAGCCGGTGTCATATATTTTGATCCACATTCAACGTAGATTTTCCGTCAAGTGCCGTGTATAATTGTGTTGTGTAATCGTAAGTAAAACTCTGTTATTAATAAGTGTTTCCCTATCTATTTAATCAATTATTTTTGGTAATTTAAAAAAGGATGGGTAATTTAAGTAGGTACTGTAATTGTTTTTAGGTGCTGTGTTAATCCTAGCCAGGATTAGAACGCAACATGGACAAGCCAGGACCTAGTAAAAAACGTAAGGTTAAAGATGAAAATCGGCAGTTTCAAGAAATTTGGACTGAGAAATACTTTTTTGTATGGTCGCATAACAAAGTCGTTTGTTTAATTTGCAAGAATTCTGTTGCAATTGCAAAGGAATATAATGTAAAAAGGCACTATGAAACGCGGCATCCTACTTTTACCAAGTTTACAGGCGAATTAAGAAAGCAAAAAATGTTGTCTTTAAAACGGGAGCTTATTGGCTAGCAAGCTATGTTTGCAAAACCCATTCAAGATTCAGAAACAGCTACAGAACTTAGTTATGAAATTTCTCGAATGATAGCAAAGCGAAGTCGCCCCTTCAATGATGGGGATTTTGTAAAAGAATGCATAGAAATTGCCACTAAGGAAATGTGCCCAGAAGCAGCAAAAAAGTTCGAGAAAATTCAACTTAATCGTATGACTATCCAAAGACGAATTATGTCCTTGTCAGGTATTATTGCGGAATAATTAAATGAAAAAACTAAGATCATTGAATTTTTTTCATTAGCACTCGACGAATCCACTGATATTAGTTCCACAGCTCAACTTCTCATATTCATACGAGGTGTTACTCAAGATTTTGAAGTCTTAGAAGAGTTATAAGGAATGTGTTCATTGAAAAGTCAAACCAGAGGAGTTGATATACTCAATGTACTTTTGGATGAGTTTTCAAAAACTAATTTGGACTTATCAAAATTATCGGGAGTTGCGACTGACGGTGCTCCTTCGATGATTGGTGTCAATTCTGGGCTAGTTACTATCTCATGCAGTTTCACTGCATTATACACCAAGAAAGAGGGCTTCTTCTAAAAAAATTGAATTTCAAAATGTCATGAAATTGGCAGTTTCGACTGTAAATTTCATAAAATCACAAGGACTCAATCACAGGCAATTCAAACAATTCCTTGATGACATCGAAAGCGAATATGGAGATTTACTGTATTATACAGAAGTAAGGGGGCTAAGTCGTGGATTGACACTGGAACGATTTCTAAATTTAATAGAAGAAATTAAAATATTTCTGGCGGAAAAGCAAAGGGATGTCCCGGAACTTAAAAATCCTGATTGGTTGTGTGATTTGGCTTTTTTAGTTGACATTACAAATCATTTGAATGTCTTGAACACACGGCTTCAAGGCAAAAATCAACTGATATCCCAGCTCTACGCTCATGTAGCATCCTTTCAATGCAAGCTGACACTTTTCAGATCGCAATTGAATTCTGGAAATTACCATCATTTTCCGAATTATAAGAAAATGGCTAAAAAATTCAACACAACTGCGATGAATTTCAGTTATGTAGAAAAGCTAGATATTTTGATTCAATCTTTTCAAGACAGATTTTCGGAGTTTAAAAAAGTAAAACCTCTGTTGGACATATTCAGCAATCCTTTCACGATTTCAGTTAAAAATGCGCCCGAGTCAATGCAGTTAGAAATTATCGACATTCAAAACGACCAAGATTTACTGAACTTTTACCGCTGCATTGATAAAAATACGTACAAAGAGTTGCGCATAAACGCTCTGAAATGTGCCAGCTTATTTGGTTCTACCTATACATGTGAACAAACCTTTTCAATACTAAATAATAATAAAACAAAAAATCGAAACCGTCTTGCAAATGAAAGTTTGGAAGCAGTTTTACGTGTTGCTACAAGTAAATTTGAGCCAAATATAAAAAAGATTGACAGCACTATGCAGTGCCACGCTTCAAATTAATACATTCTTTTTCAATTTTAATACATATTTATCAATTCTTTATTGTCTTTAATTACCTATACTTCTGGCGGCCCGCCATCAGTTCATAATTTGCCCCAGTGACCCTTAGTCTTAATAAGTCTGTGCATCCCTGACATATTAAACCTTATTCTGCATACTCTTAATTAAAAGCAAATTGCAAGTTTAGTTGCCAACTAATTGTTAGTAGTAGTAGATATTATATGGGGCTGTCTAGACCCAAACTATCCAGAGCTTGTAGTGCTTGTATTATGGGCTCTACAATACCAAGTTTTTTTGTGAATGCATATAATATTAAAAATACATATGGGTGAGTACGTGCGGGCAGACCCAACAAAACATATGCTGAATAGATTGCTGGTTTATTTAAGAAAAGCCTCATTAAAAGCACGTAGAATCTGTAAGCAAGTATGAAAGGCCATTGGAATGTAGAAGAGGGTGCAAGCTGTATGTTGTGTCTCTGCCTGCATTGAACTGGTGTGAGGCATGGATGTATGTATGTATATTTTGTACATAAAAACATTGAGAACAATATTTCACTGATTGCACAAGGTTTGATGTAACAGTCTTAAAGTCCATGAAACTAATTGTAATATGGTATGTACAACAAAAATATCTCTGTAATTTATAACCTGTCGTTTATGAAACAAAGAATTATAACTTTTACAGGCGTGTTATGATCATCTTGGATCTTACAATAGTGGCGCCTGGTAGTGAAGTGGGTAAAAAATTGGGTAATCCGCAAACTTGGACAGAAGAATCTGCTGCTGCAAGTACTACTTCAACTCCTGCGCCGACGCCTCGCCCTGTCGCTGCTACACCTAAACCTCAAATGGCTGCAACTGCTCCTGCCAACCTCGACAGCAGCCTACTCTCGTCACAAATGACTCACCCTATCGCTAGCCTTAGTCCATACCAGAATAAGTAAGTGGTGATTATATATTATAAACTAGATTATATTCGTGCTAATGGTTTCACTCGTCACTGCTAGTCAGAATCCTGAATCAAAAGATTCTGGATATCCATCCAGTTCTTGCAGTTGCAGTACTCATGTACATTTTAAATGGTAGCTTCCACAGGATTAAATGGACTTGCTGGCAAAATTTTACAATACATACCTTCAAATATTTATATATAAATACCATTTTAACATCTGACCGAGCGAGCTCATTAGTCCAATCATATTTGAATTAACCAATAATGGTGGGGAATACCGGCTTTGATGTTACACACTTCCGTTTCTTGTACGAAAACGAGAGGGAAGGTGAATGACATTAATAATAAACATTCTAGTACCACATTACCTTCTACCACCTAGGTTTAAACGATGTAAAGCAAGTAAAATTGTTCCAGATGGGTAATAAAGGCCCGAGTAATGAACAAATCGTCAATACGTACTTGGAACAATGCAAGAGGTGAAGGAAAATTATTTAGTATGGATTTGTGTGATGAGAGCGGTGAAATAAGAGCTACTGCATTCAAAAATGAATGTGATAAATTCTACGATTTGATACAGGTACCTATGAGGAAACTAATAGTAATAAATAGCATGTAGACAAAATTCTCCAAGCTCCTCTGGAATGTTAGATATACATCTACATCACGGCTGCTCAACTTCTTTAACAGTCGGGTCTATAAAAATAATTATGTTTTGTTTTTTACTCTCAAAGTCTTGAAATCTGCTCTCAAACGACTGTAACAAATATCTAATTTTAGATTCGTACTTTCGAACCATTGATATTGCAGATTATGAGCTTCTCTTTGAAATCTTTGAGTGTAGGAAAAAGGTCAATATTTTTCCTTGCTAAATTAAATAGCTTTGAATCCGCTTATCAAATTAAACATTGTCGAAAGTAACAATTTTTGCCTTGTAATTTGAGATTCAAAATTTTGAGATAATTCGTAATGTCGTCGTCGTCAAGAAGGGCAAGATCGCCCAACTAGGATGTATTCTTCAATAATTACTAATTTCTTTAATATTCCTAAAAGGTCGGCAACGCGTTTGTGACTCCTGAGTTGCAGACGTTCATGGGCGGCGATAGTCACTTTCCATCAGGTGACCCGTCTGCTCGTCTGCCCCCTCTAACATAAAAAAAAAACACTTTCCATAATAATTCCAAATATACCATCTGCTCTCTTAAGTTGAAGAAATGGTTTAACATGTTGCCCCTTGAAAGCCAACACACAGCGTAGTATAATTGTAACTCTCCATATTCGCTGATTTCTTCTTCAAATAAAACTCTGTGTATACGTCTATGAAGAGCTGTTGTACGTATGTAATTTATGCAACGTACTACTGGATCCATAATATCATCTAACTACATATCCTTTGCACACAAATAGTATTCGATCTAAGAGATTCTGTGACAAAGCTATGCAACCATTGTTTTTTTCCAGTATTGCATGTGCACCCGTGCAATTAGATATGATTTTATCGCATGATAAAAAAAAACTTTAATGCATTCCCTGTTTGCTTCTTTAATAATTTCTCCATCAGAAAAAAGTTTATTTTTTCGCTAAAAGAAAATAAATCTAAGAAAATGTTTTCGTCGTGGATTCAAGCTCGTCATGGTTTTTAACGAAGATATTTCGTTGATTGAATAATTATCTTTTTTTTTCTTTAAAAAATCCTTTCTGATAGCACTGCCAACAGGGTACATTTTTTCAAAATTATTATGATTCTGCTTATAATGCCTTTCTAATTATTATTTTTTGCAACAGTGAAGCAAAGTAAACAAATTGGTTTATGCGCCTTGCTTTCAGTAAAGAGTATTTATTTTCCCATTCATTATGAAAAATACTGTAGGACTGAACAGGACAGCCATACTGAAACAAACAACATTGGTACTTACCTATTTTAAATGGAAAATAGTATTTTATGTAGACAAGCGCTCTTAAAATGAAAACTTAATTTTTATCTTACAATCAAATGAGTAAACCTACCTTTGAACGCCAATATAAACACTTCTTCTAACAAAAGCTGACTAGTTACTAGACTAACTAGACTGATGTTTGGTCCAGTTCAAGATCACGAGTAAAAAAAATTAAGGAAGATAATTAAAAAATAGATATTTAATTAAATATTAACTATATAGTTTCTCGTAATAGTTAACGGGGAACGAACGAGCGAGTGGGCGGGCTGGGGAGTCGTACCAGGGTCACTTCCTTCTTTTTTTTAAACTCCCGCACTAGGAACAAATCATGTGTCGCGGGGGACTTTACAAACATACATTAAACGGACACAAAGAACACCCAGACTCAGAACAACAATTTTTGAATGACACAAAGTGTTGTCCCATATGGGGATCGGACCCACAAAACGCGGTGTGCAGGTGACCGCTTAAACTATTAAGCCAAGTTAAAATTCGCCTGCGGTTGGTAGCGCGGGCGATTTAAAATACGTCTGCGGGCCATAGTGTGGCCCGTGGGCCTGGAGTTGAGCAGCCTTCATCTACATCATTATCTACTGGATTACTAATGTTTGGGCAATAAACGTTTCCCATAATATCACATTGAAAACTATTTAACGCAAATTTTCATTTGGCAAAAATACATTTAAAACTATACAACTTATTGCAATTTTTCAGTTAGTAAAAGTCATTTTTGGCAAGTTATTACTCGGTCATGTTTCAAGTATTATTACCAAGTATTATTTAGTCAAATGTATCGTTTCCTTGTGAATCCAAATTAACAGCAAAAAAAACTGAATATAAACATTCTGAACAGTTCGTTTCTGGCGTTACGCCTGCCGCTGCCACGGAACGCTCGCTTCCCTCGCTCGGATCGCGCGCTGTTGGGGTTGCAGTTCTAATCTAACCTACTTTTCTGGCAGCAGTTCACACAAAAAAAAACAATTATTTGGAATATAAAATTTGCCAAAATGAAATGTTTTTTTCATAAATATTTGACCTTACAAAATTTGACAGAGTAAAATGATGCCAAATGATAATTTGACCAAGTGAATAAAATTTAAATTTGCTAAAGATTCATTAGGGCAATGAAACTATAATAAGTTTTTTAGGAAGTGAAATTTGACGAAAAGTATTTTGTCCAAAAGGCTATACTAGACCAACAATATAGTAACAACAAACATATAGAAGTATCATAAAACTTTTTGCAATAGTTTTGCATAAACAAGTAGAACAAGTACGTAATATGTGGATATAGTAGTAACTAACGTAACTTCTGAATGAATGACTTTATATAGATAATACGAATTCACATAAATAATTGTTTTATAGATAATTATTAGAACCAATAAACAGATACCACAATCTCCATCTTACAGATAGACAAAGTATATTTTATAAGTCGCTGTCAACTGAAGACAGCTAACAAGCAATATACAAGCCTAAAAAATGATTACGAGATGACATTTACTGCTAATACAGTTGTTGCCGAATGTATAGACGACCCTGGTTCCGTGCCTTCCGTCAAATACGATTTCATCGCAATCAACGATATTACTTCAAAAACTCCCGACTCTTTACTTGGTAAGCTTTTTATACCTAACATATTTATATTAAGTTTAACAATTCTACATATAGTAAGCCCTTAGCGGTCCTTATGACAAGTTACAACACCAGAGATCACCGTTATTTGCTAAAACGGGAGTTCTCCTTTTTATAAACGAGTTGAGAAATGTTTGCCTTAAACAGTTAAACAGAATTTTATTACACAGGAGGCAATCCTGTGTAATAAAATTCATGTTTATTTAATATATTATCGGTTTCAGATGTCGTTGGTGTCTGTAAGTCGGCAAGCGATGTTCAAGAACTGACTGCAAAAAGTACTGGCAAATTATTGAAAAAAAGAGAAGTCACTCTCGTTGATAACTCTGGTGGCGCGGTTCGTACCTTTCTTTCCTCTTTCTTCTTCTAAACAACAATTTTCTGAATATAATAAATGTATGTAAATTATTTGGAATTTGTATTTCAATAATTGCATTAAATAAGTTTGAAGGCGACACTTATAGTATGAAACACCCTAAATTAAGGAAGTTGGTCCTAAGGGTACCCGGCCTTCTGTGAGGCCGAAGTATCACTCCGGTCGGGCCGGCCCATACTTGCAGAAGCATGCCTCCCCCAGGGAAATGAAACGGTTTATTCTGAAGTATGGGGTCTACCAATAAGAACGTCCTGGTTTAAAAATTGAATAAAACACACAATTTTTTATGAAAAATGCATCTGATTGATTTATTTGATAGATAATTTTATGCAATTTATGTTTTAAATAATATATCGGCCAAATGACCGCCGCGGCTCTTTTTGCAGACGGTCACCTGCTCACGCCAATTTTCGATGACGCGGTGCACCATTTCGGCCGGTATGTCGGCTATGGCTCGTCGAATGTTGGTTTTTAGGTCACGAATTGTAGCTTATTATTTATTATTATTGCTTGACCGCCGCGGCTCTTTTTGCAGACGGTCACCTGCTCACGCCAATTTTCGATGACGCGGTGCACCATTTCGGCCGGTATGTCGGCTATGGCTCGTCGAATGTTGGTTTTTAGGTCACGAATTGTAGCTTATTATTTATTATTATTGCTGTACACTTTAGATTTAACGTAACCCCAAAGAATATAGTCTAAAGATGTTAAATCACACGATCTTGGTGGCCAACTGATCGGTCCATTTCTCAAAATTAACGACTCACCAAACTTTCCACGCAATAATTCCATGTTACTCGAGTAATATGTGAGGTGGTGCACCGTCTTGTTGAAAATAAAGGTCGTCGGCATCAATATCATCAAATTCCGGAAATAAATATTCGGTTAACATCGAGTCGTGGCGCTCGCCATTCACAGTAACAGGGTTTCCTTCGTCACTTTCAAAGAAGTACGGACAAATGATTCCACCGTACCATAAACCGCACCAAACTGTTATTTTTTAGTGATTCATGAACCACACGTGGATTGACCCACTCCAATAGCGACAATTTTGTTTATTAACAAATCCATTGAGCCAGAAATGGGCCTCATCTGAGAAGATGATTTTACGATGAAAATCGTCATCGGCTTCCATCATTTCCAGTGCATAATCGGCAAATTCACGACGGATACAATGGTCGGATGGCTTCAATTCTTGTGCCAAAACAATTTTGTATGGGTGTAGGCCCAAATCCAACCGCAAAATACGCCAGGTGGTCATTGGAGAGAAGAGCCCCAACTCTTGTGAACGGCGTTGAACTGATCGATTTGAATTCGCATCAACACTGGCCTGAACGGCTGCGATATTCTCTTCACTACGGGGATTTCTTTGTCTCACAGGCACAGCAGGATCATGGAGAGTGAATTCACTTTCAAATTTTGTTATCATGCGATTTATAGCGCGCACAGAAGAAGCCCTATGACGACCGTTTTTTGCGCGAAGCGCTCTTACTGTAGCGGTAGGAGAACGCGAATTTGCGTAATAATTTTGGACAAATTCCAAGCGTTGGTTTAACACAAATATCAAGAGACGTCAAAGATCCATCATCAAACATGGCCGCTATGAGCCTGCCATCCAGGTCATCCCTATTGGTAGACCCAGTATAATAGATGAGAGCAATAAAATAACTTACTATACATCATGTTAAAAACTAAATTGTAATTTCAGGTGGTACTTACTTTATGGGGAGAAGAAGCTGAAAAATTTGATGGTAGCACACACCCTGTTATAGCAGTCAAGGTAATGTAATCGGATACCTAATTAGTTATTGGTGTAAAACCTTTCGGGCGTTACAATAAGCCATGATTTTGTACATGGGATATTATATTTGGTTTGCCGGGCCATAGCTTTTAATACTATTCTAAAATAAGAAAAGCTAAAATAATAATTTAATTATATTTCATAAATTACATTGAATTGAGTGTTCAGGGCGCTCGGCTGGCGGAGTTCAACGGCAGCAAGTCGCTGTCGTGCCTCGCCAGCACCATGCTGCGGCTCAACCCGGACGAGCCGCACGCGCACAAGCTGCGCGGCTGGTACGACAACGGCGGCGCCGACATGGACCTCGTCAACATCTCCGCCAGGTACGCTCACCGCACACACTGCCCTCGAACCATCGATCATCCTATTTTATAAAAACCCTCTGCGCGCTTGTAAAAATAACGATCAAAATGCTCAATAATCCACATATAAATTGAAGTTTTACAATCAGTAAATATGTATTATTATAACACAATTTCGTCGTTTATAAATCGACTTGCCAAAATACTTCACCGGTTAAGTCATATTTTTTAAAGTTAAATACCAACGAGAGATTATTGCATATAATATGTAAACTATGTTTTCTAAAAACTTTTATTCATTACAAACTTACTTAAGTCGTTAACTGAACTTTGAACAGTAAATATCCCTCAAAAATTAAAGTAGTAAGTAATTTTTTATATTGGCCTTACAGAGCGGGCGGTTATTCCGGCGGTAGCAGCGAGTGGATCACGTTCTCAGAGGCGGAGGCGCGACAGCTGGGCTCTGGCGACAAAGGAGATTATTTCAGTCTGCTTGGAGTACTCACATACACATTTTCCGATAACGCAGTATACAAAGCCTGCCCACAAGAACAGTGCAATAAAAAACTGGTGGACTTGGAAAACGGACTTTTCAGATGCGAAAAGTGCAACAGAGAATATCCTAATTACAAATACAGAATACTCCTTTCAGTAAGTAACATTTAAAAACATTTGGATACATGTGATATCAAAAACATATCACGTCTTTTGAATATGGATAACTCTGTTAGATGATATGCTACTGTTAGAGACACAAGAAGATATGTACAGATAGATCAACTCAGATGTGCGCGCGGCCCTATGTGTGGGTAAACCTTGTACATATACAGTGACTTTGTGTGCGTGACAAGAGGTACAGTCGTACAAATATAGTTATTAGTTATTAAAAAAAAGAGTTATTTCGTAATGTAATGTTTATTTATTGAACATTATTTCGAATCGCTACTTGAAAAATCATATGATGTATTTTCGGATTCGCTGCTCTCACCAAGGTTAATTATGAATTCTGACTCCATGTCAAAATGTCTATAGTATTCTTCTTCTTTCTTTTGTACATGTCAAGTATTACCCCACATCCCTTCATCAATTTGACTTAAACGTTCATTTATGAGTTTCATTATTTCCGTCACATTTTGGTCGACATTATGCGAAGCAATATAATTCTTTAAAATTCCCCACACATTTTCTATGGGGTTTAGTTCAGGATGATATGGTGGCAGTCGAAGAATTTTTATGCCATATGGCTGAAGTATGTCGTCAATCTTGTAACAGATATATTTTTCTTTATTTTTTTAAATCAAATCATACAGTTCAATTTTTTTCATATCTTGATTAAAAGCTATATTTTTTTCTGTCAGCCATCTCTGCATTTCTATTTTTTTGGAATTAGAATTTGGGGCTCTGTCATTTTGAACGTTATGGTATGAGGCATTATCAAGCACAACCACAGAGTTAGGTGGAAGATTCGGTACTAGACGTTCTTTTAGCCACTTTTCATAGTTTTCTGCGTTCATGTTAGAGTGGTAATCACCAGAAACACTATTTGCTTTGTATGTCAATAGTGCGTTAGGTACGAAACCTTGTTCTGAACCAGCATGCACAATGATAATTCTTTGTCCTTTCGACAGGTTTCTCTTTAAAGGTGGTCCATCTTTATTACCCCATCCCTTGTTTTGCACATGATTAGTTAAGATGTAGCTTTCATCTGTATATACGATACACCGATTTTCTTGACGGTATCTGAGTAAATTTTATAGGTAGGAAAATCGTAGTTTTTGGATGCCATGCCGCTCTATAATAACACGTCTGTTATCCACAGTTTTTCGCCATTTGTATCCCAACTTTAACAAAGCTGTACGCAGAGTCGAAATACTTCCATCATAGTTAAGTTTATCTTGAAATATTCTTTTCAACTTTAGCAAGGTTGGTAACTCGCGATGTTCTAAATGGTAATTTTGAATAGTGGAACGTATAACATCAACGTTAAAGTTGTCTAATTCTAACTTTTTTAAACGTTTTTTACGGTCTTTATGCGGAGATTTAAATTTAGAGTCAGATTCTTTTCCTTCAGCCAATATATTAGTAATTGTTCTCTCTGATACCCCCACTGCCATTGCTGTTCTTTTCCGTACGCTATTTAAATGTTCACTTAATTTCGATATTAAAATTGGACTTGCACTGCAAACTGGATCACTTACTAGTTCCAATATATCTCTCGCATCTATTTTCAGAAATTCGTATACCTTAGCAATGGTTTCTCGAGTCTAAAACAATAATACGTAAACGTCAACAAGGATATATTTTTTCGTATATAGAATCATAATAAATATTAATTACATCTAAATTTAAAAAATATTTACCTGACTCCTTAAACATTTTATCCGTGAAGAACTAGACATTTTCGTAAACGACTGTACCCTTAAGAAAAAGCGATAAGAACACGTCTTGCTCGGACGACGACTGCCGCGTCACGAATGAAAGTTGTATATTTACAAGCCCACGCACACAGGGCCGCGCGCACAACTGAGTTGAACTATCTATACACGGTGATTTTGAAAGCGTTTTGGAAACGAAATATTTGAATTTGGAATCATCTATAGTACCAATAAAAATGATTAAATCAATTGTAATGTTGTCTAAAAAAAAGTTTCAGTTTTAATATTCATTTTTACTCGATCGACTTCGAAAGTAGTAATGGACTGATCGTTCATTCATTATCTTATATGAATGAAACACGTCCGTGGGCGTTTCGGTGGCCGCTGCGCACCGCTGACGCTGACAGCAGCTGACAAAAGTATACCTATAGGCGCGAGCTAGCGAGTACTTACGTAGATAGACTCCAATTTGTCCTTCATACTTTACACGGGCTTAGGACCGTCAGAAATACCTATTTTATTTAAACTTCTTTTCGATTATTAACCACGATTGTTCTTTTCACAACAAATCAATTTATCAACGGACTGTAGGTATAAATATTTCAGGCGTATTTAAAAAATCGGAGCTATATACGGAATAATTAACTTACATACCTATTTACACTATTTACAGTTCTCTGTATCGAAGGAACTGCTCAAAATGGAGTCCGCTGCATTCAATACACAAACGTCCACGTTTAATGCAATTGTTTTTTGAATTTTCTTAATGTGTCTCTATCACTTTTCACTTTATCAAAATCGTCCACTATCGCTATGCGTAAATTATCACGGCTTTCATATTCCCGTGTATTAACAAGTCTTTTTATTTCTGACCATAAGAAAAAATCCAGGGGCGTTAAGTCCAGGCTTCTAGGTGGCCAAGGCCAACTAAGCTCATTGTCCAGGTATGCACGCACTACACTCCGGCGAATAATAATTAAAACGTCCTTGACCTTGCGCATGAGTAGGCGCACGAAATTGTCCGTGGTCGAGAAGACGTTGGGTTGCAGCCAAGATGGTAGGTGTGGAGGGAATTTGAGGGCTTTCAATTCCACGTAGCCGTAGTGCATTTAAATGCTCCGGCTGGGATTTCAAACGCCGAGCCTCTTCCAAGTTGTAGTTGGCAGTAGCGTACAGCTGTACCATTGCCAAGAAGTATTCCACGTTTGAAAATTCGTACTGTCGACTCATTTTAGCGCTAATCAATGCAGCGTGCCGTCACGATGTTATGGTATTACTGACCGACTGACGATGACAGGTGAGCCCCGCGCATGCGCCTACGGGGCAGACGGCATTGGTTGGACGACTCCGGCGCAACTCGGTAGCTTTGTTTTTATTGGCGAATACGATTTGATGTGACTCGATATTAAAACGCATAGTATTTCTATTCGTAGTATTTACCTACGTGTGATTGAATAGCCTACTACTACTGGTTCTGACTTTTTCTCTGTAAACGATATGAATATCGACTTTGATGATAAAAAAATATATATTTTATTAAATTAACGTTATATATAGCTTCTGTTACTGATAAATAACTCAAAATTTTCTTTCCCAAAACGCTTTCAAAATCACCGTGTATAAGACTTGCCTTTATTAGATTATATTTTTTTATTCATTTAAATTTAGATTTGTAAATTAAATGAAAGGTTAACATACTGAATCAACTTTTTTTTATCAGGCTAATGTTTCTGACCCAACTGGAGATCAACGAATCACAGCATTCAATGAGTCCGCCGAGGGGATGTTAGGCAAGCCTGCTATTGAAATAGGCACCATGTTTGAAAATGATAAGACAGCATACACACAAATGTTCGAGGGAATCAAGTTCAAATCTTTTGTGTTCAAATTCAGAACCAAAATGGAGACATACAATGTAAGTATTTATTAAACTTTTTGGAAGGTGTTTCATAACGGCCTGATATGTATTTGTAGAGTAACCAAACCTGGCGGTCCAATAACTCAATTACCAGGTCAGAGAATGACTGCACATTTGACTGCCTCGGTGGCACAGTGGTAGCGTATGCGAGTGCTGTGCTGAGGTCTCGGGTTCGATTCCCGGGTCGAAGCAAATGTTTGTATGATCTGCAGATATTTGTTTCGGAGTTTGGGTGTTTTCCATGTAAAATATGTTAGTATTTACAAAAGTATTCTATCCTAGACACGAGCCCGTTTTTGGTCAATTCTCAAGTTGTGCGGAATCCAACGCGAACAAATTTTTTTACAGCTAAATGTTCGTGTAATATTTTATATATACTCGTCATACTTATTCCCAGAGACGCCTCTATCTCGCAATATGTAACATGACGATCTTGCATTATTAGTTTCCGCACAGCATCAATATTTTGAGGTACAATAACCGATTTAGGGCGACCTTCTTTAAACTCGTCCGTGAACACAGACCGCCTTCGATTAAACTGGCTAACCATACACAGTTGTTTTTGAAGGTACTTCGCCCCGAAAAGTCGAAGTGAGTTGATTGATACACTGTTTTTGAGTTCGCCCTCGCTGAAAATCCTAATAAATTCAGCACGAAAATTTTCACGATACGTAATTTTCTAATAAAGCTACACAAAGAACAATGGCAGAAATATATTTACCTAAAACTTAAGGGTTTAAAAAATTGACTCAAAGTAAACTTAATCAATATTTTTTCTATGATTTATCATTACACCACCATGTGTTGTATGTCTTATAAGAGAAGATTTAATTTGATCTAAATACGTAATGTCAGATTCGTCATCATGTATACTGTATGTATGTAACTGACTAGGGATGCGTGATGGCATTATTATATGATGGAACGTTTTATCGATAATCGGTTTTTATAGCTTTGGCTGAAATAGCTACCGAAGGTTCACCTCTTATGATTTAGCTTCTGCATACGGTAGAGTAAATCAACATAATTAGAAATAATTTAGAATATTTTTCACTCTTTTAAACGATTTTTGCTACACTTAATAAATAGAATATAGTTACGTTGGTTTGTTAAGTTCAATTATTTGAATTATTATTATTAATTTATTTATTTATAGCTAGTATTATCTGCTTGGTAAGCAAAGATTTTTTCTATTGTTTTACCATGTATTGGTAAAATAACCTCCACCCTCTTAGAGAGTCGGCTAACACTTTCAACAGCAAAATAGGGTTGTTTATGAGTAATGATGACACACAACGGTATCTACTTTTTAACAAAACATTGACAATATGTTAGCACTTAGCCTCGAAAATTCAAAATCTAATATATTTTTTTCTAGACTTCTTTCGCTAGTAATTTTGTTATGAGAATGGTCAAGAATTAATTCTCAAGTGTTTTAGGCATTTTTGATATTTAAACGCTACCATTTCAGTTCAAATAAAATTATGTATGGGGACCTGCCATTGTCCTCTCAAAATGTCGCCACAAAGGATAAACAAATGACAGTTACATGAAACAACTTGTATTCATCAGCCAAAGAGTTCCATTTTAAATGTTATAATTACTTTTTTAATATTGTTCTTCAACTGGCCAGTTTCGGATACATAAATTAATCGCAGCCCCTCGTAATAACTTTCATACAAATTCGCTTAAGCCTTCAGATCCACTAATTTCGGCTCTGTCGCAAAATCCTACTCTCTCACCCTCCCCCTCCCTCTGTTCAAGAATATAAATAAAATGTGATTTTGTTCCAGGATGAGGCTCGATTGAAGACCACCGTAATGAATGTACAACCTATTGATTACAAGGACGCCAACACAAAACTGATTTCGAGCATTAAATCCATTACTGGCATAGAAGTTTAATATTATTAGTATGTTTTTTAATTATTAAGTTACAATAGCGCTCAAATGTGATTGATAAAATTGATCATGTTAAAATTAGAATATTATAAAATACATGTATACCTACCGAATAATTTGTAAAATTATGCTAGTGTAATATGAACATCCAACGTTTGTATTTCCAACAATATATAATATTTTTATTAATTTTTTATTTTTATTTTGCCCAATAATTAATATGGAGATAACCTGTAGAATATATATTTTACAACTTTTTTGCTAAAACTAGAGTTTATTTTTTTAAGGAAGAGGTTCTCAATTCGTTTATATTGTTTTGTTTCATATTTGTTACATCAGAGTTCCGTCATTTATTATTTGAGCGAAGCGTGTGCGTTACCCCAGCAAAATAATGTCGAAAATGGTCATTTAAACTTTATAGATAATTAGTTGCTCCCCTTCTGTAATTGTTAAGCACATTTTTAAATTTGTTTCACTTAAACTTTTTTAGTTATTTCAAAAAAACATTTCCTGCTGGAGTAACGTTTGAAACGTTACCGCAGCCAGACATTTTCTTTTTTAATTGTAATATTGAAATAAATTTTAGCTAAATAATTAGTTATCTGGACTAGGTAAATGTTACAACTTATTTGGTATTTGTATTTTCTTCGGCTGCGAAGTTATTCGAAATCCTGCTGGAGTAACGTTTGTGGGTTTGCTGGATCTCTGAAACGGGTAAGCGGATTGTAACCATCTTTTGTACATAACTTCTTAAGGATTAGTTTTAATTTGTTCGACAATAAAATAACAAAAATAATGGACCGTTTAAAAATTATTTAGGTAAGTATGAAAACACTTCAATACATCCTAACACTTTAAATAAGACCTCTAAAGACTTACTTGAAACGTTATTCTATTGCTTGTAACTACCTTCAAATGTATACGAATTTTCGTAAGAATACTGTAAAGCCTCATACATACGTAACGATTTATCGTAGCGATAAATCTGTGCAGACCAGTTTGCGCAGTTTTATCGATCGTGTGTATGAAAAATCGTTGTCGATAATCGTTCGTCGGTGGCAGTTTCAATTTCTATCAGATAAATCGTTGTCGATTATATTTGCACAGTTTTATCGTTGCGTGTGGACGGCGATCGCTCAGTTCGGCAGTACTTCACGGAGCTTGCTAGTGTGCGCACGTGCAGATCGCTTTCACAGAAACATGTCGGAAGACGAAAGAGTTGGACACCGCGAACTACTTCAAGATTTTATAGAAAGCTACAGAAACGAAACTTGTCTTTGGAAGACTACATGTAAGGATTACCACGACCGCAACAAAAAAAATGCCGCCTACGACAGGCTAATCGAAAAATACAAACCCATAGATCCAAATGCCACCAGGGATACAGTGGTTAAGAAGATTAATAATCTTCGAACTACATATAAAAAAGAGCTCAATAAAATAAAAAAATCGTGTAAATCTGGAGCAGGGACTGACGAGATTTATAAACCTCGTTTATGGTACTTTGAGTTATTGAGTTTTTTATACGATCAAGAAGTACCGAGACCATCTACATCGAATATAGATGATGACGAAAATGAGGTAAGTTTTTATTTCTAAAAAAATATTTATTGCTTAATTATATTACTCGAATACAAGTCCTGTATTTTGACATTAATTAATTAACAAAATTGTCTTGCCAAGGAACTTTTCCTTCAGTTACAAAATACGTCATAAATTGACTTCTTATCTGATTTGCTGTTTGAATCGTACGACCTTGTGTAGTTCTTTGTAATGGTTCAAGTGTTGAGTCCTTTGTTGTGAATCCTGACGTTATCGTACCTTCCTCATAATGTTCACTATCGAAACATTCTGAAGGAGCGTATGAATTAAGCGATGATGACATCAAATAATTATGCAAAGCACAGGTTGCTCTTACGACTAACCCAATAGTTTCAGGCGACATATTCATTTGTGTTCTGTAAATTCTGAACCTCGCTGCTAGTATACCAAAAGCGTTTTCGACTAAACGGCGTGCTCGCGATGTCCGATAATTATATATCTTCTTAATTCTACTATCTAAGTCATTTTGCCGAAATGGCTTCATCATGTCCTTTCTTAGAGGAAACGCGTCATCCGCTACAAATACATATGGCAGTATTCGTGGACTATTATGTAACCTTTCTTCTGTAGGAATATTTAACGCCTTTTTTTCAAGTTTTTCATAAAATTTTGTATTCAACAATACTCCGCCATCGGAAACCCTTCCATTAGTCCCAAAATCAACTAACAGGAATCTGTATTTTGCATCAACGATTGCTAGTAATACCATACTGTGTCTATGTTTATAGTTATAATAAAACGAGCCACTATTACTTGGGGGCACGATTTCAACGTGCTTGCCATCAATAGCACCTAAACAGTGAGGAAAGTTCCACTTCTGCTCAAATTCTCTCGCTATTATTCTCCACTCTTCTTCTGTTTTTGGAAACTGTAACAAAATGAGTATATGATTAGTATAGTAATTTCAGGAATATAATAGTTCTTCTATTTTACAGACGCAGTCAACCACCGGCATCGGCTCAACGAGCTACGATTGTCCAGACAGCGATCGAGACACACCAACACTGGCCTATTCCGACAACGAATCAGACACACCGACCCCGGCAAACCGTTCTGACAGCGAACGAGCTACATCAATCTCGAGTCGTGTTCGGCCAAGACCAAAAAAAAAAATACATTAACTGAAGACGTACTTAAGTCCGTAAATGATCATTTTAAAAGGCCTAAACAACCCGATAATCGTTTTGAGGTTTTTGGCAAAAATGTTGGGATGAAACTACAAGAGTTACCAAAAGAACAGAGAATTATAGCAGAAAAAATAATTAATGAAACTCTGTTCTTGGCTGAAATGGGTAGCTTAACTATATCACACACTGTAAGAAAATATGATGACTTTGCAAATACTAGTTTTTCCACACAGCCACACATTCAAAACTTTTCCTCTCAGCCACACATACAAAATCTTTCCACTAAGTCACACACTCAGCCACACACTCAAAATCTTTTCACTCAACCACACACTCAAATCATTTACACTCAACCACACACTCAATCATCAATGGAATTTACATCACCAGTAGAGCCAGACCATACACAATCTGATAATACAATTACTTCCTATTTACGTAATTTTAATGATGAATAAAAAAGTAACTTATTCGTAAAGTGTTCTTCAATCCGTTCTTAAGGTTTAATTAATAAATAATTTGTTGATTAATACAGTATTTTTCATTCCTTACCTTTAAGTAATCTTTCCGTAGAACCTTGTACAGAGCATCACAGGTTTCAGGGATTATTTGGCTAAGAGCTTGCGGTGATATTATTGTAGAAAACTTCATACATTGGTAGGAACGTCCTGTAGCTAGAAATCTCAGTGTAGCAGTTAATCTTTCATGAGGACTTATAGCTTCTCTCATTACAGTGTCTTGTTTCTTTATTAGTGGCGAAACTAAAGCGAGCAGATTTAAATATGCCTCTTCATTCATCCTTAAATAGTTATGCCAATCTTGCGGAGCGAATTTCAACTCGCATAACAAGTTGGTATGAGAAAATTGCTTCCTTTTCATGAGCCAGTCTTTACACCATAGACTCCGCTTCTTTTTTTTCTTTAAACACATAACCAGGCCTAATATAGCAAGTGCGTCATAATCTTCCATTGTTAACATGTATCTTGCGCGAGCTTCTGCGGTGAACTGCCCGATCGACGTCGATATCGGAGGCGTGTGGAGGCACTAGGAACGTTCGATTTATCTGCACAGTCTGAAATCGCTACGATAAATCGTTACGTATGTATGAGGCTTAAGTGACTAAAAAGTTATGATGAAATGTAGCTCTCCACGTTCACGATCACAATGTGTGCGGCCTTTTTTGGCCACCGATAAACCTGTGTGTGGATATATAAACTGAATGTTATGCCAATAATTAGTTGTTAAGTTCAGTTGTCTACCTGTAAAATTTCAGCGTAGTACATATAATAATTTACGAGATAATTAAATAAAAGTCATTAGAAGGTGCAAGACCGTGGTAAACCGACCATGTTTAGGTGGTTACAAAAAAGCGATCACCCAGTACATTGTGCTGGCTTTTAAAATATGTAGGATATTATTTGCAAGTTTACTACGGATATGTACATAAGTGTTACAAAAAACTACATGTTTTTTAAATATTTTTTATTTAGGATTGTTTATTGCATAATTAGAGATGCCTGGAGATTAGGTATTGTTTTGAATGCTCTTGTTTTCTCGTAATGTTTAGGTGAATTGTTTATAGTTGTTCATAGAATTGGTACCTGCGTAGTATTTGTTAATTGAAGTTTAATTTTAGGGTAGGTATAGGTAATTTAAGAAATATGAAATGAAATGATAAGTTTTGAAGAGTGTAACGTATGCTTTGTAAATAGGTATTTTGTGAATAGATGGGGATTTTTTTAAGTGATGAATCGACTTAGGCTAGCATATCGCGAACAAACTCTGTATTGCATTATTTCTGTAATAATGTTGGAGAAAATAAAATATTTGATCACAAAATCGCGGTGAGTTAAATTATAATAAAATAAATTATTTATGTAAAATCAGTAATAAGTGATATACCTACCTAAAAGTTATGATCGTTTTTAATTTGTTCACCCTGAACGAAATTTCAATATTAGCATTAGTAATTAATATCCTAAGACAAGAATTGACAATTACTTAAATTGAATCGAATTAGCATTAATGCCTATTTATTGGCATAACATTCAGTTTATATATCCACACACAGGTTTATCGGTGGCCAAAAAAGGCCGCACACATTGTGATCGTGAACGTGGAGAGCTACATTTCATCATAACTTTTTAGTCACTTACAGTATTCTTACGAAAATTCGTATACATTTGAAGGTAACAAGCAATAGAATAACGTTTCAAGTAAGTCTTTAGAGGTCTTATTTAAAGTGTTAGGACGTATTGAAGTGTTTTCATACTTACCTAAATAATTTTTAAACGGTCCATTATTTTTGTTATTTTATTGTCGAACAAATTAAAACTAATCCTTAAGAAGTTATGTACAAAAGATGGTTACAATCCGCTTACCCGTTTCAGAGATCCAGCAAACCCAAAAACGTTACTCCAGCAGGATTTCGAATAACTTCGCAGCCGAAGAAAATACAAATACCAAATAAGTTGTAACATTTACCTAGTCCAGATAACTAATTATTTAGCTAAAATTTATTTCAATATTACAATTAAAAAAGAAAATGTCTGGCTGCGGTAACGTTTCAAACGTTACCCCAGCAGGAAATGTTTTTTTGAAATAACTAAAAAAGTTTAAGTGAAACAAATTTAAAAATGTGCTTAACAATTACAGTAGGGGAGCAACTAATTATCTATAACGTTTAAATGACCATTTTCGACATTATTTTGCTGGGGTAACGCACACGAGCGAAGCCACACGACGCGTAATGAATTCGAAGTATAGGGCCCCACAAGGGTGGTGGGGCACCGCAGTGCATCGCTGTTTGGGAGATATGATATCTCCTCGTCCTCGTTAGTACTCATTTTACAACTTACGATTGATATAAAATTACGGGAAAACACCTACCTTCGGAGTGGCCGTGTGCCGCTGGTGGCCGGTGTGCGTGCGGCGCGGCACCGCGAGGTATACCCTGGACAAGTGTATGTATTACGCCGCAGCGGCACCGCGTGTGGCTCTAATTTTAAATTGATTTACCTTTTCCGAAATCTAGACCAAAACTTCCTTTCTAAGGAGAGGCCTATGTCCAGCAGTAGACTATTATAGGCTGTGGATGTGATGTGATGTGAATCCGTAATCTGTCCGATCACATACCATTATTAGTGGCAGAAGACATTTAATATAGAAGGAAATATTTTCATACAGGTGAGTAGAAATAACACAAAAAAATTACTAGTTACTTTATTCAATCTCATTTGATATGACTCATAATTTGGCTAAGAAAATAGAAATATTATAATTGATGTACTTACAACGTTGCATTACAATCATAAATTATACAGAGGTTAAGACAAGGATGTAGTATTTGGCTAACCTTATTAGATTTCTGGCTAATGCACAAACCTTTTCCTTTGGGTACAATAGGAACCCACATTTCGACAAATTAAAAACTTCAAACTATGTATTCCATGAGAATCAGATTTAAATAAAGAATCTAGTGGCTCGCTCAATTTTAACTTTACTCCAGCATATAGTTTTGATTGTAGAACAATAATCTGCTTAAACATAATAGTTTTTTTTTGGCGTAAATTGATCGACCAACGAAGTTAAGTTAACATAACAGTGACGGGTTTTGGAAGCTGAATAACAATAGTAACAGACCCAGTGAGAGCGAAAGAGCAGGGTCGAAATACATCAAGGACATCTAGTGGGTAAAGACAAGCTAAGTTATTTCATATTACTTATACGAGGAGGGGGTTATCACTTCTATGTAAAATGTACACTTATGTTTTAGGAAGTTTCAATAATTTAACGTTACATAATCCTATGACAGTAAAATTAATATAAATTATAAAGATATTTAGTTTAATACATAAATGGCAGTGTGATTTTACTCATATTAAAAGGACATGTTGGCTTAAAAACTTAATATCTATATAGCCTTGTACTAAAATAAACCAGACTGAAAATAATTCTTAGATACAGCTTAACTTATAAACTAATTATAATGCCATAATTAAATGATCACAATAATAGATAAAAACATGATTCTGTTCTGAGATTCATAAAGCACACATATTTCTAAATTTATCATTTATTTAATTGATATTCTGTGTAACTTAAAGAGGTACGTGTGGAGTGACTAAGATCATTGAGATGGGATTTCTAAATTCTTAGACGTGTATCATATAAATACAAGCCGATTAGATTAGTGCATATTTAGAAATATTTTAACACCATTGACGATAGATAACTTGCTATTGGAACTCACTAATTACTCCTTGTTCAGACTTAAGAAATTAACAGTCAATGTTCATCATACGAAAATTCTCAATGTTGAAACTCGGCTGAATTAAAGCGAGCTGGTGACGACCACACCAGCAAATACAAATAGCTGCCTATCACAACAATTATTATTTAAACATTAGGCACAAAGACCACATATTTTAATGTTACACATTTAAACAGAATATCCTAAAAGGTTTCATTAACGTTAAACAAACATCGATGACAATAGTTTGTGTACTAAAGCGTATTACATAAATAATAAAATTAAAGCCAAGTTCAATAGAAATAAAGTGACAAAAATATAAAATTATAATTTGTGTCACACAACACACATCGCATGCCATTATAACAATGTTCACAATATTACACTTACACATTTAACTGGTATTATTAATTACTACATTATTGATAAATTAATTGTTACGTTGACCTTATATAAAATATTAAGAAAATATCATTTCTAAATAATTTTCAATTTCAAATATTTTATGACATTCACGAAATTAGAAAAATGTCTATGAGATTCTATAAATCACTAATAAATTGAAAATGAATCTCAAACTTGATAATAGTCTGTGTACATTGACAGAATTAATTACTATGTTATATAATAATTAATAAAATAGTATTTCAATTATATGAAGAACTTCATTCTAAACGGTAACTTTAATCGAAACATATTTAATTCCTTTAATATCTCAGTAGTCATAGCCCGTTAATTTTACGAGTTCGAGTCGGGAAACGCTGACGAACGACACGTAGCCCGCGAACTACGTCACGACACGCGTCGTCAGGTTTACGCTCGAGCACTTGCACGTCCCAACGCACACTTAACTATCGGTGCACTATCACTAAAGATACGACGAGTTCGCAATACAAAAGACGCATTAGTACGCGATACGGATACATTGAGCGGTAGCAGTCCGAGTGGGTCGCCTGCCCGAGGGCCGCGCCACGCACGCACACACGCGCCCACCCACGCATACACGCGCCACCACGATGCAACACAAGCAGTACCAATATAACTCTAACCGATATTTACACTCACTAAATAGGGACGAACCAATAAATTAAAGCGAATAAATAAAATTAACGCTCTTTGGAACGGATTACATTCGAGGTACGCCAGTACACTCAGATATCTGAACGTGTCCGCCGGCGCGGGAGCGATAGGCGACGTAGTGTAGAGGACCGGCCTTGGAGCTACGCGCTTTACGTCTTAAATCGTTCATCTCGAACGATACTCGCGTTTCACGCCGACCATATCAGAAGGCGTTGCGATGACTTTAAAATTAACATTATCAGGTCTCTCGTCTACGCACATGAGACACCGAAAGCGATAAAACATCACTATCGATATAAAAAAAATCTATAGATATCAATAAATGAAAAAAATATTAAAAACCAGCTTAAATTAATAATACAGGAAACTACCAGGAGGATCATAGCACTCACACTGAAAGTAGCCAAAACGAGTATGATTTTGCATTACCGATTAATTATACATATCCTTCAACATCAGAGCGACATCTCGCGTACGCCAATAGTAATTATTATTTCGATCAGCTCAAGTACTATGACAGTGTTCGGAAGAACTAAAAATGCGGATCGGCGCGGTTACCGCAGTGGTCTAAAACTGCATCGGCAGACCGGTGCTAGCGCGGCGGCGTCGTGCGGGAGGGGGCGGGGGCGTCACGCGCCGGGCTCACACCCAGCGCGCGGGGGCGGCCCGGCGCCGCGGCGGCGCGCTAGCGAGCGCGCGCGCCTCACGGCACCAGGTCGGGCAGGCGCCCGCGGCCCTAGGGGCGCGCCCCGCCCTCGCCGCTCACCACCTGCACACACACACACACACACATTACTTACAGGATCACATGTATCACCGTTCCCCATCATCTTTTGAATCAATATTTAATTCATCTAATCTATCACAAACTCTGACCTTTATTATACTATATGAAATGACAGTTGTTTTTGAGGCGTATTGAAGCGCCCCTCACGAGGTTCTCGGGTACTAAAATTGACATTTGTAGCAAAAATCCCGTAATTCACTATGAAAGCCACCTCTCATTCACTTACTAGTGTCATAGCTCGAACTACGAACACTTTTCACTACGAACAGTAGTAGTAGAACATAAAGTAGTTTCGTAGTGAACTACTTTATGTCGATGAAGTGATGTTTTTTTTTTCACTGGTTATGTCTCATCCCTAATATTAGTTCCACGGAACTTCACACTGTTATCAGCGCCAAAATGGCGAAAACCAAATGGTTTCAGTGTAATAACGACATAATATGCAGTCCAGAGTACTTGTATAATAGAGGTCAGTGATCATAAAAGTCGCATCGCATTGTTGATGTCACCATTTTTGTATGTTTTTAATTACTGTAGAAATACACATTTCTAGTGTAGAAATACACGTTTGTTGGCGATCCAAAATAAACAAAATGATAATTGACTGCACGGATGACGTAGTTGTTTAAGCGGTCGCCACGCCGCTCCTATTGCGTAGAGTGATGTGGGTTCAAACCCCACATGGGACGACACTTTGTGTGATCCACAACTTTTTGTTCTGAGTCTGGGTGTACTTTGTGTCCGTTTCATGTGTGTTTGTAAAGTCCCCCGCGGCACAGGATTTATTCCTAGTGCGGGAGTTGTCTTTTTTAATAAAAAAAAAATACCTCAGGCATCTCACACACGGGAGTCAAATCTCAAACTGACAGAGCCTGTACTGCCTTATAGATAAATTACACCCACACATACAATTTAAAAAATACAAAAAAACGTTACATAATATAACTTACTTTCCGCTCCTTATAATAGAGTTCCTCACTCTCTTTATCGCATAACAACAATACTACAGCACCAAACAGGAAAATAGCGGCGCCCCAGCCGACTCCATATGCCCAACCAAACTCCCACACTGACCTGTTACCTAAAAATATAAAAAAATTATAAATTTGTACACAAAACCTAATTTCTATTTATTGTCTATCTCTGGCTGCTCTTACTGCTTTAACAACTAATATCGTTAGATAATATTTGCTTACCTAAAATAGTTGAATCATTAGTGAAAGAGAAATGTATAACATATTTAACTTTTAAAAGGCATTGGTAACTATGAAAGAGTGTCTTACGGTTTATTGAAAAGGGTCATTAGTACATGTGAGAGTTTAAAATATTTTTAAAATTTTATTAGTTCTCCTATGTACCTAACTCTTAACAAGTTATTGTACAAAAATTAAATTATCGATAATTTTAAATTTTACTATCGATTACCTATTGATATAACATATAAAAATAAGCTAATAACTCAATAAACTGGATTTCACAACTTACCCAAGTTCAATTCTGCAGCAAAGCAGACTGGATAGATAACTAGTGCTATTAGAATGCACATAACTGGAAAACGAAATGATATATTAAATAGTCATTGATCACGTAAAATTATTAATAATCATCCAATACGTTTTAGTAGAATAAAAAATACATTATTTACGACATATCTAACTGTGGTCAAATTATTTTAAAGGAGTATTATGACATTTGTAGTTTTAGGTTGGGTGTCCACCAATCAGATCAAATAGAGAAAATTTTAAGAAAATCAAATGAATTTAAGAGTCGCACTCGACTCGTCACTTTGGTAAAGAACCTAACTACGTGACTTTGTATATCCTGTGATAAAATAGAAATAGCTTCATAACTCCATGGTTTTACGGCAAAGTTTATTTTAATTGTGTGCGTTACGCTAATCCAAAATTGTTTCAGCTGAAAAGTATGAAACGTCAAACCGTGTCTTAGATGCCTTGATTGCCTTAGATTAGTGCCTTGATTAGATGGACTATTTTCCTCAGTATGCGTATATTTTAAATTACTTGCAGAAATTTAAAATGGAATATGTCGCATTACTTTCTTACAACTCAGCATTATAAATACTTATTTATTTCAAATTGTTAAACTTAAATTATAATTCTTTTAGGTTTAGTTCAAATCGTTCGTTCGCAAAGTTACGTTCTCGAGCTACCAGACCGACAACGACGACCTACGACCAGATAGTTTGAGCTATCAACAGAACTTTGAATGATTGAGAAACGTAATAATATGCCATATGGAGTGATATTTGACGTCAGCAGTTGAATCATTCCAGAAAAAAAACTTACAACTAGACTCCATCTGTAACCATATAATATCTTTTTTTTATTACGTAGGGACAAGCGACGAAAAATAGTCCGACATAATTATTGTGGATAACTATTAATCTGATTGTTGTGATCTAAACATGGATACAAAGTTAATTAAGTACCTACCTACTTATCCTACTCATTTAATACTGAAATCAACGCGAATGATACTTACGGGCTAACGACATTGCGAGCACCGCGAACCTGTAATAACGGAACTTGGTGCGATGGTCAGCGGAACGCAGTCCGAGGCCTGTCAGCAGCGCTCCGCACACATTCGCTGCCAGGGTAGCTACGCAAAGACCCGCTGCCGCTCTGAGACACAAAAAACAACTTACTTAAAACTGAATAATGTAAACTGCAAGCATGAAGTATAATTCTCCTGTCAGCGACATGTCACTGTGTTATAGAGTTACAAGATAGCAAACTTATTAACTTAGGTTAGACCAGACTGCGAATGAACATACTTACATATTTCTAAATACATACATATTACAGACTAGCTGAGACCCGCGGTGTTACCCGCGTTTGTTGTTATAACCGCGGGCAACGCCGCGGGGCGAAGCTAGTCTAAAAAAAGTAGCCTAAGTTACTCCTTATGTCAACAGCTATCTGCCAGTGAAAGTCCCGTCGAAATCGGTCCAGCCGTTCCAGAGATTGGCCGGAACAAACAGACAGACAGACCAAAATTGTAAACAATGATATTTTGGCATGTGTACCGTGTAAATGTATTTAGTAAAAAGAGGTTATTTTAATATTACAAACAGACACTCCAATTTTATTTATTTGTATAGATTACACCCACACACAGAACAAAATCGAACCTACGATCTCTGGTATAGCAGTCAGGGTCACTAAAATTATAGCAAAAATTAATAAATTAAAATATCTTTTAACACTTCCAACCCCTGACTACCCTCCATTTGTTCTTTGTCAAGTGTCTGCTTGTGGTGTTGAGAAGAGTATTCGGTCCATTACGTCTAATGCTGTTGGCTCTGATTATATCAGTAGCAACATGGTTCTCCTTATCCTTGATGGTATTTTTACCTATAATCACCCATATACTTAATATGTCCATTACTAGTGGTGTATTTCCATTAAAATGGAAAGAGGCCCAGCTTATTTCTTTACCCAAAAATCGCAATGCCGCATCCTACTCCGAATATCGACTAATCTCTATCGTAACCCTTTTTTTCAAAGGTTCTTGAACGTCTTATCCACAACCAGCTCAATTCATTTCTTTGCAGAAATAACCTCCTTAACCCATTCCAATCTGGTTTTGAAGGCGTAACAATTCCAATTAGCAACTACTTCCAATTAGCTATTACTAAAAATTTAAGGGTATACGTCGACAAACCCCTCTGCTCAAATACAAATGCTCAAATACAAAATGTCAGCAGTAAAATGTTTGCCTCTGCCGCTTGTTTAAGAAGATTACGTAATTTCCTTCCAACTGCCACTAAGGTTGAGCTCGCACAATCGATTCTTCTTCCCATCCTTGACCTAAACGAAGACCAATTCCATAAACTTGAGACTTTCCAAACTTCTGTATAAGATACATTTTTGGCTTGCGCAAACATGAATCATATTTCCGAATTTCGTAAAAAAACTCAAGTGGCTCCCAGTTCGGGCTCGCCGGAATACTCACATCCTCTCATTATTATATAATAACTACTTAATCTCCTATCTACTTAAAGAAACAATTCGCATTTATTGGAAAATCAGATACTTCACACTAGAAATTCCAACACACTCCACAACTTTTACTGATACATCTTTTACAGTACAAGCAGCACGCCTATGGAAGCTATAAGGCGGGCACGGTCAGTGAGTACTTTTAAGAGACTCGTCAAGGATCACTATTCATCTCTGTAAGAGCTATGTATTTAAGTGCCTATCTATCTATCTATAACCCCGTACTAACAAGATTTACGTACTTAATATAAGGCGCAGGTCTTGCAGCATAACACCCTGGTTGAGCGGTTATATCGAAAGGTAGCGGTGTGGGCGCCTCCGGGTCTATGCAGTGCATGAAAAGGCCTTGACGCCAACCGGCAGCCATCAGCCAGTCAGCCGATGCTAACCCGAGAACCATCAGGATCACGACTAGGAGGCCGCATATCAGCGCGATTACCTGAAATACGTAAATTGCAAATTCTAGTTAGCTAAATATCAATATCATCATAAAAGGTCGAGAAAGTCGCCACCAAAACATTAGTCTGATCAAATTACATACGAGATGACAACGTTATTTTCTTAAGTTATTGTAACAAGCTCTAGGCTAACTTTTTTTAGATGTCCGACATTGAAATATATTAAAACGAAAAAGAATTAGATAGGATTCAGACTAGCCGCGTTTATTATACACTAGCTGACCCGCGCAACTTCGTCTGCGTCTCTCAATAGTAATAAATTTTCTCCGTTTTTGAAACATTCTTCATTGGTACTCCGCTCCTATTGGTCTTAGCGTGATGATATATAGCCTATAGCCTTCCTCGATAAATGGGCTATCTAACACTGAAAGAATTTTTTAAATCGGACCAGTAGTTCCTGAGTTTAGCGCGTTCAAACAAACAAACAAACAAACAAACAAACAAACTCTTCAGCTTTATAATATTAGTATAGATATATACCAAGATGATTCAGCAAATTTTTGCAGTCGCTTTCAAAACGACTCTTCCCTTGTTATGAGGCTAAATCGTTAGGTAATGTGAAAACAGTCGCAACCTTCAGCCTCGAGATTGTCTTTTGATCGGTGTCATTTGTTTAAAACTTTAAAGACTTTCGAAAGTACACATTATTTTGTAAATATTTCTCGACATTTAGAATTCTTATGCAATTTGGTTGGTTTCTTATTTTAACTTGTAGTTTTTAAATCATGTCAAAACTAAGGAGAAACTTTAAAAGTAAATTGTGGAATGTATTTGTTTAAATATATTTCTAGCAAAAAATGTTTTAGTTCGTTTATATGAATTTATACATATTGTTCATCACATTGGTGGCAAAAATTATCGAAAAGTAGAATTCAAGACACGGTAGGTACTTGTCGGTGGTCTGTACTATAGCTTCATCATAAATCATGATACCTATGTGTATTCGAATTAAAGAAAGCGGGAAAGTGAGACGGGCGGGTGTCTAGAGGTGAAGGAGGGTGAGCGCGGGGTGCGGTCATCGATCGCAATCCCCGACGGCGCTCGGAGCCGCGGAGACCGCCATCAGCTGTTTGAGACAGCGTCGATCCGCCTCTCATGCTCTGAGCTCACTTTATGCGACGTTCTTATCCCACCCAACTATTGTCGCCAGCACACCATCCGGGCGCAAAATCACTTATGAAGCTAGAATCCATTCGACAGGTTTCATTATCAAACACTAAATAAACATTTTAGTAAGGGACAATACGCATCTACCATATTTTTTTGCAATAAATAAAGGATATGTCTACTTTGGAATCGATGCTGGTTTTCCAAGTAACACACGTTTTTCAAACACTCATCAAATTCCACTGATATAAAAGCAACTAAATATGCATTTGGAAATCAGGTACCTAATAATAATCTCAGTCACCAGCATTTAAGAGAAACACTCTTATTACACTTTTACACACAAGCGATCTTTTTTTATGCCTAGATAGAATATGGCAAAACATCTTTAATATGTAGTTCACCCGAATTGTAAACCCATGTTCGCAATTATAATAAATGATTGATTGATTGACTGAAAGTTGTTTAATTCTAGTACATAAATCTATATACATATAAAAGAAGAAACTGACAGACTGATTCACTGAACTAATCGATCAACGCACAGCTGTAACCGCAGGGTATAGAAGCATGGAATTTTGCACAAATTTTCCTTAGGAGACCGTAGGTGAGCATTAGGAAAGGATTTTTTAAAATTCCACCCTCATTTTACAACCGTAAAATGGGGGATGGAAATGTATATTTGGAAAGTGTAGGAAAGTTCATTACTACAATACATGCATTTTTGTGGTTCCTGTTGGGGTTTTTAAGAACTATAAACCATTTTTAACAACTTTTATTGTTGATCATGTTAACCTATTGGGTCTACCAATAGGGTTGACCTGGTTTTGACAGCTCATAGCGGCCATGATTGATGATGGATCTTTGACGTCTCTTGACATTTGTGTTCAGTAAGGTTTGCCATTTTATCATGTCACCTTTCACTTTAAACCAACGCTTGGAACTTCTTTGAAAGTGACGAAGGAAACCCTGTTACTGTAAATGGCGAGCGCTATAACTCGATGTTAACCGAATATTTCTTACCGGAATTTGATGATATTGATGCAGACGACCTTTATTTTCAACAAGACGGTGCATCACCTCACATTACTCGAGTGAACATGGAATTATTGCGTGGAAAATTTGGTGAGTCGTTAATTTCGAGAAATGGACCGATCAGTTGGCCACCAAGATCGTGTGATTTAACACGTTTAGACTATTTTCTTTGGGGTTACGTTAAATCTAAAGTGTACAGCAATAATCCAGCTACAATTCGTGACCTAAAAACCAACATTCGACGAGCCTTAGCCGACATACCGGCCGAAATGGTGCACCGCGTCATCGAAAATTGGCGTGAGCGGGTGACCGTCTGCAAAAAGAGCCGCGGCGGTCATTTGGCCGATATATTATTTAAAACATAAATTGCATAAAATTATCTATCAAATAAATCAATCGGATGCATTTTTCATAAAAAATTGTGTGTTTTATTCAATTTTTAAACCAGGACGTTCTTATTGGTAGACCCCATACATATTCAGAGACTTATTGTACTATGTTATATTAATCTTTATAGACTTCTTATAAGTTTTCTTGTAAAATGTATTTAAGTAAGCTCAAGTTTTATACGAATTTAGTATCGGAAAATCGGAGCCTAGGTGTTCTCTATCTTTTGAACATAAGTATTCAATATAATGCGGATGTCACTTCACTGTGCGTACAAAACTCTAAAAATATAAAGCTTTTATGAAACGCACCTAAAATAACATTAGGTAAGGGTCAAACGTGACATTAAATCTTTTGATCAAGCCAGACCAGATTACATTCATTAAATTATAAAGCGAATTAACTCGCATACGGTCTTTCCGGTCATTCAGAAAGGGGAGGCACCTACATACAAATCCAACACACTGCATGTACATATTTGTGTATTTTACTACGGTCATTCACACCTGACTAGTAAAATTACATCTTTTAAAGGGAATTTGAATATAATAACTATATTTTATCCTAACCGGATAAACCAATATGCTAAGGAATTCTCACATTAAGCAATAGTAAATAAGACGAGATAAAAATTGTCAATTTTGTATTATAAACGAGTGCATGAACTGAATTCATATTTTCTTCGTATATTTATATTACAATGTGAATGATTTTAAAATTATCTTTGCAAGTCTGCCTCGTGCTAATGACTCAATGAAGGCGTTTATCTTCGCGGCATACATTGTACTGGGACACGTTGCAGTTACGGTATGCAGACAAACTTATAGGACGTTATTTCCCAGGTGTCACATGTCGAAACAGCGTGTTTTAATGTAATTTTATACTAGCCAGTAATAGGAGTGCATATTTATAAAACTTTACATTTATTAAACAAATAAATTAAAAACAAAGTACAGTTAAGATTACAACGAAAACATTTTTTGTTTAGATAAGATTTTCAGGATTTGTTTGAAATGCGAAATTAGAAGGCGTTAAGTCCGAAATTGTTTAATCTTTCACTCTTCCGTACGTCGGCTAATACCAATAACACAACACACCACAAAACATATTTATTTAAAAATATATTATTTTATACAATATTTAATGACTTAACGAAGACATAAATAAATCAATTGCTTATTGACCATGAATTCGTTAGTTCGCCTTGACACAGAATAGATAATTAAGTATATTTTTTGACATACGTGTACGTTACGTACATTACGTGACGTAAGTGTGTTACGCAAAAGCCTTAAGCGACGAATCGTTTGCCTCTATAAAAGCCTAAAACTAATTAAGCTTCCCCGAAACACTTAGTACAACTGATTTATTTCAACTAAAAGTAATAGCTTGCGTATTCTTCACAAATTGCTTAATTTCTAAACTCAATAAAGCTGAATGAAGTAAGGCAAGCAAAAGTACCTATTTAAATAAATTGTGTAAATTGTGCTAAATTGCAACATGTAAATACAGTTTTGATTACAACCTGTGCAATCTGATTAGCAGGCATCTCGTCTTGATCAGTAGCAAACTGCGGCGGTGGTGGTAATACAGGCGGTGGGAGGGCGCGCGGGTGTGAGCGGAGCCCGCTCGGGCCTTCGCCCGCGCGCCCCTGCATGCGCTCGCTACCGGCCCGCCACCACAACACGTGACTCCGTGCCCAGCTTAACACATTACACCACTAGACTAGCGTCAAACAATCACGAGCACACACAGATACACAGCTGTGATCAATTCACTATTAAATACATGCAATGTACAATGAAAATGTCTTGACAAAACAAGGCAAAACACCTGAATCTGAATCTGCAACACTGTAGATACCTTCTAGCGAAATGGATGGAACAATAAATCAAAGGGCTTAGAAACCTATTAAAAATTGTCCCTTGTTATTGCGGTTAAAGAAAATTACTAATTGAATGTAATTCTGAAACGAATTGAAGCCCTAATTAAATGACTAAGTGTTTTAGGGCAAATTCTTTACTAATACCTACCTAGTATATACTAGTACTACATAAAGTACTTTTAATTGTATTCTATATGGGAATATAGATATGTTAATCCTGTTGTTGTAATGACGTCGATATTACAAGTATATAAATGTATTACAGGGTGATAGCGCAGTGTGTCAGTAGGTGGTTAGTGATTACTCGCTACAATAAATATTTTAAACTCTATCTCAGTTCATCTAATAATGTGTAAGTTTGTTTGTGTCGATTATTTTATGACGTTCTTGCTCTTATATATAATGTCTGTATATGGGTCAGAACACGGACGCCCCCACATTTTAGGAGAAACGGTGTAGCGAATGGGGTCACCTTTGAATGTGTTGTTGGACAAAATACATTTATGTACGCTGTCATTCTATTTAATAAAACACGCAATTACGTATTTATTTAGGAACTGAAAAGGGACAGAATGATGTGTCGGGGAATCAATAAAAAGAATACTGTTAGCAAAATTTATAAATCGTCTAATGTCACATAATAGATTTACAGGATTTACTGACGGTTTACGGTGGGTATCGTGAGAGCCGACTACGGGAGCAAACTACGTAGGTCAATAGCACTGCAAAGAGAAGGATTGAAAAAAACCCTATACCAGCCCATATGACCAGCGTAGGTTTGGCCTGCCGGCCAAATCCTCCTCTCTAAGGACGGGCCTGTGCCCAGCAGTGGACTAATAAAGGCTGATGATTGCTCTGCAGACGTATATAAGTAGGACACGTTCAACCCCCACTATCTCTACCCACCGTCCATGGTGAACCCCTAAATGTTGTCCATATGGGTGAATATGGACAACATTGACCGGGGTTGAATATAATAACAGACTGGGCAAATATGTTTCTTTATAGCAATACTAGCATCTAATACATTGTAGTTTGATTTAATGATGTGTAATGCTAGTTCCAAAAAACGTAGACGTAACTAGGTTTCCGGTCTATTTTCAACTAAATAACAAACATATTTTCCATTATTAAATCCTAAATATTGACATAACTAAAAGTGAAACATTTATTATTACTATCTTCACCAATACGTATTATAGAAGCAAACAAAAGTTTTAAGATAAATATTCATTCTCAGTTGGAAGTGTTTATTTTTTCTGAATAAGTCCGGAACCTATTGTAACGTAAATAAACTAATCGTTATTTCGACACAGTATATGAATGTGAGAATGATGAATCACAACCTTATGACTAAGACTAATTCCTGTTGATTTTGTAAGTATTAAAATACTAGAAAGAATGTGTATAAACCTTTTTACTTTATGTTGTTTTTTTTTTAGTTTACAGTATTAAATTATTCTATGGCACAAGTGTTGTTCTAACCATTATCGATGTATCGACTATCTATACTTTAATGTTCTACTGTACAGACTAATTTGGATGTAAAAAGCATCTATAAATTCAATTTTTTTAACTATTACATGAACTATCCGAACATATTTGTGTAGGTATACAGGAACAAAATATAACTTTTAATAAAATACAAGTGCCTTGTGGAGTTGTCCGTCTGGATGTTTTGTCATTATAATAAAATACTGCCTTTTAAATCATCGAATTAAGATTATTATCACTTTTCCTTAGATATCTCTTAAGAAGGTAGAGTGGATTTATCCGAGTTTGAAGTTAAGCGACACAATTAGTAACTTTATCATGTTATGCTGTAGAGTATAAATAGTCTAAAGTTTTCTGTTAATATACAAGGACTTCAAGGATTTAGTTTACTTTCAAGTTTTAATATCTAATAAAGGGAAAAATATTTTATAGACATGTTCAACACTTCTACAGAAATGTTCAGAAATGTAGAACACGTATTCCCCACGGTTGAGATGATCGACTGTTTTGAAAAATCACCCCTCCCGTGATTTAGTTAGATTCTAAAAGTTTGTAATACAATACGATTATCCTTGTTTACCAATGAACCTAGTTAACTAAACATCAAACCGCCTGATAAATGGGTACAACAGTAAACAACCTGGAAGAATTTTCACTATCATCTTTAAGACGTAATTGATTATTTAACACAAATATGCGATTTAAAATAATATAGATACTAAATTGGGGTTTATATAGCGGTTCCTTCGCACGCAAAAGAAATATGATCTATTACACTAAACACATTTTAGAGAAATTATTCTACAAGACTCCTTAAAAGATGCGGTAAAAGTTGTTATTCAATACACAACTAGGCTTTCAATTATTCTAATATTACTAAGGCTTGTACTTTTGTGTAAGGCCACTACTAGAGAGTAACTTATTAAGATGGTCGTCTAATATTGGAAGTCAAATATTAGTATTTAAAGTTAAAAACATGTATAGTGACTAAACTAAACTACTAACTAAAAGGGATATTAGGTAAATTATGTTTCTTAAAAATGTTTTAATTTCTATAATTCCGAATTTTAATTAAAAGAAAGTCCACTTGGTGGTAAGTTCTGATCTATTTTACCTATTCTCATTTTATGTTCATCGAATTTAAAATGAACCGAAGATAATATAATTACGCCATAAGTGCACCGCACATTGAAGGCCAATTCTCGTAATAAAAGTTCGGTCACAATTCAGTTGCGATCAACTTTCGATTTTCGTAGATTTTCGCAGTAAAATAGTAAAGTATTACTAAGACTAGCAGATTATCGATTCAATTTTCTTTTTTAAAAAAACAGCAACTGCTCATTGAGACTGTTCTAATAACCCTAAACATGGTATATATGCTGTAACTTTCTGAGGAGTTGGTTATCCCGCAGACTATTTGATGCAGCAGCAAGGTCAAGGTTACCATGTCATGGAAATACCATCTAAGTAAGAGTATACCAAATTTCAGATCAATCGGACCTGTGGATTTTAGTGAGATCCCTTCGTCATCTAGGAGTGAGCTTATGATCTTCAAAATTTGTAACTAAGAACCATCTAGATCCCATCGGCTTTCGAGCAAAAAAATCAGCATCGAAATTGGTCTATTGAGCTATAACGCCACAGACAGACAGAAACACAGGTTAAACTCATAACATGCCTCGTTTTCCATCGGAGGTTAAAAATACCTTATATGACAGTTGTGAGATCGAAAATTGATCAGAACGGAATTCAGACCGATCTTTTATTACGAGAATTGGTCTTCGAATGTATTATCTATAAAAGTTATTAAAAACCTGCACCTAAAAATGAAATTTTGTACCGAAATGTATGTATTTACGCAAACCCTATAATGCAAAACATATAATTTATTGCTACACTACTTTGGCAAATGTATTATTTTAAACCATGTTACATGATATGACATTGGATATTGGATAGTAGTCTAGACTCATTAAATGTAAAATATAATTTCGTCCTAGTTTTCGGTGTCATTTGTGTGCTTTGCGCATAGGGACGCGCCGATTTTGTATCTTCACACAATAAATTCACTTCACCTTATACGGATAACACAAACAATGACTACAAACGCGCCTTAATAAATCACAACGATTTGTTTAAATGGCTTTTGGTTGGAGATGTAATTGACTATGTACGTGATAGCCTGCGAGGGCGGCTTTTCGAAAATAGGGCGGTAAGACCGAACGACGCGGCGCCTAACGCGGGACTGTCGCCCGCCCAGTTTTTCCCCTCTTACTCGCCGCCCGTCCGTGGTCGAACAAAACACAGATTATGGAAACACATTTATTAGCCAAAATACTACCTATGTACTAAAAAATCAAAGTTTCTACAAAACGTACACAATGATCGCTTAGCGTTCTATATTCTAATTTGTCAATTGTAAAATAGTTTCATCGGACTAGTTTAAATAATTTGACCTGACAAAGCTTTAGCTAATTGCAATTTTATGCCAGCTATTCTTAGTTCTTCATCATCACACCTGAGTGATTTGCAGGCGCGGCAGATTAGGCTGACGTCGAGGTGGACGCCGTGGTCGTCGTCTGCACCAGTCCCTGAATGCACGCAATGATCGTGAGCACGATGCGCGCGATGGCAACTTGCACCTCTTTCGAGTCTCCTTCTCTGCTCCAAAAGTTGTACTCATTCTGTTTCCGGGTTTAGGTATTTCATACACAATCTTAGGACTATCTACGGCCTCAGACCTCGGAGCGACCCGATATTTCACTCCCGTAATAGCTTTCTTTATTCCATTGAAGGCACGTTTTGTCGAGTGTTCTTCTCCTTTCACTTCAAAAGTGGTCTCTCTTGGAACCGCAGTTAGTCGTCCAGTCGGTGGGCCACTTGCAGTAATTGACTTGGCCGGATTACTGTCTTGGCGTTTAACAAGAAACCTCAGCTTGCTGAGGATTGTCGGAGGAGGGTCAGTATTTGTACCAACCGTACAAACTTGCGGTTTGAAGTAGTCATGTTCGGGGACTGTGTAAGCTTGACAAGGAAGCGTCGCTGCTCGTTTTGGTAAAGGTTCATCTTGCAGATATGCAATGTGCAATGTGCTGATACTTAAAGGTTGTTGAGGAGGCCACAACTCTCTCGTTGGCGGGATGGGCGCTGGCCGTGCTCCGAGCATACGACGTGCAAATTCGCCAGGCTGCCACAAGTAGTTCGCTGTCAAGTTCCCGTGCGTTTGCATCACGATACCAATCTTTACTAACAGTATATTTGTTACGATCGCTAATCCAATACTAGGCTTCGCGCACTTGTCGGTTTTCACCTTGATGTTAAGTAAAGGTTTTTTCCAATAGGATCAAAGTGATGAATATTGAATTAGCAACAAATAATTATTTGTTGAACATTTAACTTTATTCACTTTTAAGAATTGCCCTTAAAATCGCACTCTTGTTGCCTCATTCTCGATATCGAACGATATTCATTAGTTAAGCTACTGGTGATCCATATCCACATATGTAGACACATAACTTTGAAAATTCGCAATTTCGTCTTCACATTTCAAACTGCTGTTCCTTATGAGTACAAGAGTACCTGAATGCCAACTACAACCAATACCTGGATGCTAATTACAGCAATCTGGCTAGTAAATTCATAAAGAAATGCTTTAAATATTGTCAGTAAGTATCAAATATTCAATTTTATTTAAATTAATTTTAGGAGAGTTTTTAATATTCCATGAGTGTTCTATTAGTTATATATTTGAGCCGAGCAATTTTTTGAGATAGTACTTCAGATATCCAATTCCTAAAATACCTTTAACTAGTTGATAAAAATAAAAGAAGAGAATATTGCAGATTGAAAATGTCACAAGTATTTGTACAAGTTTGGCAAAAACTGTAACGTTACGTGATAATGGAACGTCATTATAAGCCGCTATCCAAAGGCACAGCAATGACTATTTCCGTATGAGTCAGTTTTACAATTGCGCTCTGCTTAATGTAATTGTATGGTAAATCATTACACTGAGGTTATTTAAAAAACATTAACATAATGTCTTATGAACGACTTTGAGATAGTGACGGGAAACTAATTGGATACCTCCTCATTAAAGGGACCACGCATAGAATTTTAATAACAAATGGTGATGCACTATGATGTGTTATGTACAGTGGAACATTACATTACACATCATACAGTACATTATTTTTTATATGATATTGAAATACTAATATTCAGGATTTCAGGTACTCAACTTGCAACAGAGACAATGTTCTTGTTGCAACCCCACACCTGCGTGAGTGACATGTGTTCAATGTTTTGAAGTGAAACTTCTTTATGCATGCTTGACTTAGGGAGTAAGCTGGTGAATGCGTGACGAGAGCGTTACGAAAAGTGTGATCGGCCGAGGCGAACGGAAGTTGAGTTAACAAAAATTTGACCCATTCAAATAAAATGTTTTTTTACTTTAAATTGATTGCAACAATTTATTATTCATTGCTTTCAATTTGTTACTGCTTAATATTGAAGGAGGTCCTTCATTTTAAAATTAAAATAATTTTTCATAGGGCAACAAAATGAAATGATGAATAACTTGTAAAAGTAGGAGCTTCTTACAATTTTTCATGATTTAGGAGCATTTAGTGAGTAATATACTTTTTTTTTTAATTATCTATTCTATTATAAGGGGCCTATGACACTTATTACTGCCTGTAGTGTTTTATTATTATTATTATATTTAATACACTAGCAGCTTAAGGCTGATGTGTGTATATCATTACACTTGTGCATTTAAATGTTTATCAAGTCTATTTTTAAAAATGTTAATACTCTGGGCACCTATCACAGTTTCCGGCAAAGAGTTCCACATATGCACTACTCAGTTAGGCAAAAAATGTTTTCTGGGATTACTAGTACACAGGTGCTTGCTGAGCTTCATAGAATGACCAATATAATAATACCAATATTTTTCATGTTTGTTTTGAATGTTTTGAGGTTTAAACAGTAAGAAAATTTAGAGTAAGCGGATTAATATTGGGACAAAATAACAGCAAATCTTCAGCTCTAATAAATTTAAAAACATTAATTTTTAGCTATGATTGCGTAGATCAAACATACCCATACACTGAGGTTTGTCATTGAATCACATTTACAACTACTAAATTAAATCATAGGTCATACTACAATAGCCACTGGCAAAATCTAGTAGTACATTAACATCAGGCTTTTGAAAGGTATATGTACTATATTCTTAATACCTTTCGTGAGTGTGTTAATTCCCATAAACATCTAATATTTACAAGTCTCTGTCCCAGTGTTTGATACCAAACTCCTCTGACATGGCTTGAAAAATTTTTATGAAATTTTGTATGCATATTGGGTAGGTTCGATAATTGGCCAACATCTATTAAATGATAAGGGTTCTAAATGTATATTTTATTTTTTTGACAATTTTTTTTATTTTAATTTTAATACTATTTAGCATTGAAAACTACATACAACAATAATGTATAGTGCAAAACAATGTTTGCCGGGTCAGCTAGTAATTATATAAATACCTACTATACTGGTATTATATAATGCATTTGAAATGATGAACATTTAATTTTGTCTTACCTTAAGAGGTCTTGTTATAGTGACAGTCTCTATTACCGTGGTTGATGCCATTCTATTAGTTTCTAGATTGCCTGAAAGGAAAGGAAATATGTGTACACTTATTTAATGAATTATTTACTCAGATTATGCAGTACCCAGTAGTATTTGCACATTAAATATGCACATACACTCAAACGCAAACAGACACTCATGCTTACAAACACAAACACATATGCATGTATCTCATGCACAAATAAAACTAGTCCATATACCGACAGGTCCGGCACTGTAACTCCTAATCACAGGCTGCTCAGTAGCCTATGTGGGAGTACAGTTCTCAGGCTGTTTTAGTAAACAGTGTGAAAATTGACATTCATTGTACAAAATACATGTATACCCAAAATACATATATGGACTACATCATCTTGGCCCGGTCAATGATTAAGTAAAATGTAAGCCCAATATTCAATAACATTCAAAATGCAGAGTTCAAACCTAAAATAGATACAACTCATACATGAGATGAGTACTCTTTGTACACCTAATATCAAAGCCTTAATAACAAGGTCACTCTACAAAGAATAAAATAGTTCTAGTTATTATACGTGAATGTAATCCTAGCAAATAAATGATACGGTACAGTATTAAATTTACAGGTAGTATTATAACAATGATATTCGGAGATATTGTAGGTTTATATTTATAAAATTATTAAGCGAATAAAACATTTATAGTATAATACCAAAAAAATATTATAAATACTTACATGGACTTGATTTCTATGTTAGATTTACTAAAGTAGAGTGTACTAGATGCAGTTTCAGATTTTAAAACAGAACGTTGCACCAGGCGAGATTACTATTAATTATTATTAGGTTAAAATTAAGTAATTACTAACGTAGAACATTAGAATAATATTGTTCATTTGCTACTGATTTCACAATCCTCACACGCAATTTACTCACGCAGACATTATATAAATACTAACAAATTGACAAACAATGACATAAGTGTTGGGGTACCCAATACAATACCATTTCTCAAAGTAAAGACCACAGAGTACAGTAATGGTATTATAAACACTAAAAACTAAAAAATATAACCCGGACCATAGATAAAAAAAATCCTTTCATATTCATGATTATTTTCTTATTAAGGCTAAAAAGTAACAAATAACTTTATCACATAGGTATATGCTTTACTGCACACTACGGATACCCGATTATTTTTTGTGATCGATCTTCTAGATCGCAAGGGATCGTGACCTCGTGAATGGATTCAATTCACGATTTTAATCATATTAATTTGATAATTGAATTGAATTGATCTTAATCGATTTCGGAAAATCGTTTAGTAATTTTATAAAAATAATAAAAAAATACAGTATGCATGCAAAATTGTTTATTATAACTGAATATACTATATCTAATAGAAAGTGTACCACAGATATCGACGGCCCTTATGAAAGCCCTACCAAATCCCTTAAATACTCAAAAACAAACATTTTGATATGAAGCCATAATTCGTTGTACATTGAGTCTAGTGATGCGCAAAATGTATCACTGAGCTGAAAAGATTGATACATATCATTTCGCTCAAAAGATTTATATCACTCATCTAGCTCACTAGCTCATTTAGCTCACTAACTCGTTCAGCTCACTAGTAATAATTAATAATTAAAAATAAGAAATTATTTCTTGTACTTTTGTTTAGGTTGTATAATAGAAATCATACATAATTTGATTTTCCTTGTATTTGGCAGGCTCAAAGTTTAGGCTAGGATCAAAGTTTAATATTACTTAAGATTAATTCTTAAGTAATATTAAACTTTGATCCTAGCCTAAACTTTGAGCCTGTAAAAATGTACATTATTTCTATAGGATCAAAGTTTAATATTACTTAAGATTAATTCTTAATCTTTGATCCTATAGAAATAATGTACATTTTGCATTAAAAAACTTGCGTGAACTCAACCATCATCTATATCACTCATTTATCTTTAGTCTCACTCGCTCATGAAACAAAGATCGGCGTCGTTGAGCTAGTGAGCTAGTACTGAGTTACTGATAGATTCGGAGCATGTGTGAGTGAGTGATACATTTTATCGTCGTGAATGATATATATCTTTTATATCACTCACTCAGGAGCTACACAACTCTACACAAAAATAGTAATTCAGAGAGACTCAATTTGTGTCTCTCTGAATTACTATTTTTGAAAACATGTCTAACAATGCTGATTTCCAATTCTAACTATCTATATATAGAATTTCAAAAATGATAATTTAGATAGACGCACTGGATCTAGCCTATTACGATTATCTGTCAAAGTATTTCCAGCCAGAGACTACAATTGTCAAATACTTTAATGCCAAACAGCTTAAATCCGGGACGATAGCATTCCTCAGCATTCCTGGTGATCCAATAAGATAATGGCTCTGCTTGCAAGCAATGGTTCCCTCAGGAACTGTTTTCAAATGTCATCCAGTCTCTCTTTTGGAATATTTTGATTAGATTGGGCAACTAACCGGCTATGAAATTTCAAAATGTTTTTATCTCGGTTAGCCAAACGCAAAACCACATCCGAACCAAAGCGAAGTTGTTGAACCTGTATTGCCTTCCAATGATTTAAGTAAATCAGTGATGTTAATGACTTTTCACATGATTGAGCGACAGTGAAATATATCTTTTTGAATCGGTGGGCTAATATCGTAGAAATCGCCAAAATGTGTACTTTTTCGAAATATTTGAAGCGTTAATCAACTTCGCCGAGTATTTTTGCTTTAATTTATAAACTAATGTCAAAAACATCGGAAGTAGATGCAGTAGTAGCAAATTCGATCGATATGGTCATACAAAATATAATTCATAAATGATAATACTTCTTGTAACATAATCTTGACCCGAGATCTCTTTAGTAACGTTTTCGATAGGGGGCAAAACATTAATAATAAATTGCCATCATAAAAGGAATTATTAATGTTTGATTTTGTTAGAGGGGCCATTTTTGCCAGAGGGCCTGGCTGAGGACTCAATTGTGGATTACATAAGCGCAGGCTATTTCTTAAGTAAAAGTGTGGTATGTTCTAGTATATTTATTATTATTATTATTTCTATTTTTATGTTTCACTTCATTTTCTCTTTTATTCGTTTTTTTTAAATCTTGTTTTCTCTTCATCGTCTTGTTACCTTTTAGTCCTTAATAACGGACGTACTGGCACACATCAAAACAATGTTGTGGTATATTTAATAATGCCATTGTATCTATCTGTAAATTGCAAAAGAGTGGTCATGAGTTTGTTTGCCCTTTCTTCTCATAAGGCTCAACCCTTGGAAACGGGCGATTGTAGATCGGCACAGGCATATCATAGATTTTGTATAAGTTTAATTTTTATTAAATTTATTTGTTTACTATTTGACAAAACAGAGATGAGTCTACATAAAAGACGATTTCAAACAATTTTTAACTGAAAAAAATCGATTTAGTGTATCAAAATCGCGTTATCTTAACTTACGTTAATCGCAACTTAATAATTGGAATATGGCAATGATAATAGGGAATCAATAGTAAACAAGATATGAATGAGTGTGAATATAAATGCTATACAGTCAGCTGATGCGAGACCTTGCTGTAAATGTTGCAACATTCGATAGGTGGACGAATTTTTTTTGGGGCGATGTAATAAAAGTTTCACAAAAAAAAAAAGTATTCTATTAATCAATCTTGCTTTCAGAGCACAAGCTCTGCTTTGTTTGAAACTAGATGGCGTTGTGTGTCAGATGTCTGAAATATTAAATATTATTATACAGATATGTATGATACATACATATGTATGGATAATAATATTCAATTGGTATGTACGAAGCTAATAAAAGCGTGTTAAAATAAGAGAACTTGCTTTACTTCTCTTTTGAGATTTATCATAGAAAAATAATACTTTTTTTACACATTTACTGTGGCCGTGTGGTGAATGTCGAATTTTCAACGAGCAGTACCTAGATTTTCAGCAAGTTTAGTCTTTTTTTTTTCAAATGGCAACGCCCATTGGGGGACTATTAAGCATTGAGAGCTGCCTAGTAGTCTTTGGTGTATAGTCTTCGATCAACAATAGCAATAACGATCAACAATAGCGATCAAAAAGTTGCTATTGTTGATCGAAGTGTATAGTAGATACATGCATTTCTGAGGTGACACTATAATAATTAATTATGTAATTACTCGTACTCGCTTTATTCGCATTTAAAACGATTGGAACCGTAGTGGTTTTCTGATTTTGACGGTGCGTTGTTTAATTACAGAGTGGGTGGGAATGTTCGCTGCTCTTTTATCAATTTATAACATGAAAACTAACTCAACGCAGTCTGAGCTCCCAAATAGGTTTCCACACTGCATCTTTCACCTTGCCACTGCAGTTTTACACACATAGATAAGCATAGAGTGAACACTGGAAGCAATACAGGCAACAAGACAGATGGAGGCCCGATATTTCCCTCAGTCAACCACAGGCCTCGATTAGTAAGGGACATACTTACTAACTCTATCCATATCTCTCGTTGCCTATATTGCAAGATCGGGGCTCTTGTTCACTCTATGCTTATCACCATGATTGCAATATTTGCAATACATTTAGGGATGAGTTATACCTGTCTTGTTACAAACCGGGAAATCATAAGTACCTACTGACTGACTGACTTTCTTTGGGGCTAGTATAGTAATGTTGTTTTGTAAACAGATGTTATTATTAGACTTGCAACGAATATTCGGTTACTATTCGGCCTATTCGGCTGCTTTTAGTATATTCGGCCGAATACCGAATATCTACATATTATTCGGCCGAATACCGAATACTTAAATAATATATTTTGTCATTGAGAAATAATTGGTAAAATGAAAAATTAAAATCGATTGATTACGTATATATTCATATTTTCATTTCTGTTATAATCATTTAAGTAGTCATTGGTGCATAACACAGGTACATAATCATCTTCTGAATAGGAAAAATGGAGGATTCTATGTATTTGAATTATTGTGGTAATCAAAATTTAGAAGGGTAAGGTTCTCATTTCTTTTATAATCATTTATTAAGTAGTAATTGGTACATAAAACAGGTACATAATTTAATGCACGTCTGTACAAGTTTTTGGCGCTAAAATCCAGCCGAATACTTTTGCCTAATATTCGGCTATTCGGTCAGGGGCCTCGCCGAATATTCGGTATTCGGTATACTGCCGAATATACTATTCGTTGCAAGTCTAGTTATTATTATATTTAGGTATGATTTATGGTGGAGTACACCGTGTGGTGACGGATTAAGAATACAGAGTGTCACCACCCCTATTCATCCCGTGGGTGTCGTAAGAGCCGACTAAGGGAAAAAACTAAGCAGGACAACAGCACTGCAGAGAGAAGGAAAACTTGACACAAACCCTTTACCAACCCGTCTGGCCAGCGTGGTATAGTAGGCCAAAACCTCCTTTCTCAGGAGAGGCTTATGTCCAGCAGTGGACTATTAAAGGCTGTTGATGATGATGATGATGATTTATGTACAAACATTTAATATAGATCTACTACCTTCGCGGCACCGTGCGACTAACGTATGACTTCATATGCTAACAATTTAAATATTGTTTTCTGTTTTTCTACTAGTTTACTAGTTTCCGGTTTGCGGGCGGCTAAATGTTGTGTATAGTGTTTTAAAGAATATCAGTAAGTTTTTATTGTTTTTAAACAGTAATATAGTGCTCAATTATTTTATTACGACTATTGGTGAGTAAATTCATTTTCTTTCTAAAAGTGGGTAGGAGGTATCCTTTGTTTATATTGATTTTTGTCTGCGTGTTGTCTATTTTTAAACTTGTTCTTTTTGAAATTGTTGTTTAGTGTGTCTTTGTTTGGCTATGTCGGTCGTTAGCGAGTTGCCGGACCGCGGCGGTACAAGTGAATTTCTAACACCAACCGGGAAAAGGACATTTAACGAAATGTCACCTACGGATTTCTCGCCGAAAGACAATAGCCGTAAACGCATTATTAATTCGGACTTAAGTGGTAATGTTTCGTCTCCTACCGGTCGTGATAACTGTGTGGAGTACAACTACTGTGACTTAGTGTCACAGGCCACCGATTATTTACCAAAAATTAATGAATTAGAATTAGATGAATGTAGGTAATAAAACAGCGATTATGGATATTACTCAACGAATTACCGGTATCGTATCCCTGTTAGCAATAAAATCCTTTAGCAACGAAACGAAGTTAGCGAATTTTGAGCGACAAATGGAGGGTATCGCAAACGAGTTTAACGTACGCGGACAAACTTAAGCTTCGCTTACCACCTAAATCTGCCCCGTGCCCGGTATCTACTGAAGCGCGCGTTCCTAGGCCTTGTGCCTATCCCACTACGGAACGCTTAGCGGACTATGCGACCTCGTCAGCAACGAAACAAGCTCTCATGAAGGCTATTAAACCGAGCGATGAGGGTTTCCAAATTGTAGGCGTTAAAAAAACCTCTAAGGCAGGCGTCGTGTTACGTGTAGCTAACGAACGGCAGCTTAAGAAACTGGAATCTGTAGACGCCATTAAATCTGTAGGGTTACGATTAGAAAAACCGAAAGGCCGAAAGCACCGCATAATTGTAAAAGACGTACCCGGTTCTATGGAAGATCGTGCCTTCCTAACAGCCTTATACCGTCGGAATATCAAGGACGAATTAAAATTAAGTGAGAACGATTTTATTAAGTCAACCAAAATTGTTAGGCATCGTAAACTAGAAAATGGGCGTCAATGGATAGGCTTAGAATTAGAGGCAGCAGTTAGGAAACATCTAGCCAACACAAAAGATAAACTTTATATAGACAGGGCCACATGTAGATTCATAGACGATATAGAAGTAGTTCGTTGCTTAAATTGTCAGCAATTCGGTCATGTACAAAAGTTTTGCACCATTAAAACCCCTACTTGTGCTAATTGCGCCGCCGCACATGAAACACGAGCTTGTCCAGATAAAGACAACCAGATAGAGACCTAAAGACACGCCCACGGGCGCACAGTGCAAGCGGTTCAAAAAACCATCTGACCATCGATGCGGCTCACACGACTGTGCCACATACAAATTAAAACTGGAACAGCCAATATTAAATACCAATTACTGAATAGTTTTATCTAAAAAAAAAAAAAGACTTATAGAGTAACTTACGTAAGTGATGTATAATATTTCAATAGGCCAGTTAAATCTTCATAACGATAAAATAGCTACATCAGAATTAGACCGTTTCATTTTAGAACAAAAGTTAGACATTGTCCTTATACAAGAACAATATCAGAGCGCTCGCTTGCGTCGTAATGTAGTACAGCTTGACTGCCGTTCACAGGCTGGGATATATGTTGCAAGTTCTAATTTTACGGTAACATCTTTGCTTAATCTTATGACGTCACACTGCGCCGTTGCTGAGATCTAATCCTCTACCTGTAAGGTTTACGTAGTGAGCTCCTATTTTCAATATTCACATCCTATTGATCCTCACTTACATCACTTACGTTACGTCTTGCAGTTCCTCGTGGGACATAAAATTAAATGAATCTTACTATTCACAATACCCTCGATGCACCACCAACTTTTTGCAACCCAAAGGGTGAGTCTTCTATTGACGTTACGCTTACGCGCGGCGACGTCTCGATATTCGGATGGCGTGTCCTTCCGGACGCATCCTGTAGTGATCACCGCTTGATCGTGTAGGTACGAATTCATACCAAGGGTTGCACAGGATCCACAAAGGGCTCCCTATAATTTTAGAAATAAAACTAAAGGTGCGAACTGGGCTTTGTTTGGTTCACTCTTTGCAACTCATACCAAAGACTTCAGTCGCAGTAGTTTATCAGCTGAGGAAAGCGCAGAAATACTATCAGAAACTTTCACATACTGCGCTGATGTATCTATTGGTCGCGGATCTATCACTAACACTCGTAGATGTGATTGGTGGAATGATAGATTAGCCGAACTACGTAGAAGCTACCGGAAAGCTCGTAGAAAGTTAAACACTATTAAAAAACATAACGTAACAGGAGATTTGTACAATAATGCTCTCATTGCTCTTAGAGTTGCCAGGTCCCACTACAAAGCTGCTGTGGAAAAATCCAAGGGAAACTTAATTCAGAAACTTGTTGATAAACTCGATAGAGAGGGCCCATGGTCACCTTTGTATCACGAATTGAAGGCAAATAGATCAATCGACCTTGCATACATACAGAACATCAAAATTAATAACAGATATACCACAGGAGTAGAACAAACTTTAGAATCACTCGTACCTGACGATCGGCCGGAAAACGACACTGATCATCACCGACAGATCAGGCAGTGGGCCATCGAACCACTACTGTCTGCAATGTCTGATTTACCATCTTCAGACGAATTTCTCGGTATCATTCAATCCTTGCCGCTAAACAAGGCTTCGGGCGATGATAAAATATCTAACAAAATGATAAAAGAAGCTTGTAAACTTTCGGGTGACACGATTTTCACTGTCTTTAAACGTTGCATTGCTGAAGGAATATTTACTCGTATATGGCGGTGCGGTAATATTCGTATAATACCAAAAAGTGGCGACAAGCCACCGGATGATCCTAAATCCTACCGACCAATCACATTGTTACCATCGTTAGGAAAGCTTTTAGAACGGCTTGTAGTGCCCCGGCTTCTGCCAGGTGGAGTCAAATTTCATAATAGACAATTTGGACTTACGTTGGGTAAATCGACAACTGACGCTGTTATATCGGTTATAAAGTTTGTCACAGAGTCAAAATTTCAATACGTGCTGGCTATTTTCTTAGATATATCTGGCGCCTTCGACAACGCATGGTGGCCCATGCTGTTGCTGAAATTAAAATCACGAGGGTGCTTTAAATATATTTATTCCCTTATCTCTTCCTACTTTTCACAGCGTACAACTAAACTAAGACTTGGTCATCATTCTGTGTCGAAGGCGCTTACAATGGGATGTCCTCAGGGATCGGTGCTAGGTCCATACTTGTGGAATATCGGCTTCGACGATTTTCTTGCGATACCAATACCATCAGGATGTACTCTGAACGCGTATGCTGATGGCGGCTTATTACTGGTGGAATCTGATACTAGGGCGGGGCTTGAGAGATTAGCCAATAGATGATGTAATCGCTTAATTTTTGCACCCAACAAAACCTTCCAGCTACTTTTAAAAGGTAACCTCAAATCACCGCCAAGCATTAGATTTGACAATGTTACTGTAAAAAATAAAGCCTCAGTGTGTTACCTAGGATTAGTTTTAGAAAGAAACTTTTCATTTATTGAACATATTAAAATAGTTAATGAAAAGTCTAAAAAGAGTTTCTGTGCATTGACAAGGATATCAACTGCGACATGGGGTCTATCATTTAATACATTAAAGATCATATACGGAGCTACTTATTTAGGTTCTATGTGCTATGGTGCACCTGTATGGGCCGATGGGGCGACCGTAGGTGCTGTTACAAGGCCAACGACTTGCACTGATATTCTTGTGCAAGGCATATAGGACGATTAGCACTGAGGCTTTGCCGGTGTTGGCGGGTATGCTTCCGGTCGATCTCGAGGTGCAGAGACGTGCAGCCATGTACTATTCAAGACCACAAAACATGGAATGCGATTTTTTGGGCGCGCGGGATCGCGGTAAAATTACAAGATTGCTTCAACAGCAGTCCGATGTCTATAATGACCTCATAGACGAATGGCAACAACGCTGGGATGAATTATCCAAGGGGCGCCATCTTTACCAATTCCTTCCATCTGTTCGCGAACGGTTGTCGAGGACATGGCTTGAGGTGGATCACTGTGTCGCTCAATTTCTTATGGGTCATGGTAACTTTAAGAGCAAGCTTTATTCATTTAAATTAGTCGAGTCACCATTGTGTCAATGCTCAACACCTAACTCTCACTATGAACAGTCTGCTCATCATATCCTCTGGGAATGTAGTCTTTGGTATAGTGAACGTAATATAATGCTGAATAGCTTGCAGGTGACATCTGGGGCGGTATACTATGGGGATCTTTTGTCAACTAGGGTGAATTTCCGTGCGTTTAGGCGATTCTGCCATACATATTATAGAAATCAAATATATCTCACGTAGGACCCGGACCCTCCAATTTTCTTCCGATTAATTTCGTTGCGGGTTCCAAGACAGTTTAATTTCTTCCTGGGACTGCCCGAGTGTCATAACTCGGTGTGTTCGTGGGTCACTGCTGTGGATCCTGGTGTACAGGAGTTACAGTGGTGGGCGTGTGGGTGGGATTAGTCAAAAGATCTACTAGTCCTACTCCGCTCTGTATTACTATATGGATGAACAAGTTACGATAATTACATTGCTAGTGCAAATTAAACATCACATCTGGCAGCACTTGTCTTTAATGACAATAATAAAAATGTCAAATTATACCGGCTCTAGCGGCGACTGGCGGTAAATTTCTCCTTGTCTGCCATTGTTGCGTCTCAGTACAGCGTCCAAGATATTTAATTCTGAATGTTGATTCGTTTAGCGAGAACTAACTTTTTTTCACTAAGCAAACAGTGATATACAATGGCTGTTGTTAAATCTTTAGCCATTAGAGGTATACGAAGTTTCGGTCCGGAAGATTCTGATGAGCAAGCCATATCATTTGAAAGTCCTCTAACCCTAATTCTGGGACAAAATGGATGTGGTAAAACAACAATTATAGAAGCCTTGCGCTATGCTATCACGTCGCAAATGCCTCCAGGAATAGGACACAATGACTGTTTTGTCCACGATCCTAAAGTAAACAGATCTACGGAGGTTCTTGCACAAATAAAACTTAAGGTACCTATGTTGTTGCACTGGATATGCTATTTAACATTAGTTATTATTGTTTAAAATTCCTATAAGATTTTCGTTTACGTATGTTTGTTTTATAGCTTTTAAATGCTAAAAATCAAAACATGGAAGTCTCAAGATCCATGAAGGTGATTGTTCAAAAAAAGAAAACGACGTTTCGGACACTAGATTCCCTTTTATCGATAACTAATGAACAGGGGCAAACAAAGGACATTTCTAAACGATGTGCTGACTTGGACTCAGTTCTACATGATGAACTAGGTGAGTACAATATCAGTAATATTTTGGATCATGGCCATTATTGCAAGATTGTGACCCTTTAAGAGATGTGAACTCTTTCGAATTATTTCACAAAGAATGTTGTTTTCATGGATGAAGAGATTTATTTACATTTTCAAGACAAATTATATTATTAGAAGCTTTATGAGAGAATTACAATTTTATACATATACTAGTACAGCTAACAAATATAGAACACTCACTCACACTTGCGCCGAATATATCAGTATCTCAGTACTAGCTCACTAGCTCAACGATGCCGATCTTTGTTTCATGAGCGAGTGAGACTAAAGATAAATGAGTGAGATAGATGATGATTGAGTTCACGCAAGATTCTTTATTCAAAATGTACATTATTTCTTTTTGTTTTGTTTAAAAATAAAACTCCCGCATTAGGAATATATCCTGTGTCGCGGGGGTCTTTACAAACATACATGAAACGGACACAAAGAACACCCAGACTCAGAACAACAATTGTGGATCACACAAAGTGTCGCCCATGTGGGGATCGAACCCACAAAACTCAGCATAGTAGTGAGCGGCGTGGCGACCCCTTAAACCACTACGCCATCCGTGCAGTCATTTCTATAGGATCAAAGTTTATTATTACTTAAGAATTAAGCCTGCCAAGTATAAGGAAAATAAAATTATGTATGATTTCTATTATACAACCTAAAAAAAAGTACAAGAAATAATTTCTTATTTTTAATTATTGTATAAAAGGGTGTTAATAATTTTGTAATCTTATCAAAATGAATAAAATTGTATTTAAAAAAAATAGGTTAAAAATGTGGTTTCAAAAACTGAATTTAGGTTAATATGAAAATAAAGAAAGGTTTGTATGGCGAGAGAGGCTTGAAGTGAGTGATATACGAGTATACTGAGCTAAACGATCTAGATGAAGAAATGAATTAATTGAGAGACCAATCAATTAAATCGTATCAATGAGCTAGTGAGCTAAACGAGTTACTGAGCTAAACAAGTTAGTGAGCTAAACGAGTTAGTGAGCTGATGAGCTAGTGAGCTAGATGAGTGATATATATCTTTTGAGCGAAATGATATGTATCAATCTTTTCAGCTCAGTGATACATTTTGCGCATCACTATTTTACAACATTTAAAACCTATGTCTTTTTCATTTTCAGGTGTATCTCGGGCCATATTGAACACAGTAATATTTTGTCATCAAGAAGAATCTAGCTGGCCTTTGGATGAGGGCAAGAAAGTTAAAGATCGTTTTGATGAAATATTTGACTCTGACAAATACAGCAACTGTTTTGAGAAACTAAAAAAGATAAGGAAGAATTATGCAACTGACATCAAAATACTTAGTAAGTTATTTAGTGTGTTTTATATCTCAGCCTTAGTCTGAAAAAGTTTGTGTTGAATATTGTTTGATCAGAAAAAAAAGTGTATAACTTTTGCTCTATGGTTTGCACTATCTTCTTAAGCTATGCATTTTAATTGCAACAAGTTTTCTTTACAGACATTAATAAAAGCATTGATTAAATACCATTTAATTTAATAGTCATGCTGAGGTGGATTATCTCATTTATTATTTCTCTATACTATTCAACAAAATAGTAGTCACAGTCTAACACTGCTTTTGTTAAATAAAACTGTAAGAAGTGGGTTCCAAAGGTCCCGGCAGAATGCTATATGACCGCCTTATTAAAAAAAATGCTTTTCACAACATACCTCATTTAGCAACTACATTTACCTAATATCTTTGGAGAATTATATCTGTTAAAAGGATCAGTTGTATTGTAAACAATTTGAATAGATAAAAGATCGACATCTGGGGCACAGTATAATGGTCAATGGCTATTAAGGTCACAAAAGTAAACAAAAATGTGTCAAGTTTTGGGTCTTTCATAATTTTTAGAAACAAAATACACATGAATCACATGAATGTAGTATAATCAAACCTGCTTCTTCATATCTCTTCAATCAGTTTGTTACTTATTTGTACACAAGACACACCAAAACATATTGTCAAGTTATTTGGAAACTTTGAACATATCACAATGATAAATAAATAAATTAATACCTAAAAAAATCGCACATTATATAAGCTAGAGAGTGGTATCCCAAACAAAGAATTGGCGAAAGAATATGGTGTCTCACACTCGACAATTTCAACCATTTGGAAAGAAAGGTGAAAAATGCAAACCCTTTATGACATAATTTTTTGTTCATTGAAGATTGAGGAAGCTTAGTTAAAGTGGTTTAAATATCAAAAGACAAATAATGTGCCAATAAATGGGCTAATTCTTCAACAAAAAGCAAACGATTTTGCTCAGCGTTTTGGCTAAGATTTCGTTTGCTCCTCTAGTTGGATTCAACGTTTCCATGCTCGGTACGATATAATCACGGGCTGTTACAACTATCGCTTTTTACAACCAAATATGAGTAGTCTCTCTGATGTCGTTATAACAGATTTTGACTGTATCTACATATTTTTCAAATTTAATTTTTCAGCGGAGCGTGTTGCTATTTTAGAAGAACAGAAAAAGGAACTTGACTCAAGAAAGATGGATGTAATCAACACTGAAACTACCATATCAGAAACTGAATTAAAATTAGGGGAACTTGTTAATAAAATAGAACCAATTGAGGGAAAGCTAAAAGAGATCAAAACAGTTGAAGCCAGCCTTGCTACTTATGACACTAAGCTTGGGAAACTAAAAGTGAAGTAAGTACTGTAAAGTTTTAAATTCTATAAGTGTTTTTCTAGTCAAGAAGAGAACCATTAGTAGCGAAAATTGATATGATAATGTTTTTTTTTTTACCAAATAAAATTTATAGGAACAGAACTAGGTATGCAAAAATTGTATTTTTTTATTCTCATACTGTTTATGAGGGAATAAAAATATTAAAAGACTAATTGGAAGTATTATTACTACAGGTTGGAACAATGCCGCAAGCATGAGGAGGATCTAAAGAAAGACATAAAGAATTTATTTGAAGGAACTCTGCCAGAACTAAAGGAGAAAATAAGTAAGACTTATTGTTAATCTGTAAAAAGTAACAACAATATATCTCCCAAAATAGGCACTTTTCTTACTAATCCAGTAGTGCATGTTTGTACAACTACTTATTATTACATATTATTATGTAAAGTGCTCTTGCAGGACAAAAGTAAATGGCCAACTGTCTCAGGCTCTGGGTGCATCATATTTACTCATAAACTAATTATATAAGGACTGAACATACATTATGGACCGGATCCAAATAAACAAATAATGTAGGTTATAGCACACATATAACAATAATTTGAATACATCATAATTAAACCTATTAAAAATAAAGCATTTCATGCACTGTCATGCTTTATTAAAACTAATTTATCATTTGTGTTTCAGCAAATTATGATGCTACAGTAAAAGCTAAGCAAAAGGAGCTGAAAGAATCTTACACCAAGATATCTAAATTTAATGATGAAGAAGAAAAAGTTGCAAATGAAATACAATCAAATAAACTGAAGCTTGAAAAATTGGATGTGCTGGAAAGCCTAAATGAAAAGAAAGTTCTTGAAAGAAATGAAATGATTGGTACTGTGGCCAAAACAGCAGGTAAATGAATACTGTATACAAAACCAATAAAAATCTCATAGAAAAATATAATTATGTATATATCTCTATAATATATTGGTACAAAAGCAAATAATCCAACATAATTATGTTGTCTTATGCAGTAAATAGATCCAAATATTTGTAAATGCAATTTTATTGTTTAATTGTTGTTATAAGGTCTTGAAGAAATACCCACAATCGGGACAAATGAGGAAGCAGAGAATGCAATGACTGCCATCAGTGATAAGATCAAAAATTTGGAAAAAGAAGAAGCTGCACTTAAGTCTATTGCTGATCAGGAAGAGAACGAGAAGCAAGTTCTTCTTAATGAAAGTCAAGAAGCAATGGTAAGTTTAATAACTGCACTTTTTCATTAATATTATTTTGTTACAAAAAAGGAGAAAAAGATCTCAGACATAACTAAATATTGTAATATTTGATATCTTTGTGATTATTATTAGCACTACTGTTCTAACTACTGAGTAGGGACTAAAATCGATGATGTAAAAATTGACATTAGAAACTGTTTAAACTAGACTTGCAACGAATAGTATATTCGGCAGTATACCGAATACCGAATATTCGGCGAGGCCCCTGACCGAATAGCCGAATATTAGGCAAAAGTATTCGGCTGGATTTTAGCGCCAAAAACTTGTACAGACTTGTAAATTATGTACCTGTTTTATGTACCAATGACTACTTAATAACTGACTATAAAAGAAATGAGACCTTACCCTTATTACTTACCCTTCTAAATTTTGATTACCACAATAATTCAAATACATAGAATCCTCCATTTTTCCAATTCAGAAGTTGATTATGTACCTGTGTTATGCACCAATGACTACTTAAATGATTATAACAGAAATGAAAATATGAATAAATACGTAATCAATCGATTTAAATTTTTCATTTTACCAATTATTTCTCAATGAAAAAATATATTATTTAAGTATTCGGTATTCGGCCGAATAATATGTAGATATTCGGTATTCGGCCGAATATAATAAAAGCAGCCGAATAGGCCGAATACCGAATAGTAACCGAATATTCGTTGCAAGTCTAGTTTAAACTCTTTTATACTTAATAATAAACAACAAATGCTCAGTTTTGTGAAGCCTGTTGAATGTATAATAATATTTATAATGAGAAAACAGAGTTCTGGGACTATTGCAATACTCTTTTATCTCATTACAAATATTTTCATATTTATTTTTTTATTTCCTCTAAAAATATCTATGGAAAATATACAATTTCAGTATCTTCAGTAACAAATATTACAATGTTGCATAGTCATTGTAAATGCAAACATTAAAAATAATTAGGAAGCGACTTGATCCTCCTTTGTAATATCTTTTTTGTGCACATAAAATCTTTTTATCACTATTTTATAAATACCTTTTAAATAAACCTAACAGACAGTAAACCTAAGAAAACTGTAGTACTTGTCTAATTTTATTCCACTTGGTTTTTTTGATTCTTATCTAGTAAGTAAGACAAGATCATATTTTTATGCATAGATTCTTTTCAGTCCATTGTGATTGATGTGGTCAAACACATCACTAAGTTTATAAGCCTCCTCAATTAAAAATTCTGTGGTTCTACTTTCCAGTTTTTTTTCTTGTTTTTGTCTTTGTTTCTTACTTGATTCTTTTGTTAAACTTATAATCGCTTTTAAATACTAAATCCTCACACTTACTTATTGTAAACTGTTTTCTATTCGTGAAGACCTGTTAATGGGTAAATCTAACCTATTGGATTAAATGGTTTGGTTGTATGGAATATGGAGGACAGCGCCGTCTCGTATCGACCAAGTACATCTATTATGATTGTGGTTAATACGAGTAGTTCTGATCCTTACGGCGCTAGATGGTGCTGCAAGTAACGCGTGACTGATTCTGAAATATTCGTCTTTGTTTGGAACAGATTGACGAAAATACTAGGAACTTTCTAGTAAAATTCAAAAGCGCTATAAAACGACACATCGAATTAACATTGGAGTGAATTTCTAGTGTGACTAACAAGAGATATAGTGATTTCTAGTAGTGAGTGTTTGTAAATAAAGTGAAATAAAGTAATTAACCGACAACTTTTATTTATTATATACCCTGCTCGTAACACTATACAATATTAAATCAATTTGTAAAGCTGTTTATCTTCCAAAGAACAAATAAATAAATAAATGCCAAATTTAAAAAAAAATATTTTCCTATCTGTAAAATTAATTGTGTTAATAAACTAAAAGTAACATTTAATTTGTACTTATTTCAGTATCGCCACAAACAACAGATATCTACTAAATCATCAGATATTGCTAAGAATAAGAGAGAGGTAGTGAAATTGGAAAGAGAAATAACTTCTGCAAATGAGTCTAAAGTACGTTTAGAGGTCGCAGAACAGAAGTTCAAGACTGCTGAAGAGTAAGTTTTAAGAACACAAATAATTTTTTTACACAAAGTTTTTGGTTGATACTTTTTTTGGATAAAAATTGTTAATTTGTCATAACTTTAGCTTTAATGATTTAAAAATTAATTCACTGTATTGCTAGAGCTGTATTACTATAAAATAGTCAATATCAAAAAAAATACTGAATAATACACCGTAAATTGCAAAGGCATTTTTATAGGCACTAGACATTATTGAAGGACCCCATTTTTGCAAACAAATAGTAGGTCAAATTTTCAACATAAAATATTTCATCCCGAAGAAAATATTTAGCAGCGTGGTCACTGATTCACAAAATAGTCTTATGCTAGTTACGTAAACAGTGAGAGAAAGAATGCACGGGAGGGCGGGGTGAGGCGTGTGCGAAACCCGGCCGCCGGCAGGTATAAATCAAATAATTCCCGGCCGCGTCTTGTCGCGTCGGTGCATCCTTTGTGTTTACCGCTCTTTTTTCCGTGACGTCAACAGTGCAAACAATGTTTTCTAATCACGAGTATTATGAAATGGTGCGTTGTTGTGCCTAGCCTGGTGCGTTGTTGTAATGGTGTGAAAGCCTAAATGGTGCAAAGCGCTTGTACGAGTCGGAAAGTATACCACAACTCCGGAGATAAGGTATACTAAATTCATCGGTGCCTAACCGCCAAGTGATTTTATCCGCAAATCAGAGGCTGTTAGACTACGGACAGTTTAGAACCGGTCACACGCAAAGGGTACTGAAAGGTCAAGACTTGCAATAGAGGTCGAAGAACAAATCATCGACTGTTTTGAACGGGATCCTCGTGCAAGCACACGGGCCCGCAGCGCAACGCTTCCGCGTAAGCCAATAAGCAGTATGGAAGCTGATAAACACCGCTGGCTTGCACCCTTACCGTTATCCAAAAGTCCAAGACTTACAAGAAACAGACGTCTTACTTCGTCGACAATTCTGAGAGTGGCTTATCGCACACTCTGGTGCCAATACTTTGTGGACAGTCGAGGCCTTGTTTACTCGTGTGGGTTCGTATAACCAACATAACGAACATTAGTGGACATATCACAACCCACACTTTGTTAGACATGATCTAGACTATATTTTGAATATAGACATCTAGAAGACTACATTTTGAACATTTATTAAAAACATGTATAGATAGTTCAACTCAGATGTGCGCGCGGCCCTATGTGTGGGTAAACCTTGTACATATACAGTGACTTTGTGTGTGTTGTATTAATTATACATATCACTAAAGTTTTATGTATTTTTCACTGATTTCAAACGTGCATTTTAATTAAGTGAAGTTTCAGTATTTGGATGTTATGTTAGGTACTTTATTTATCAATGAAATGTAGCGAAGTATGCGATACCGATGGAGAGGTCATTGACACTTGCGCGCCTACCGATCGCAGTGTCTACAAATTGCGAGTTCTTGAGACCGTGTACCATGTGATACTAAACTAAAATGCGGGTTCCTCATAAATTTTACCAAAGATTCTTCTGTGTTTAAATGAACGGCAACAGAGGTAGGAAGGTTATTTATGATCACAAAGGTTACACCAAGACCTAACTTTATTGCTTAATATTGCAGAGAGTTTGAACAACTAGAAAAAGAATTAAATACTGAAGAATCTCAACAAAACATCAATGAAGGTGAAAAAGAATTAGAGAAATATGAACAGGAGGTTGAGGAAGTCGATAAAAAGGTTAGTATTTATAATAAATATAACTATTGTTAATATAATAATAATATATTATTTCTAAAATGCCTTTTATCTTAAAAAGGACTCTGTCTTCAATTATGTGTCTGTCTTTAATTACCTATGATATGTATGTATTTAGAAATATATAAGTATGTTTATTAGCAGTGTGGTTACATAGCATCTTACTTACATAGCATTACATAGGCTCTGCCTAGTTTGGAACCATATGGTGAGATGTGTAAAGCTATTACAAACTATTTACATAATAATATGAGTGCCAATTTGCTTCTGCCTATCCAATTCAAGAATACATGCGTGAATTTACTTATAATAAAAAATATATACATCTTTTTTTTTAATAGTATTTCTCAATAAAATATGTACTTAAATTGATTTGCTTAACTTCGAACTTGGATAAATCCAATTCTGAGAATTTTCAAGATTTTGGTATCAAAAGAAAGGGTAAAAAACAAGCTTTAAAACCATTTTGTCATTTGTCCATTCATCCGAAACGTTTTTGACAAAAAAACCTTAATTCAAACATTTTATCAAAATCAGATATAGTACTTAATACAGTTTTTTTTCAATTATAGTTAAGTCCATCCGAGCCAATCAGCGAATTGCTTTTGTTTAACGGTTGATGTAAACTTTGCTACAATAGCACAGTACTCTCTCGCTTTTTATTGGTTATTTGTAAAAAGTAGCGAGTTCCAATTTATAATTTCATTAAAATAGTGCCACCAAACAAAGCCCGCGAACGGCCTGATATAAAAGTCGGCCGTAAGAAAGAGGATAGAGCGAAAATTCCAAAGGTTTGAAATACCTATCATGCATCGTTTGGAAGAATTTTATTCTTTTGGAGTTTACTCCTTAAGAATCGATTTTCATGATCGATAAACAAAAAATATAAAGATATTGATTTTGGCAAAAAAAAATACTTTTTATTTTTAAATAACTAAATTTCCCCATTTGGTCCGTATTTTTTTTACTACTACCTATCACAGATACTACCAAATTATTAGTTATATTCGTATTTTTTCAAATCTGGCTAGATCTAGATCCGTTAAATCAAAGTTCTATAAATCCACAATGAGTTTTTCAAAGATAGATAAATCGCATTCAATTATATCAAATGAAGGTAAATCCAATCTAATTATTAATTTTTCTAAACAATTAGTGGTTTTTATAATAAATTTGCTGAACAGAATCGTTTTCTTCAATACTGTTGTCATGACAATAAAAGACTGGCTTTCAAATCATCGAATTAAGATAACTATAACCTTTTTCTTTGATATCTCCTAAAAAGATAGAGTGGATTTATCCGAGTTTGAAGTTAAGCGACATAAGCTGAATCCTACTAATTCTCTAAAGACACGAATATTTGCAACTCGTACTATTTAATTTATTATTTATTTAATTTAGTTTTGTAAAAATGGATATACCAGAAAAAAATATAACAAACATCTGACAATGAAAATTGTTTATGACAACATCACGAAAGCACAAAGTTTGTTGCATGTGTTAGAGTGAGAGATAAATTGTTACCAAATCACACAGGTACAGGAAGGGATATATGGAAAATTTGTTGACACATTTTCAGTTCCTTCTATTAAATTTCAGATATCAGTTCTGCAAAAGCAAAGTGCTAAGTTGAAAGAGCTACAAGTTAAAGAAGACTTACTTAAACAAAAGGAGAAGCAATGTTCAACTTTAAAGAACAAACACAGATCGACTTTGACAGATCTCTTAGGTAGCATGCCAGAAAATAACTTTGTAATATCACTAAACAAAATGGAAGTCACATTGAATAGTGAAGTCAGTTCTTTAAAGAAAAGTTTAAGTGACAAAAAAACAGAGGTAACTATTATTATATACTTTTTTACTATAAACAGTAACTTCTACTCATAAGTAAAATATTATAGGTGTTCAGCAATTTGCCCAAACATATGGTAGCAACGAGAAGGTCATTTAAAGAATAAATGATTACAAAATTTTGTACCAGCATTAGCTTCTAGTTTTTTCTAAAATGTGCAATGATATGAATATTGACAGGAGCCTTGTTGTCTGCATAGGTGATATATTGCTCAAAGAAGCTACCGCATCTAGGTTTAGTCTTAGAAAATGAAATCTAGGTCTTAGAAAATGAACTAAATCAAAAATATTGTCGAAAATGCACCTTTGCACTTTTTTGCCCATAGCCCAGTCCATTTTTTTTTCTTACCTATAAGCCCATAATATAGATATCATGCAAAATTTGTTTTACAATTTAAATAGATCTATAATAAAATGGTGCAATATTAAATTTATTCTGTACTGGATATTCATCAGAAAACGAAGCTGGAAGAAGAAAGAAAGTATGTACGCAAGAATCTTACGGAACGCACAAATGAACATGCAAAGGCTGAAGAACAGATGTACAAAGTGTGTAGTGGCCAATCTTATGAAACCACACTGCTAAAAGTTTGTGAGAAAGTAGAAAATCTACAGGCAAGTATTCTTTAATTTGTGTCTGTGACGCTCTTAGAGCATGTAAAGGCTTGTTGTGTTGGTTGGTTGATAAGAGCTAAGTTTTTGTTAACAGTCACCGATACATTATTACTGTACACTGCACTTCGACAATGTACAGTAACAATGTTAGATACGCCTCTGTATTGACTATAATTAGGCTGTAATATTCACCTTTTTACAATAATAAAACCTGGGATGAGGTAACTCTGCCTGTCGCCTGTGATTTATCTCCAGTATCGACATTAAAGGACACACATTACATGTTATCAATGTTACAGGATGAACATAATGAGCTACAATCATCAATGTTTCTTATAAAAAGTTATGAAGCTAAATTAAAAAAGGAAAGCTGTTGCCCTTTGTGTAGTCGTGGATTCGATAGTGAGTCTGAGGTAAGGAAATTTTTTGATATAAATGAAGACCGAAGTGTTGTGTCCACACATGGATGATATCTTTATAAAGTTTCCGTTTAATTATTGTGTTTGGGTCTTTGAGTAGTATATTTATTGGGAGAACTAAGTTCTCACAAAACTGGGAACACGGAAATTTGATTTATCCTAGATAAAATTCACGCAGATTTTTTTCCATTTACTTGTACTAACCGATATACCGAAGAAGTAGGAGCCTGGCCAAAACTCCCTGGGAACAGTGGCATTACAATAAGAAATGGGAACAGTGGCATTGCGCTACCGCAAATCGGGGCTTTATTGACATGTTTTTGAAGGTTTTTCTAAACTTCACAAAAAACTAAAATCGAAATTCTAGGCTTTTTCTATCTCAACAGCGACTTCTACATCGCATGTTTTGCATTGTCTCATTTGCCTTAAAGTCAAATGTAATTGAAGCACAGTTATCTTTGACACCTTTTAAATTAAAAAGGACAAAAGTTTGGTGTAGTTTATCGTAAATTATGGTCATTTTTATAAAATAAAAGAAGCATTCAATTACAAACAAAGAGTTTTTAAATTGTTTTGTTTCTATTATTGCTAAACTTATTATAATTATTTTGTACTTTAAAATCAGATTAAAACAGTCAGGGCATTAATAATTAAATATTTTAGCAAACAAATCAACATTACTATAATTTTTTCTCATTGTCTACCACGTAGTGTTAATTGGAGTTCGGTAGTCAAGCAGTAGATATTATGAAATTATGAGATATCAAAAGCGCAGGCGTTAACGATAGAATTGAGTAGGAGGACCCTTTTTCCTTAGGAGTTCGGTTTATTGTTTTATATTCGTCTATGCTATGTATGTATATTACTTATAAACCTTGACATAATTGTATTTAAAAAGAAAATATATGTATAATAAATAAATAATATAAATAACTTGAAATAAATATATATTTCGCAACTGACCAATTAAAACTTTCAATTGTTTATAGATACTGGCTATTAGCTTTTGAAAAAGGGTCAAACATGATACACTTTGTTACAGGTTACAGACTTAATAACGCAACTCAATACAAAAGTCATGACAGTTCCCACCCAACTTGAGAGAGTATCTGCAGATTTATCAAAAGAGAAAGAGAAAAAAGACGAGCTGCTTAGTATGAAGTCATTAAATGAAAAGATGAATTTGTTCAAAGACAAAGAAAAACCTGAATTAGAAAAACAACTAGCTAATGTTGAAACGGTAAGCATTAGTTTGCGTAACCCTGCATTAATATAACTTATAATAATGGTTTAAAATATATTTCACTTTTTAGAAAATAACGACCTTGACCAATGCCATTGATGAGTTATCAAAATCTTTAATTGAGCCAGAGAAGAAACTGCAAACTGTTAAGCTAATTCAAGGGGATATGCCACTACTTGATCGTTGCATCCAAGAAATCGCATCATATACCAAAGATGTAAGATTCCATAATTATTTATATAACCAGAACAATTACTAGTATTTTTTTGCTACTGCAAACCTAAGCTACATATTTTTCTTTCGAAACGACTAAACATCACGATGTATGCATACACTATTTATGTGTATAGATAACAGCAATAGGTATATACATACGCTTTGGTTATGTTTTGAAAGTAAAGGTTAATTTTTTTGATACGTTATCAGAGGTCGAACTTTAGTACGTGAGTTAGATGTTAAAAATTCTAATATTACTTATGCATTGCAGTTTGAGGCAATAAAGGCTCAGTGCGCAGAACTGGAGTCTGATATAACACTGGAAGAGGCAACTGCGAAACAGACTGAGCTGAAAAAAAAGATCAGTGATCTGAAGGCAAAACTCAAGGAGACTCAAAAGAAACTGAATTTACATAACAAAAAAATTCAAGAGTATGCAACAAGAAAAAACAAACTTAAGGAGGAATGTCTTAACTTGCAGAAAAAGGTATAGTTCACAGAATTAAATGTACACATTTAAAGATCAAGAAAAGATTGACATGTTTCGACATGTTTGTACATTTAAACATTACAAATTAGTTAGTTAGTCAATCAAGGAAAAGACTTTTTCTAACTTTCCTTCTAACAGGCATACACAGATACCTCGAAGCATGTATGTCAGCGTATATTAAACGAGGCTTTTAAAAAGTCAGCAGTTTGCATCTTTTTAGGGTGCCATACCCAAAAGGTTAAACCCTATTACTAAGGGTGCCATACCCTATTACTAAGACTCTGATATCTGTCCGTTCGTCCGTCTGTCTGTCTGTCTGTCCGTCTGTCCGTCCGTCCGTCCGTCCGTCCGTCCGTCCGTCCGTCCGTCCGTCCGTCCGTCCGTCACCAGGCTGTATCTCATGAACCGTGATAGTTAGACAGTTGAAATTTTCACAGATGATGTATTTCTGTTGCCGCTATAACCACAAATATTAAAAACAAAATAAAATAAATATTTAAGTGGGGCTCCCATACAACAGAAATTTTTCTTTTTTGTTGTTGTTATAGAAAATGGTACGGAACCCTTCGTGCGCAAGCCGGACTCGCACTTGGCCGGTTTCTCTAATGTCTGTATGCAATTTTTCAAATGTGTGTTCAAAAGTATAAAACCGAATGTCTAAAGCCCTGTACCTGCAGGTACTCGTACACAAGTTAAGCACACGTGTGCTCGCTGCGAGTCGTCGCCAGTCGGCTTTTGATTGCAAATTTTCCACTGTCCAACTTTCTTTCCAATTCATATCATGCATAAGTCAATATTCAATATTCTAATCTTTCACTTCTATTTGTTTATCTTTTTTATTTGTGTTGCACAATGAGAAGTTGCTGCTGGCTGGCCGACTGACGACTTTTCACTACCCGTTCATAAATGTTTATAAGGTTCTCAGTGTCAGGTCACATAATAATTCATTTAAATATAGATAAATGGAACATGGTAGTATGGCAAGAGAAAAAACCCTCACCGTGAATAAATAAATATTGAATGAATAAAAATAAAAGTCATCATATATGACGGTCGAATATGTATGGGCGATCACTGAGTAATATGTCCCACTGACACCATTACTGAGTAAGACTGTTATTTTAGTGTACAATAAAGGTATTTTAAAGTTATGATATCTAATGCTGATGTGGATGAATTATGTTCATATGGACCAAATGAAAATAAATTTTTATTTTTATAGGTTCAAGAAATATACAATCTGCAAGAAACCAAAAAGCAATTAGAGACAGATAGAGAGAAGTATGAATTAGAACTGGTGGAATTAAGGAACGGTTTAAAACCTCTAGAAGAAGCTGTAAAAGAAAAAGAGAAAGCTAAAACAATCACGGTCAATAAAAATAGGTATGTTTTATTTAAGTAAAGTGACCCTTTTCAATAAACCCTTTTCTACTATTTATTTAACTTTTATTTACGTTTAATTTTATCTATTATATATGACGAAGCTGACGAGCTGATCATTAAAAGTGCATTTTTTTAATACAAGTTTTATTGTTTCGCATTTAAGATTTTAAGGTTTTGATTGTTTTATTGTTTTATTATAATTATGACACCAATAAGATCTATAGTTAATTTATAAATATGTTGGAGCTGAAAAATGTCTGTCAAGTTGACTAGTTTATGATAATCATGTGTTATTCAAGTTTTTTTTTTAATAGGGGAAACATAGAACTAAAAAGGTCTGAAATAACGGAAGTGTCTATTGCCTTTGAAAAAGTAAAATCTATTGATACGGAGATAAGACAGTATTTAGAAAGAAACATCCCACTTGAAAAGAATAAGAAAGAAGAAGCAATCAAGAAACTTGAAGAAAAGTTAAAGCAGATACAAAGTGACAGGCAGGCTATCACAAAGCGAATTGAATGTTTAAATGACGAAATTACTAAAGAGACGGTTAGTATGATACTATCATTATGTTAAGTTGATTAGTGTATGCGTAAAAAATTAAAAAAGTTCTGCATCAATTGAACTCTTATTTTGACACGATATATGACATGGTTCAGAGATGGTTTTATCAATTACTTGCAACCACACCAAATAACAAAAGTAAATAACAAAAAGGGACAATTAGTAAAGTAAGGTTATGGTTAAATGATAGCTCCAATGCATTAATCACAATACGTTTAAAAACTTTTTCCCAGATATACAAAAGAGAACTTGATGACAATTTGAAGTTAAGGGGATTACAAAACAATATAACTGATGGTGAAAAAGAGGAAGCGGAAATAAATGAGAAATTGAGCACAATCAACAGGGATATTGTAAACGAAAAGAAAACTTTAATGATCAGCTTTAACAATCTTAACAAAGAGAAATCTGAAACCGATGGAATGCTACGTACACTACAGGTATCTCAAAATCGCAAACAAATTACTTTTTTACTAGTTAAATGCATGCAATCCATATAAATCTGTGATTGAAGATTTTGTTAATAAAAAAATCACATTTGAAAAGAAATATTATTATTTATTCCATCTGCAGATAAACATAATACATACTTAAGAAACTAATAATTCTGATGCAAACCTCGCATTACAGTTAACACTAAAGAAGCAGAAAGCTGATTTAAAAATAGCTCAAGGAAAAGATACAGAGAAGAAATACCGAGAAAAATTTTATGAATTACAAATTACAAAGATGTTAGACAAAGACGTGAAGGAGTATTCAGTGGTTTTGCAGAACTGTCTCATGGAATACCATAAGAAAAAAATGGAAAGTATCAACCTTATCATTAGGTAAGATTATTATGTTTTTTTTAAATATGACACCTTCTCTTTTTTTCTTGCAATATGCAGGACTAATTTTTAAAGGGTAGTATTTAACAGCAAAACAAAAAATCTTCCTTTTTATATAAAAAACTAGCTGACCCGCGCAACTTCGTCTGCGTCTCTCAATAGTAATAAATTTTCTCCGTTTTTGAAACATTCTTCATTGGTGCTCCGCTCCTATTGGTCTTAGCGTGATGATATATAGCCTATAGCCTTCCTCGATAAATGGGCTATCTAACACTGAAAGATTTTTTTAAATCGGACCAGTAGTTCCTGAGATTAGCGCGTTCAAACAAACAAACAAACTCTTCAGCTTTATAATATTAGTATAGATAATTCAATACTAATCAAAAATATTGATTGCACAGCAAAATAGTTACCTCAAAATATTATTATTTTGGGAACAATTTGAGTTCGAGACACATCACTATTATTTGAAAAGCGGAACTCATAACCTAACCTACAATTCTTGATACAGCTCTTTTTTAATAACGATTGGTTTTCTTGTGGGGTCGCAGTTCTAACCTTACCTAATTTTCTAAAAGCAGCTTGTTTCTGGCGGGCCGCCTTAAACCTTAAAAAATATAGGTATTGGCTTATTGAGAGGGGGATTAAGTATGAAGAGCACCCTAGGCAAGCATCTTATAATCGACGTACTATATTATATATATTTATTATATTATATATATGTATTATATTATAGTTACGATATAATAATCTCGTAGGGTGCCCACTAGTTTAACGAATTTTCTATTTGAATATAGTTTCATAATTCGTTCCTTGAACAAATATCATAATCAAAAGAGGTAATTTCTCATGATAGGTTGAAATACATCCAAATCATTTTTTTTTGTCATGTGTGTAATGTCATATATAACTTTTTCAGAGAACTGTGGAGCAAAATATACAGTGGCAATGACATTGACTATATTGCTATCAAAGCTGAAGGTTCTATGAGCGCAGACTCCGAGCGCTGCAAATATGAGTACAGGTATTATTGTTATATTAATTGGTAACAACTCTAAAAATGATTTTGAGAAAAATGCTTTAAACAAAGAACATATATATATATATATATATATATATATATTACAATTGTATGACGAAACTGCCGCCTGTAACACCGAATTATTTTTACTAAATATATATATACATTTATATATATGTGTAGAGATAATATATACATACATTCAGTCAAAAAAGTATCGGGAATGGATGATTTCTTTATGGTTCCAAATTCAAATGTTTGTTGTTGTTAGATTGGCACAATTGTTTTCCATTTTGGCGCGGAGTTTGAGTTGCATCTATTATTTATATTAAATACAGTGTTGTTTTTAGTTATATCTAGTGTGTATTGCGAATTTCATAATGGACAAAAACGTTGAACCAATTGTTTATCTTGAATTTTGCATCACCAATGGAATTTCGTGTTCGGAGTCACTGAAAATGTTACAGAAGGCTTACGGTGAATCGACCTTATCAAAAACACGTTCTTATGAGAGGTACAAAGCGTTCAAAAGTGAAGATTTGTGGAATGAAAATTCTTGGATTTGCACTACGATAATGTGCTTTCACACAAGGCCATCATTGTGAACGAATTTTTGACCAAACACTCAACAAATACCATCGAGCAACCACCATATTCACCAGATATGGCTCCAGCCGACTTCTTTGATTTTCCTAAACTCAAATTACCAGTTCGTGGCACCAGTTTTCAATCGGGAGAAGACATAAAGGAGAATTCGCGGCGAGAACTGAACTCAATTCCGGAAACAGGGTTTAAAAAATGTTTTGATGATTGGATTATTCGTTGGCGTAAGTGTATCGTTTCTGAAGGAGCATTGGTATTGGTATTGGTTGTGGCTTCGTTAATGCCGGATTGATCTCGGTCATTTCCATGTATCTGGATGTAGTATCTTCTTGTGAAGATATGGTGTTTTGGGATTCTATCGCATGGAGCTGCTATCAGTGGTTCGTATTCCACCAATTGATACCATAATTTGGAGTGCGATCCCTCACTTTTGTGCCAGGTGTTTGAGTCTAATGATCGCCATGGCGGCCTCCTGCTGTATGAATAGATCCAGGGGTGGCAGACCAAGAGCCACCTCCAGTGCGGCAGTAGGCGTTGTGCGCATACAGCCAGTGACCGCGGAGCATGGGAGTCGCTGGAATTGCTGCAGTTTGTTTATGACGGTGCTTAGCTCTGTTCTCTGCCACCAGACAACAGCACCGTAAGTGATTATTGGTCTTATGACTGTCCTGTATAGCCATAAAGTAATTTTGGGTGATAGTCCCCAGCTTTTGCCGAGTAGCTGCTTGCATTGGCAGAAAATAATGCAGGCTTTATTCAGTTTTTCATCGAGGTGCTTATTCCACAGGAGTTTACTGTCCAGTATTACTCCTAGGTATTTGACCTCTTTGGTAAGAGTAAGTTGTGTTCCAAATAGCTTGGGAAGTCTGAGATTTCTTATGCTGCGTTTGTTTGTGAACATGATCATCTCTGTTTTGGATGGGTTCACTGTCAGGTTGTGTGCTACGCACCATTGTTCCACGATCTTCAGTGCAAGTCTCATTTGATCGCATGTAATACTCTCAAAAGGACCGCTGATGAGAATAGTAAGATCGTCTGCATAGCCTATTGTGAGGAATCTTTGGTCATTAAGTTGTGCGATGAGCTCATCCACAACAATGTTCCATAGAAGGGGGGAGAGTACACCGCCCTGGGGGCAACCTCTAGCCACCACTCCTCTAGTCACTTCGCTCACAGTGAATTGTATAGCTCTATATCTTAGCATGCTGTCGATCCACCCTGAGATTGTGGAATCAACACCATGCCTAGACAGAGCTTGGCTAATGCTGGTGAAGTTGGTCTTGTCAAAGGCTCCCTCGATATCGATAAAGGTGGCCAGTGTTGACCTTTTGTGATTTAGATTGTCTTCTATATATGAAACAACTCGATGTAGGGCAGATTCTGTTGATTTACCCATCGAGTATGCGTGTTGATTGAGGTGTAGAGGGTGACTGACTAACGCAGTTTCCCTGATTTCCCTATCTATTAGCCTCTCGAGAACCTTTAGGAGGAAAGACGTGAGACTGATAGGTCGGTGTGATTTGGGTTGTGTGTAGTCACCTTTACCAGGTTTGGGGATGAAGACTACTTTAACTTCTCTCCATTTCAAGGGGATGTACTGATGCGCCAGGCAGCTCCTATAAATTTTTACAAGATGGTCTAGTAGTGTCATATCACACCATCTCAGTAGGCCTGAGAAGACACCATCTAGTCCTGGCGCCTTGAATGGTAGGAAGCTGTTAATTGCCCATCTTAGTTTGTCATGGTTGACAACTTTGCGTATCCCAATCTGTATCTTCTGGTGATTTTTCCCATCTGTCTTCCCATTCTTCCATCACATCTGATATGCGACATCCAGGGAAGTGTGTTTTTAATAACAGCTCTGAGGCTTCCGAGTCTGTTTTGGTATACTCACCATCAGGCTTCTTCAGTGAGCCAAGATTGTGTTCGCCTCTACTACACAGTATGCTTTTGACTCTATTAGCCTGGTTGTTGTTCTCTATGTTAGTACAGAAGTTTCTCCAGCACTCAGTTTTCCTGGTTCTGATTCTCTTCTTATATTGTTGTTGGGCCTGCGTGTAGGCATCCCAATGTTGGTCTAATGGAGAGTTTTTGCTTTATTGAACAACTTTCTCACTTTACGACGTAGTCTTTCCAGTGCCGGACCCCACCATTGGTGTTTGTTCTGAGGTCCAGTTCTGGGTGTGGAAAGTGGGCATGTTTGTTCAAAGCAATCGATCAGTGTCTGTGTAAGGTTGACAACATGACTGTCAATCTCCTTATCAGTCCCCGGTGCGTATGTTATATTGATGCTTCGCAGTTTCTCCGCAGTAAGATGCTCATACCGTCTCCGGTCCATCGTGCGAGGATTCCGTCGGGGATCGGGTAGTTTAAGTTTCATTTCAAAGTTAAATTTGATCCCGAAATGATGATGATTGATGATGATTTGATGTTCGAAACATGCCAGTTCGATATGTGTTGCGATGCGTGCTCACTCGCTAATGTAAGATCAATGATAGTTTGGGCCCTGGATGTGACAAATGTCGGCTCCGAGCCCACGTTGATAAGGTTAAGGTTAGTTGATAGTAGGAACGATACAAATGCCTCACCTCTCCGGTTGTTGCTCCTGCTGTTCCACAGCGCATGGTGCGCCTTGGTGTCGGCAGAGATTTTAACTTTAACCTAATAGAGGCAAGGTCTCTGGAACAGAAATCGGTCATTAAGGTAGTACACGCATATTTTGGTGTATAAATACAAGTGCGCGGGTTATCAATGGTAGTGTTGAGAAGTATCTTACCTCCAATATTGTTTAGACCGTAGATCCTGCCCTTCCTAATCCACGGCTCCTGGATTAGGGCTACGGTATTGGTGTTTACCTCCAGCTCTCTGCGTAGGTTAGCCGTTGCTCTGTGACTGTGCTGGAGGTTGGTTTGGATGGCTATAAGGGTGTTATGTGGGGGTGCAGACAGCGCCATCATCGCTGTTCAGCATATCCTCTATGTCGTCGAGGTCACTCTCGCCTGTAGGTCCTTCAACTCCTCAGGAGGTGGACCCCGGCAGACTGTCTCCTCAACGGGTCTCAGAGGATCCCCTCCACTGCCGTCCTTAGGGTGTTGTGGGGCCGATTCTGGCTCCTCTTCTGGATTAGTTGGTGGGGCGTGGTTCATCAAGGAAGCGAACGTAGAGGTTACTCAGTTTGTAGTATACTCTACGCTCACTAGCTTCAAGACGTCCTCTTCTTGGATGCCGAGCACTAGGAAGAGACATTTCTTTTCCTCCTGCGCCTCGGCATGGTAGAGGGCCCAGTTGGCCACATTGTACTGGCTATTCTGGTACCTTAGCCTTGTTTGTATACGGACCAGTGTATCATCTGGTCCGATTTGTGGTACCAGGAGTCCAGCTTTGATCTTTTTCGGGATCTCAGACTGCCTCCTGACGAACACTTTGGTGCCTTCACGCGGTGACGCGATCCTTTCCAGGGATCGGCGAAGCCACTGTATTCGTCGTTGCACCACTTCTTAAGGGCGCCCTCACTGTAGAAGGCCTTGCCCCTAAACTGTGGCGCAGCGACGGGTGCGCTTGACGTGCCGGGCGAGAAGATCTCCTCACCCAGCACGCCCTGCAGCTGGCCCTCGATGTCCTCTGCCTGTGCCTTGGTAAGGTCGTGGTAAGGCTCCAGCATGACCGCGACGCAGAGGTCATTTGCTTTTAGTGCGTCGGAGTAACTCGTGGAGCCGGTCTTTGGCAGCGGTTTGATTCGCTTGCCACTGCCCTGGGGAGTGCGAGGCTCGTCCGGGCGAGTTCTTTTGGCGGGCCTTGTTTCACTTGAAGGTTTCCCTCCATGTGTCGCTCGTCTCGCCCGTTTACCCTGTCCAGGTTGACCCTTGTTGTACTTTAGCCGCTACAGGCGTCTTGGCAGGTGGCTAGACATTCGTCTTCGCCTCGCGGCAGCACGTCACTGGCGGGGGCAAGGTGGGCCCCTTCGGGCCCTTCAGCGACTTCAAGCCGCTTACTTCCACCCGAGGTCAGACACCGTGCTTGCCTTTCCACTCGAGCTTTCGCCCTGTTGGCGTTGCAGGTCTTCTTGGACGGGTTTGATTTTTTCGACGCTCTCTTCTTTGTCCTTACCAGGCTCCAGCCGGTTTCTTCCAGGCCGGGTCCCGCAGGTACGGGCATTGCTGCCCTCAAAGAGGAGAGGTCGATGGTCGACACTGGCTCCGTACTCTGGTTAGACACCAGAGGTGTCGCCAGAGTCGTAGATGGCGCTGCGGTCGGGTTGTTCGCCTGAGCAGCAGCCATGGGTGTATTGGCCGGCTTCACCCTAGGGTTGTTCACCTTGGGGTCAGCCGATTGGTGGTTTAGCCTGGCACTTGGGTTGTTCACCCTCGGTGCCGGCTTGGTGGTTTTTTTTTAAATATTTTTTTGGTATACTATTCATCTCCTTGTCCTTCCACCCTCCTTGGAGCCCTCAAGTGGGGACGCCGCGGCAGAAAGCACACGACGCCAGAAGTGATAAGGAAATATAGAGCTCCCTCCCTGGCAGAAGGCAGGCCGAACTAGGTAGGAAGACTTAAACGACCCGGGACGGATGACACTCCGGTGCGGCCGGGGGGGGTGTCGTCTAAGGCGGGACGCCGTTGCGCCTTTTACTCTGTAGAGCAGTGAGAGGCGCGATAGCGTCCTGCCCCAGGGTGACTACGGTCACTCCGGGATGTGCCTCAGACATGAGGTACGGCAGGGAGGACTCCAGAAGTCGCCGATGCGTTCCTGGAGCTCCTCCCGACTGCCGAGGTAGGCCGCCGCGGGGTTTAGTGGGTAGACCGGTTCTCCGGGAGTCCCACACACGCCCTGCGTTTCCCCAACGGAGGGTATGGTGCGAAAAGCATTCCCCGCGTGAAAAAAAAAAAAAAAAAAAAAAAAAAAGGTAGGAAGACTTGGTCGTCCCACCCGTCGTCCACCCCACCAAGGAAGAGCTCAGCCAAGAGCCCAGCAGCCCTCTGACGGGATACTACAGCCGATTGACCAAAGGTGGCTAGCCTTCAGCCTCCCATGTAAGGAGAAATCCAGGCCAAAGCAATGTGTTGCCTTTCAGCTCAACTACCAGGATGCCTTCATCCTCCCTTACGGGTCCCCGCACACAGCACAAACATGCGGGTGGTTGCCCCCCCGCTCCCCCTCACTCTCAGTCTCTGTTGATAGTGAGGCCGCAGGCACCAACCAGTGTCCGCAGAAGGTGTGGGTGGGATAGAAAACGGGAAAGGATAGGTTTTGTGGCATGGAATTGCGCCTGGGTGTTTCTGTTATATCTGTTTCGTAGGGAATCAGACCTAAAATAGGCGGCAACCACGGGAAGGATGACACCCTGAAGGAGCTGAAGGAGCATACTTTGAAGGTGATGAAATAAATTTGGATGAATAACATTTTGTGTATTATTGATCTTTTCCCGGTACTATATATAACGGGTGTTATAATAGCTATCCCAAAAAATTAAATAACAGATAACACGGTTCAATATACGTCGGTTAAAATAAAAAATGAAAAAGTTAGTACGAAAATACAGAAATGCAAATTTAGAACAAACTAAATACAATAAAATAATTTCCGAATTAGAACACCATAGATAACATGAGTCGGTGAACTGTACACGCCAGCGTCGCAACGTCGGCGACATCTGAACGACGCCGCCACTGTTTATTTTGTGAATGCTCGACTAGCTGCGGACCCGGCAGTACGTGTCACTCCTTGAAAAAGTAGGTACCTTGGTTGTCTCGTAATCTTTGTACCGCCCTTACAAAAATTCGGCAGTCTGTAGGACATACACGATTGACTCCATACCTGTCCGTAAAGCAAAAGATGCGTTTTGACAGAGTTTTCCATAAATTAACATCATGGCAGGATATTCCGCGGCTGTGAAGGTCACTCACGGCATAATGGATGTTGATACCGATAACCCAATAAAATTAAAAGACTGATAATTCACTAAGTTTCACACTACACTGCACTCAGAACCTAATATTGTACCTTTCCAAAGTAAAATTAGCAGGACTCGTTACATTACGAAGTCTTGCGCACACGATAACATTAATTGTTCAAACCATTGCCGTGTATTATGACGAAAGCAATAAGACTAAACAATTATTACCACAAGAAAACTTTTCTAAACAAATATGTATCTCATGAACAACAACAATATTATTATTACGGTTATTTGTCGTGAGCGCATCTACAAGGATACAGAATAGCATAACACTTGCCGGTGGCCAAGGGCCGACTGACTGTCCAACTTATTAAAAACGCGTGTCCTTCATCGTGATGACGCGCCGCGTATACCTACATGATCGCAGCCTGAGGTCAATGTATTATGACTGCATGTACACATGATGTTGCAAATTACGAAAACAAAAAAATGTCCTGTTTCTAAACCACTGAATATTTTTTGTTCATATTTTGCAAATCGTCTAGAAATAAAGTGCAGAATATGATGTTAAAAGCTTTGCGTTAATATATGAAACAGACTATATATATATAAATTCTCATCTTTTAGTTCTTTTAACACTATTTGTACGTCCTCGTTTCATAATGTAACATTCTTTGCATAAGCTAAGAACGTACCATTAGATACTTTCTAGAACTGTTTCTAACTCGGCAAGTTATTATGTTGTACTGAGTCAGTGTTTGTTCAAATTATCATGAACTTTCTTTAACCGTAATTTGTTAGTTGCTGTTTATAACTCTGTGCGATGATTTCGCGTCTGCAATTAGGATTTATCTCGGCAGTCATTTTACCAGGTCAGTCAGTACATTACTCCTCGTGTTCACGTCATTACTAAATTAATTGGCACATCATGAGAGTGACATTTTAATCTAGAAAAGGAAAAAAAAAAGATTTTTCGAAGTTTTATTTCTACAAATTTATTTTCATTTTACAGAGTAGTCCAATGCAAAAATGGAATTGAGATTGACATGCGTGGCAGATGCAGTGCGGGGCAAAAGGTTCTCGCATGTCTCATAATAAGGCTAGCTCTCGCGGAAACATTCAGCTCAAGGTACATGTATATTTATTGATATAGTATACATTAAATATCGCTACAATGTTTGAAATATCTCATAATCATCTCAACCGAAAGACGTTCACTGCTGGACATAGGCCACTCCTTAGAAAGGAGGATTTGGCCTACTATGCCACGCTGGCCGGATGGGTTGGTTTCAAGTTTTCTATGCAATGCTGTAGGCCTGCGTAGTTGGCTCCCTTAGTCGGCTCTATCGACACCGACGGGATGAATAGGGCTGGTAATACTCTATTCTTAATCCGTCACCACACGGACAGCTCCTTAATATAGCTATACTTAAATTTTATTTAGCCTATAACCAATTTTTTAAATTTTATTTCTGGCGGCTGTTTATTTTACCACCTACCAATTGATAACACGTAATATATGGACATGATTCAGCATCTATGCCCTGTTACATTTTTCTCATAAGGTAGCGCAGGCAAGTCTGTTATGATATACCCTCTTAATCCCTAGGTACATTCACAGTTTAACTTGTAAATAAAAAAGTTCGCCTACCAATACAAAAGTACTAATCGATTCTAATAAACTATCTGTCTAAACGAATGACAGTAGATTTACTTGACTGTTTTGAATAAAAATTACAATAAAACGAATATTCTTCTCAATTCTTCACTTTTTAAAACTGTCCTGTTTGCTTCGCCTGATGTATGCACTGTTAGATCTTTTTATTTATTTATTACTAATTGATTACTTCTCAAAAGATTAAAAAGAAAATGAATGAATTGACATACTTAATATAGACGTATTAAGGCCATTTATATTTTTTTAGGTTTGGAGTTTTGGCTTTAGACGAGCCAACCACTAATTTGGATGAAGAAAATATAAAAAGTCTATGTTCGGCTCTAGGTGAAATTGTGCAGGAACGAATGATACAAAAGAACTTCATGTTTATCATTATCACACACGACAGAGAGTTCATAGAATCCTTGGGACAAATCGATAAAGTCACTCACTATTATGAAGTGTCAAGAAACGAAGATGGCAAATCTCGAATTAAGAAGCTTAGATTTACGTAGTGTTTTAAGAATAACCATTCCTGAAATTTATTTACTTTGTGTTACTAGAAGTAAGAAGGCTGTGCCTTAAATTCTTTTACTAAGATGTAATCAAAACTTCCTTTTACAGCAAAAATAAACATTTTTTATTTTATTTACTAATATTTATTTTATTTTATATAACAACATAATACCATTTATTATATATGATCTATTATTCATATTAACAAGTTATAAATTATAATTAATTAATTCAAACTGATACCAGTTACACAATTTAATGGTTCACAGACTTTTCTTTGGTCTATATGCAAAATATTACTCTCTTGTAGAACAGATAATGTGACACCCAGCAGTTCTGCGATCTGGGTCGAAGGAAAAGATTGCGAGAGGCACTTTGTAATATAAGGCACTAAATCTTCAGAGAAACATACACAAAGTGACACAAAATTCTGTCTTTCAATATCAGTGAAACTTTGCTGTTCACGATAGTAGAATGATAACAGGACCTGACCAGCTTTGCCAAATGATTCTCTGAAAGCATTGTATACCTCCTTGACCATGTTTAATGGAGCTGTAACTCTCATACAATTTAGCACTGTGAGCATTCCATTGCAATACTCAGCCAAAGGGTAGTAATCCAATAAATTCTCTGGTGGACCAGTAGAAATACTGTCATTTATTGGCCGAGGTACGTTTTTGATACTAGGAACTTTATATGATCGCATCTGATGTTCAAATTGATAATCAGCTTTGTCAAGACCATTATGAAATTGTGTTAAAATGTTATTTCGGAACAGAGGTGTCAATACACATCTCATATCTGCACCAACTCTTCCAAAGGATAAACAAAGATACATGCACTGGTTTATAAGTGACTCAAAACTGGCTTCATCTTCTTTTGGCAAGCCTTCATTCAAGATTTGAGCCAGTGTCTCCACCTAAAATTATAAATGCTTAGTACTATACTTCCAAGAAAAGAGCATATTCCTTCCTCAAAGGTCGGCAATGTGCTTCTGACTCTTAGAGTTGCAGGCGTTCATGGGCGGCGGTAGTCACTTTCCATCAGGTGACCTGTCTGCTCGTTTGCCCCCTGTATCATAAAAAATAACTGTCTGAAAATATTTGATTTTTGACACTCAAATATTTCCATAGTACCAAGTTAAATCTAATTAAAAGTAATAACTGTACAGGCACAGTATTAATATCACTATACTTTTTTCAGTTCTTGGCTACGGTCAACACAGCAAAGGCTGGTCATGTGGAAACAATTAGCACATGTAAAACAAGGCAAAATTCTTTAAATAAACTTGTAACTACATTGGTGTTGCAGTAGTTTCAGTTTTATTAATTTTCAATTTAATGAAATGTGTAAAAAATTAATGAAATTTCTGATTTACTTTACCTTTAATTTCAACCAACATGATAAAGCACTTGTGCCACTCAATTCATCATCTTTGATTTTAGATTCTTGAGAGTCAGACAAAAATATAGATTTGTGCTGAGTCAACACATTGAACAGATGAATCCTGTGTAGTTCCACAATTCTCCTTAACAATCTATCCGAAGCTATAAAAGGATGAAAACAAGTTTAGAACTAAGATATTATGGTGTTTTATATTAAATAGGATGGCTTAAATTGATGAGTAAAGAATATTTCACTTCAAAATATTTAAATAATACATACTTTCAGTATTCTTGGCATCCTCTAAGGCCTTTTCAAACCATGCGTTTCTTGCTTTTAGAAAATGCAAATGGAGGCCATCAGCAGCTGCTACAGTGTTAGTTTTAATAACACTTGTATATAGGCTACTTTCATCATCATCTGTTGAGTTGTATACTGTGTTTGCTCTACGGAGATATCCTAAAATCTAATATGTGCATTCAAATTAGTATGTCACATTTAAAATTCTATTTAGCACCAAATTGTTATGAATTTAATAACTTACTTGCAAGCATTGAGGTAGAGGTAAATCATACCGTAACTGATTAAAGAGATGGTACAGAGTTTCAAACCATAAAGTCATTATCTCAGAAGTTGTGTTCTATAACAAAAACTAAAAATGGATAAAAGTTCCAAGTAACATAATTGCAACTTATATAAAATTACTTTTAAATTTAGGATCAATCCTATACAGTCTTCTACAGATAAAACAACATAGTTGATGAGGAATTTATCTTTAGAAGGAACTGGAAATATAAAAAATATTTAAGATATTAATTATAACACTAGTCAACGCGATTTTTTTCGTTATTGTAATTATACATTTTCGGTATCTTTAATGTACAAGTATTAACAGAAAAATAATAAAAAAATTGTATTACATCCAAAAATATAGACAAAGTATGAATTTGACATAAATTATGACAGCATATCAAAAAAGTATCATAAATTGGCCATAATAACAAAAATTAGACTGGTACTTGTAAGTACATGATATACCCTCATATTTCATTGTGAAATTGTTGGTTCATTAGTGTTTATTAATATTGCTACAACAACTACTGCAGTTAACGTTTCTATTTCTAGTGTTTTTTTCAATGGGTTATGGTTGGTTGTGACAAGTTATTTTAGTTTACTTACATACATTTTGGTTGGATAGAAGTGTTCTATATACATATAGATTACAATATGTATCAAAAATGCACAAATTCACCGGATCTCTTATGCAAGTGGGATAGTAAAGCTAGAAGTCAACGCTACATAAAAAATATTGGCTGAAGAGGACTAATTTCATTCCTGGACAAAGAAATAACTCTGAAAACCCCTTAGTAGACACAGTAACAGTAACAATTATTTGCTGCCTTTGCACATAAAAATAAGATTTATAATTTTTTTGTGTTGAAGCCATGAATTGAAATAGTAATCATGATCTATACTTAAAAACTTTATTTTCTAGACTTGAGTGAAGCTAAATTAAAATAATTTTTGTCAGGTCAGAAATGAGGAAGATCATGAAGGATTCCAATTTTATTACACTATTAAACACAGAAGAAAAAAAAGAATGGCTTTCTTTTGTTGAAATAGTTTCATTTTTTCAATTGGAGACTAGTCATCCCGTAATTAATAGTTCCAAATGAAAATGAGTGATTTCTTTTTTAATAAACATTTTTCTAACACAAATGAATGTATTAATTATTTTTCCCATATTTTAACTAATCTCTGGCCAAGGTTTAAAAAAAGCAGTTGCAAACCACAGCAAAAAAAAATTCTTTTTTGTTTACTAGTGTAATTAAAAAAAATTGCTATGAGGTAACTTTATCAGTTTTTTAAAGTTTGCAAACTCATACCTGCACTATTGGTATTTCAAAATATCTTTTGGACAGGTTACGAACAAATGTGAATATGTCTAAAGCACTTTCATAGTCCTCAGCATTGAGAGCTTCTCGCATTAAAGATGGTAACTCCAATAGCTCCAGTAATTTATCACTTTGATTACGTAATGTACTGTAGTGACTGTGAACAAAAGTATCACCTAATATAATTACTTTGCATTACATTTACTTTATCTAGTGACTAATTAAACAGACATAACTGTGTTTACCTCTTCTCTTTGACAATGCTACCAGCAACTTGAGAAAACTTTTCACATTCTTGTAAAAAACTTGGTGTATTTTCTAAGAAAAATGACAGTGATTCTTTGGACTTAGCTAGGTCATTTATGATTGTGCGCGAGATCTCTGCAGTGTCTACAAATGTCTTGTAGTTGGTAAATGCCAATTCTTGAGTCTGTTCTGTCAACTGTTTCATCTCATCAGTCAACCGTTCTGGTTCCTTCCGAATGTATTCCCAATTTTGGGAACCCAACTTTTTTATGTAGTCGGTGATATCGCTGAAGCTTTCAGCATTTTCTAGAAATGAATGTATTAATTATATATACTTAAAATGAAATAAACGTATTAATTATATTATAGTTTAACAAAGAGTCCTGCCTAAATGTATATTTATGTAGTAATAACTTTTTCATTTTATGTAAAAATTAAAAATTTGTAATAGTAAAAATAAAATAAAAGTAGATAACTGTTGGACTGCTTACAACTTGGAAAATAGAAACAAAACGAAATTATGGGGACGATTGAAACTCTTTTTACCTTCACTGGATTCCGGAAAAAGCAATTGGCATAGGTCTTTTAATTCTTGGGCCATTTTGTCACATTTACACAATATTAAAAAAGGATTAATTCTTTTATTCCAGTTTTATTATGATATAAAAACCAAAACACATTCGCTTAGCCGTCAACGTCAAAATTCACCAAATAAGTGCCAAATAAGCCTATTCCATCAGGTATGTTAGATTGTGGTGAGCCAAAGCTGGTACAGAAGTCGTAAAAGGCTCTAAAAGCTGGTATTTGAAAAAAATGTCGGTACACTAACAATACCGTTATATTAATAAAATAATAGTAATAAATCGTTTATTTTGTATTTTTTTTAAATGCAGTTTAAACTAACGAAGAAATTATTGATTATTTAAAAAAAAAAGTTATTTTTAATATTATAACTAGTAATAATTATTCACATTATTAGTTGACGTTTTTATTATTAGATCTTATGAATGTCTAAATATAATTTGAAAAAAATAAACTAAAAATCAACCGTGAGTTACATTGAACAAATTTTTAAATTATTTTCTGACAAAATCAAAACTGTCACCCATGGATAATTCACTCGATTGATGAATTTAATCTGAAGATTCTATAAACAGTAAATTTTCACAATAATCAATGTTGTAACTATGAGGTACAGCGAGAATTGTTAGATACGAGATTTTATTTTTTATGTATGATCAATGTAGAAAGTTGGTATTATTGCATACCAATATTTAGTTAGTACATGGTACAAGATCCTGAAAAATGGTACGTAACCAAGAAATTGGTAAGTCTACATCCCTGTATTCCATAGATAACATACTATATTCCGTGTGGTGACGGATTAAGAATACTTAGTGTCACCACCCCTATTCATCCCCTGGGTGTCGTAAAAGCCGACTAAGGGGACAAACTACGCAGGACAACAGCGGCAAAGAGAAGGAAAACTTGACACAAACCCTATACCAACCCGTCTGGCGAGCGTGGTATAGTAGGCCAAAACCTCCTTTCTAAGGAGAGGCCTATATCCAGCAGTGGATTATTCAAGGCTGTTGATGTGATGTGATGTGATGAACACACTATAGACCAAACAGCCCATTCAGTCAACCATGACAGTTAACGTGTCACTAGACGTTACTTCTCGTAACTAGTTACAGTTATTGATTACGTAACAGGCTTGAATATCTAGTTTCAACGTTTTTTATCTAATACCTCTATCTTACTAGTGCCTATTACAAGTTGACATCTGGTTTACGCGTTATACTAGTCTCGCCCTCATATTGGATTAATTAAACTTGATTCAACTCACGCGTCTACTGCCTAAATAAATGAACGAGCTGCAAGTTTCCAGGCCAGTAGAGCCTCGCGTACTAGTTCAGTAAGTCATTCTTTTGACTTACTGAACTAATTACTAATTTAACTGTATTCCACAAATCCTTATCAAATACGTAAGACAAACACCGTTCAATGTAGCTTTTCACTAAAACTAGCTATAAAAAATTACGAACTCTTGAAAGTAGTATCCCCTTTCAAATAACTGGTTTCGTTATGTTTCTTGAAAATCATTTGACGACCCACAACTGCCTAATACAAAAAGTTTCTAAAAATCACTTTCACAAAAATATCTGCAAACCTTTATAAAATCAGCGTGAAGCAGCAGTTTCTACAAATGATGGTGGGAGTACTGCCCCAGTGGTACATATCACGTATATATGTAATTGTGTATGTATGTATGTTAAAAATTGTAGCACAGGAGTCTAAAAGAGTCAGTGGAGGATGATTAATCTAAATTTACCGAGGGAGAAGTTGCAGGATTGCATTATAGCTTGTTAGGTATTTTAATTCTGAAGTAATGAACTTAAAGCTATTCTAAAATATTTTATTCTTCAATTTATGACGTATGTACAATAAAAATACTTTTAAAAAAATCTGTGTCGCAGGAGTCTACAAGAGTCAGTGAAGAAGCATTAATCCTAAAATAAAAAATATTCCTAAATTTATCGGGGGAGAAGTCGCATGGTTGCATTAAAGCTAGTTACGAATTTTGATTCTGAAATAATAAACTTAAGAGATTCTAAAATATTTAATTCTTCTGGACTGAATACTAAGCCTGGGCTCTAGTTTGTCTATGGCGTGGTAAGAATGGAAATGGAAGATAGCCATTTGTGTGATAACCAAACAATAAAAAATATTTGCCTAATGAGTCCAAATTAATGTATAAAACGAAAAATCTATAAAGCGTCAACCAAATCCAGGTTAGTTATTTTCGAAAAATTGTAGTCACTTTGGTTATATTATTGTTTTCATCGATGATGAACTATCGATAAGTTTTATGATTGCGTCATGTAAACGTATATATATGTAAAATAGCTTTGAATATATTACAAGGTTTGATCTTTCTTGTTATAGAAGTTTAATTCGAGACAAATAAACTAATAATATTTAGTGATAGAATTGATTTCTTAAGTCTAACCTTCTTTTTGACAGGATAACCTAATCTTTTTAGATCTTCACTGCTATTTGACACCATTTTTGTTTCGGCTTTCAGTCCTTAATTATAGCTTTTCTCTCATAAAAACAAGTGTTATTAAAAAACATGAGTTTGCTACTTAAATTCTTGTATCTAAAACTTTAGTAAGAAGTTAGATAAATGATAAGGTTATGTTGATGTTTTGATTGAAGGATGTTTTAAGTGGTAATTATTGACAGAAACGTACTCTCTTACCCAAGTATATATGAATAATGACTGTTTCTGATTTCATTATTTGGTAAATCATGATTTATTTAGTTTATAAAGAAGAATGTTTCATCAAAATAATAGATATTTAACATTCAGTAAATTTGCAGATTGATTCTAAATGAATTAGTCATGAAGTAATAATTAAAAATGGATGGAGAAGGAGAAGACTACGGCCTCCAATGGGAGGAGGTTGTAATAAAGGTACATACAAAAATGTATACAGACTATTTTACAATGCCTTTATTCTAATAAAATACACTTACACTTGTGTTGCCTCAACTGTAACTTTATTTAATATATTTTTAGCATGATCCAAGTGAAGTTGTAAAAGAAGAGGTAATATCTGGGCTAGACAATGTTCAAAGTGCCAGTTCATATTCCAATATGGTAAGAATTGAATGTTTAAAGATTTGTATATACATCAATTAATTACCAGGGTGTTGTGAACAATAAGAAATAAAAGTAGTCAGCTTGTAAACCTCAAATACTATGAAATGGTTCAACTTGTATCAACCATTCATTTTCAGCAATAATTTAACAGTTGTCATTCCTAGGTATATGAAATAAGTTGTTCCTAGCTGTTCACCTTAAACCATTGGTGCATTAGTCTAAATCAATTTTGTAACTGATAAAAGTGTTACTGTTATTTTTGTTATCAGTTTTATTTATAATTTAAACCTAGATGCATTGTGAATCAACAAGTCATAGAAATTTCTGGTAACATGTGTTTGAATTTTATGCTTAATATAATATTACTTTTGAAATAAATTACTTATTTATTTTCAACATATGCCAGTTTACAATAGCAAAACAACTCTATGCACAGACTGAAGAAGAAATAATTGCTAACACGGACCAAATGGCTGCAGAGAATTTAATGTACCTATCACAAGATGTAGTTGGGGGTTACACTGAGACAGCTGAATTAGCCGATGATCCAAATGTGGAGTGTGTCACAGAAGAAGTCATCACAGATGATTGGGTTATCCCTGGAGGACAAGAAAGGTTTGTGGAAATGTACCTTTAACACCTTACCTGTAGGCAAAACAAACCTATATTTATAATTCTATTTCAAGTGCTAAAAAACAGATCTTTCTTCTCTGCATATTTTACATCCACAACTACTGCAATAATTACAACATGTTTGTAGCCGTGCTAGTGGATAGAAAAAAAGCTTTGTGTTTTATTACCATTGAAAAATATTTCACATAAATGAGTGAAAATTATCCGTTGGATGGATGGATAAAGATGGTTGAAGAAGAAAAAATGGTTGCTAATGATATAGGATGGTAATTAGAAGTACTGGACACATCGTAGTTCTATTCTTTATTATTGGTATAACTATTAATCCTCATGAAATTATTGAGTAAACAACCGTGGTCAATACAAGGATTAAATAACAGCAATTCTGTAAATTAATCATTTAGGAGTGTATCATATCATGGCCCGCCGATTTTCGTTATCGTTCTATAAGTTTGTATCGTTATAAGTCTCGGTCATTGCACGGTGGCTGAAAATCGGCTTTATTTAAATTATGAATCAAAAGAATAATCAAAACTTCGTCTTTTTGCAGAATTACCTTAGGTGTCATTTTTGCATTTCTCCGGCAAAAAATATGGCACATGCAAATTAAAATCCCTAAGTCTATGAAAGCCGATTTTTAGCCCACCGTTCACACCATGGCCGCGCTACACTTACAATGTCTGCCGACGTTTTGTGCGACACAGGTGTCGGATTAAACTAATTTACAAATATATTTACAATTTTATTGGGGTCGACATTACTATTTATTTTAACTGCCATAATAGCTTTATAATTTAATTTATTTGTTTCTCTCTAAAGTTTCCGAAGTCTTTATTGTATCTGTGTAAGGTTATAATATCCATTTTGATTTTATTTTCGTTTAATTTAAAATGTTTTTTTACTTTGGACCACATCCTCATATATATTACCATGTGAGGGGCGTCCATAAATGTTCCATAATATAAAATACTGCCTAGCCTTCATATAATACTCCCTTCATGGTAGTTTCAACCGATTACCTTTTTCTTTTTCATAAAGGTTTTACCTTGAAATGAATATTTAGCAGCCCTTAGACATTATGTTCACAATTTGTCTTTAATACTTATCAATTACATTACAGTGACTAGAAACTTCACATGAGGTGCCATTACAGGGTAAATCAGGCCAGCTATACGAGTTTATGATTTCATTACAAAACTGCATATTAACATTTTTGTTCGTAGTTTCTATTTCCCCATACTACTTTATTTATTATCTGTCTGTGAATGGTTTGTAAATTTGGTAAATTCACATACACCCGGTTTTGATCAACACTACTCCAGTAGTTTATTTCCGAATAGACGATTTGTACACGAAACGTCTGCATTGAAGTCACCTAGTACAAGCACATTTTCTACATCATTACTCTCGATAACTGCACTGATAACACCGAGGCATAGATTATCCGCATCTTGTGTCGGCATGTAAACAGACTTTACGATGAAACTGCGACAGTCGCTGACTTGTATACACACGGCCGCTACGCGCGTCGACCCGGTGTCAATGGGAATCACGCGGTTGAATATAGATATTCTCCATAAAATTGCAACCCCACCATATGCAAAGACCTTTCAGCACGCCAGCAGACATGTCCACAGCTAATATACTGTGGTAGGAAAAATCGGAATGAATTTTACCCAGATATCCCAAATCATCTGGAATTTATCTTCTTGCATACTCTAACCATACTATTGTTGTTATAATGTTGATTTGATGAACATGTTTGTTCTCCAATTATATTTATTATATATTATATAAAGCTTGTGTGAAATCTGAAAAAGCTTGTGTGATATCTGCGAAAGTGATTTATATAATCACTTTCGCAGATATCACACAAGCTTTTTCAGATTTATAAATAATCTATTACATTTATTTCAGAGTGGAAGTCCCCATAGAACACTTTACGCATCCGGTTGTAGATGTAAAAGAAGAAAATGACCTTGATATTCCTTTACCGACTGATCAAGTTAGTGCTTTAAAACTTTTAACATAAATGTAGTGCACAGATTTACAAAAAATATATTTCATAACTTTTTTTTAGGATGAATACACAGCAATGCGACCATGGCCATGTGACTTTTGTTCACGACGGTTTCGGAAGAAAGCTGCTCTTATGAATCACATGGTCGCCCATCAGAACGATAGGCCCCATGCTTGTAACCTCTGTGGAGTGCGATACGTTCGCAAGTGTGATCTCATGAACCATCTTAAAGTTCATGCTTTTGTACCAGACCATCCTGATTCTATAGACTATGGTGAGTAGATAAACTAATCAACAAAAATCATTTTCATGAACTATTTCACAAATTTCTCTTGTGTTATATTTTCTCAAGTTTTGCTTAATTTTTATGAATAACAAATGAGGGAAGAGACACAAAAAGAGTTAATTAGAATTTATATAAGTTAACAAGAACAGGGATGTGATGTAGAATAGTAATCGATTTGCGAATTAACTTGAAATTATAAATTTAACTTATAGACTTGGTTATAGCAATAAGAGATGAAGATGTATACAAGCCACTCACTCTGGACTGTAGGTGTAGCTTCATTTACACCTACTGTAGAGCCTTTACTATGGTATCCACACTACATACAGGAACATATAATATCACCATCATCATCATCATCATCAGCCTATCGGAGTCCACTGCTGGACATAGGGCTCTCCCATTGCACACCACTTAGATCGATTTTGGGATTCTCGCATCCAGCTCCTGCCAGCCATCTTGCGCAAATCGTCACTCCACCTGGCCTGTTGGCGTCCTACACTACGTTTGCCGAGACGTGGTCTCCATATAATATATAGATAAATTATACTCATGATGCTATTCTTATCACATAATTATTTGTCTTATACCCTCTATTGAACTCATCGCTATTGAGCCATACTCTTAGCAGTCAGGTGGTCAACTAATCACTTGACTTACTGACCTACTTTTTTTTTTACTGATTTACTATTTAAATAATTACAAGTATCAAAAGTAACATTCATCATACTATCAAAGGAGATTGAAAAGTAAAGAAATGCGATATTCATATCGTTATAGAAGATGAGACAGTTATGCGATAGAAAGAGACCTTCTCGGTGAATGTAACTGCAAACAGTATACAACCTGAATTACACTTAATTGCTTCAGAGCAAGAATCGCTATTAATTTATACTTATTTTAAGTTCTGTATTAGTCTGTTATGTATTCTGTGTATTTCTTTCCTGAAGCTCGAAGTACTCGTACATGTAGCAATTGCTACAATTAAGAGTTTGGTAATGTAGTTTTCTTAATCCCCAAGCAGTATTTACATCCTATAAGCACTTATTTTACAGTGCAACCGATTAAAGTTAATTTTTTAAATTCATATTTATCGAATAAAAGTAATCCGAGGCCCAAGTGTGAGTTTATTTCACATATTCTCGACCGTGACCGCTCGACGCTACGATTGGCCCGCACTGAAATCTTCACCAATCGCAACGCCAAACGCGCTCGCTGTCCAGAGCTAGTTGATGTAACATAATCTGATTCTGATTTTCAAACTATTAGTACGTGAAGCGAGTTCTTTGCACCATTTTTAAAGTAAATTTCCAATGCTTGCATTTTATATAAAGAGTAAAGGCGGCGATATATATACCACCAAATAAATTATGTCAATAGCTAATGAGTATAAAGATCTCGAACTTATCCTATGGCTTATGTTCCTTTGCTTACAATACAGATAAAAACATACTGGAACTTAATAAAAAACAATTATATTGGCCTAATGCCAATAAAATAGAATGATGTATTTACTAATATGTGTATGTCTCCACAGAACTTTTAGACAGTAATCAAGTTGTAAAACCAAAGAAGAAGCGAGGTCGACGGAAAAAGAACCCTGAATTGGCAGAGGTAAGCAGAATCGATGTTTTATTATCTTAATTAGTTCAACACGAGGCGAATAGCTTTAGTTTTGTGTGAGCTCCTAACAGTCTTTTAAATTAACACATGACATAAAAGAAGTTAAAAGTACAAATCATTAGATTGATTTATTCTTTTAATTTCTTTTATGTCATGTCTGTACAAAGTAGCAAAGTAGTTAGTATATAAACAGAGATGCTTTATTTAAATAAAGCATCTCTGTTTATACCTAAAAGCAAATTAATTAATATTAAATCACTATAAATTATTTCCTAAGTATGAAAATTATTGTGTATTTGTCTAACTTCCAGTCATATCTTGACCTGTTTCAATACCATAAAGGCTTTGCCGAATCTTAGAAACTATTAGAAGCAAGTATAAAGTAAGTTATACTTTTTCCTCTAAAATTTAGATTGAAGATAAAAATATTTAGATATATTCCGAGTTCTTTTCTTTAATCCTGTTATTGTATTTTTGTCAGAATGGAGTATGGGAAAATATGACGTCAGCACGGACGCAGCAGTGGTCGCGACGTGCCCGCTCGCCTCCAAAGCCCCCAGCCACTTCTCCTTCACCGCCATCCGAGCCTTCGCCACCTTCACCTCCACCGCCGCCAACGGATCCCTCCAGACCTTTCGTCTGCAGGCATTGTGGAATCGGATTTGCTAGAGAAAAAGCACTTCAATCACATGCTAGAGTACGTTTTTTATTACTTCATACCATTAGTTACGATATTCTAAGTAAGCCAGCGCAGTCACTGTTACCTAGTATCACAAATAAAATTTCTATAGGAATGAAAATTCCTTCCTTCCTTCATAATTCAAACTATCAAAATGGCCTGTCATATGATTGGAGGACTTTAGGTTCACGGTGGGGACTCCCCGGTGGAATGCGGAACATGCGGTGAGCTATGCTGGTCGCGCGAGGCGCTCAACACACACACGCAGCAGCGACACCCGCACTTGCCACCCAAGACTGAGTTGCAGGACCCGGACTACGACGATTCGGACTCAGGTAAGATGGGAAAGAAGTTCTATGGATTATCTTAATTAAACAGATGTCGAAGTAGGGAATATATCTAATGCTAAGAATCTTAGCAGGATCGTTAGTTAAGCATACTTTCTACGTATGATTGATAGCTGTGTTCAAATCTGTGTACTCTTGTAAATTAGACGTGGACCCGAAAGGACCGACGCTCCATACACCTTAAAGTAAGCGTCATATTCTGTATTTGCCTTTTAAAATATTACATATTATTAGTTGTGAAGTGAATTAGATACTCAGATCGAACTCTCGTGTGTTGTTTACATAATTCCAGTATACTTTTATAGTTGAGTAAACTAAGATGTTATGAAGTGTTCTTAAGTTAATATGCATCATCAGACGACGACATGGATTTCCGTCTATCGCCGCTGTCGCACGGTGGGGGCGGGGGTTCAGAGCGCGCCGTGTACGACACGATGCGAGGTCCGGAACTCTTCTGTCAAGATTGTGGAGTCGCTTTTCAGAGGGCAGACCTACTGCGGAGACATGTCGCGGCGGCCCATAGGTATATAAATCAGTTATTTGTGAGTCTCTCATTGGTAGGACAAAATCAAAAATTACATTTTTATGCTACTAAAGTTGCAAGTAAAATGTTTATAAAGCTGTACAAATACGGTTTTCCGGTAATGATCTCTGGTATTTAAACTCGACCCAAAAAATATTTTTGTATGAGATAGAGACCCGAAGCTTACATGTAGGGACGCTACGGACGCTAGAACGAAACGTTGCATTGCAAGAGCAACCCGAACGTATATGATCGACGGAAGTATCTTACTTATATTGACGGGGCGCACATTGGGTTTGTGATAGCTACAAGCGACACGACAGTACGAGCACGTGGGGCGAGCACACGTGCGACACGTGCGGCGAGAGCTTCAGCGACGCGCTGCAGCTGCTGGCGCACGCCGAGGGACACGCCGAGCGGCACCGCACGCCCGCCACGCACTCCTCGCACTCGGCGCCCAGGTACCAGCCATAAATATACACCTAACATATACAAATTTATGACTTTACCGCCTGAAAAATTTACTCCCAGTGAAAACAAAAACGATGCCTGTGCAGACCTTAATTTTCCCAATCATCAACAATCGATCATCGACTATGGTGATGTGTGTTACCTCGACCTGAATGCAGATCTGCTCAATAAATTAGACCGACTTCTCAACAATTGCATTCGGTTCATATTCCACCTGCGAAAGTACGATCATGTATCCGCTTATCGCAGGCAATTGTCATGGCTACCTATAAGACAGCGCCGCAGTTTGCGGGCGCTGACTATGTTGCACTCCCTTCTCCACACACCTACCTCACCTACTTACTTAACATCCCATCTGCAATATCTCTGCTCCAACCATGTCGGAAGCCTTCGATCCGCTGATGATTTCCTCCTTCTTTGTCCTTCACATAACTCCCGTATCGTACATTCTTCCTTCACTGTCCAAGCGGTAAATCTTTGGAACGCCCTTCCCCTAGAGATCAGGATATCCACCAAACGAACAACCTTTAAGATCAGAGTACTCAAGCTCTATGGAGACTTGTTGACGGAGTCATCAGAATAACCCCTCGTGTGTTCATTAATGCAGGCATATATGTATATATGTATGTGTGTGTGTTTATGTTTTTTATATTTATGGTATTATATAGTACGTATAAATTATATTTACATCTATATATGTATCCCCGTATATCTGTGTAGTATAACATCTTGCAACCGACTACAATTTAAATAATTTATCTCATTATACACCTGCCACAGACAAATCTCTGCATCACCCTAAGGTTGACTATAATAAAATGCCTATGGCATTAAGTCCGCCTTATGAAATGTATTTGCAGGAAGTATAAGTAAAAAAAAAAGAACAAATATATTTAGTATTAATAGTTAGGCTTCCACGCCTTAACTATTCAATCTATCAATAAGCGTTGACAGCAGAACAAAGAGCATGGAGAACCTTTCATTCGGAGAAGGAGTACTATTCCTTAGCGAAGTCTCGTTCAAAGGCGGTATGTAAAAACATTTTTTTATATAAAATAAAATTATTACAGGTTAAAGAGAACGTCCAAAGGTCGAAACAATGCGACAGTATCGAACAGTTCAAGGCAGTTTCCCTGCAGAGTTTGTGGTAAGCTATGTTTTTTGTTTAAATACAATATTGATACGAGTTACCATGTATCATCTACTGCATGACGTAAACTAATAGAGCAATCGCTCAATATAATTCCTTAGGATAAGGAAAACATAGCCTGTATCGCATTCATTGGTTTGCATTTGCTGGTCTAGTCTTAATTTACTAAAAGTGATTGGAGTATAAAAGAAGGAAGCCTAACTAAAAGCAAAATTGTAGGGATTCGAAGAGTTGACAAGGATCCTTAACTACTTAAAAGCTAACTTGTATGTGGGTGCAAATATATGATAGACACAAAATAAAAGTAGAAATAAAATACTTTCAAATTATCAGCTTTGCCCACAGTATGAAAGTTTAATGTATATTCTTGATGAATACGTGTAATAACTAGTAGTACTACCATACTTTTAAATAAGATCCATATTGATAAAAAAAAGTTAAATAGGTGATTTAACTTTTTTTTATTATATAACATGTTAATACAGTATCTAGATGTTATTAAAGTTAATAATAGTGCATAATTTTGTCTTCATAAATTCTATAGAAAACGACATGTCACAGGATATTATTATTTATTCATGTGTATTAGTGAACTATATAGATGAATTAATTATTAAAAAAAAAACAGTGGCACTCCGGGATTGCCGACAGAAGTGAAAACATGTGTTTTTTTTTTTTTCGATTTGATAAGTTCCGACATGAATATATATCGATGTTGTACGTATACCTATACACAAAATATATGTTTACATTACTGATTATATAGTTACATTATCAATGTATTTCAACCTAAGCTTACTCTCGTGTAAACGGGGCTTATATATGTAGATATTTATATACAGCGGTGTCGGTAACGGTACCAGTGTCACGAGTTCAATGGTTTTTTTTTCAATCTTAAAAATGAGATTTTTGTTAAATCATAAAATACATTCTTGTTGGTTGCTCAAAAATGCCCAACGCGCCTATAGATTTTAGACTCTTTAGTTTAGACATAGCTAAGGATTTCGTTGTACTTGTTCATTTTATTAAACGTCTTATTTATTTTGTCACAGGTAAAGTATTTGGATCTCGGAGCTCCCAACAAATCCACATACGAATACACACGGGGGAGCGGCCGTACGCATGTCGGTTTTGTTGGAAGGCATTTGCAGATGGCGGCACATTGAGGAAACATGAACGAATACACACAGGTTTTTTACATTTATTTTGTAAAGGTATCTTCGGGAGCCTTTATGTTGATCATTATATTCCCTATTTATAGATTAGGAAAATTCTGTTTAATTCTAAATGATTTGTATATTAATACCTGATGAAAATTCAGAGTACTCCTTTTTAAACAAAAGTGGATAGTACGAGGGCTGCTATTTATGTATGCGGAACTGGCCAGTTACAGAACAATATTAAAAAAGTAATATAACATTTTAAAACTGAACTCTTTGGCTGAAGAATACAATTTGTTTCACGTAACTGTCAGTTAATCATTTGTGGCGTCATTTTGAAAATTGCATGTCTTTATCACTATGGATTTAACTCGTCAAAATTTTCGTGTTATGATTTATTACGATTTTCGGCGAGGGCTAACTCAAAAACAGTGCATCGATCAACTCACTTCGACTTTTAGGGACAAAGACCATCAAAAACAACTGTGTATCACTGGTTTAGTGAGTTTAATCGAAGGCGGTCTGTGCTCACGGACGAGTTTAAAGAAGGTCGCCCTAAATCGGTTATTGTACCTCAAAATATTGATGCTGTGCGGAAACTAATAATGCAAGATCGTCATGTTACATATCGCGAGATAGAGGAGTCTCTGGGAATAAGTATGACGAGTATATATAAAATATTACACGAACATTGAGCTGTAAAATGAATTTTGTTCACGTTGGATTCCGCGACAAAATCGGGCTCGTGTCGATTGGTGTAAAAAAATGTTCCAAAAGTACAATCAGGGTGCGTCAAAAGCTGTCTATAATATCTGCACAGATGATGAATCTTAGATATATGCGTATGATCTTAACACTAAACAACAATCAACGGTTTGGGTATTCCAAGATGAGCCGAACCCAACAAAAGTCGTTCGTTCAAAAAGCACTTTGAAGCAAATGTCGATTATTTTTTGGTGTTAATGATAGTGGCACTGTAGCCACATATCCATGTGGCTAGTGCACTACAGGATCGTAAAACGGTTAATTCTAAATGATACACGACCATTTGTTTGCCACAAGACTTTGAAGAAATAACCAAGAACGAATCCTTCTTTATCATGACAATGCTAGCTGCCACACATCGGCCGAAACAACTCAGTATTTGGAAGATCAAAAGATCGAATTAATGGGTAATCCGCCGTACAGCCCTGACTTGGCCTCCAACAACAATAAAGAGGGCCCCCATCGACTTCTATTCATTCCCAACCGTGAAGAATAAATAACGTGGTCAACGTCTTTCGAACCGTAAAGAGGCTATTGATGCGTTCAAAATGCACGATTTAGGAGGTACCACAGTCAGAATGGAAAAGTGCTACGAAAATTGGTTCCAACGTATGCAAAAGTGCATCGATCATCACGGCGAATGTTTTGAAAAGCAATAAAACTATAATATAATAAATGCTATATGTTTTTTTCACTTTGTTATTCCGGATACATAAATAGCAGCCCTCGTATGATGGTGGACGATGGACCTACTTGTTTGAATAAATATGGGTATATATTGATAAAGCAAATAGTCAAATGAATTAAGTTCCAAATAATATTTGAATAGGTGAGAAACCATACGCGTGTGCGGTTTGTCCGCGCGCCTTCAACCAACGCGTGGTACTACGCGAACATGTGCGCTCACACCATTCCGCTCCCGACCGGCGAGCTAACGGTACGTTATCTCTGAGTACTCTACAGGATTATAACATTTATGCACTCACACGATAGTGAAATTTATATTGTTTTTGTGTTACGCATCTGTCGTTAAAGCGGAAACCGATATTTTCACTTTTTATTATTAAAATAATAATTCATTATCTTTGCGTAACGTAACGGTAGTAAATCGAATGTCATTGCCTAATATGTACTATATCACAAATAATCCAACCATTTTACCAACCGCATTATACTTAATATATCTCATAATGGATCATCGACAGCTCGATGATGGAAAAGTTTTGTTTGTTTTATCGTATAATTTCGTAAAAACATTATATAGTATTCTAATGTAGATGTTTTATGGTGCTAAAGCGTTAACTAGACTTTAGATTGAAAGCTCTGTGAAGCTAATAAAGTTGGAAAACTATAATTTCTCTTTAACATCTAGGTGGTCCTGCTTATTGTTGCGTAGTCTGCAGCCGGACGTTGCATTCTAGTGCTGAACTCGTTCAACATTTGATCCAACACTGTGACGCTAACACTGCTCTCAAGAGACAACCACAGGTGAACTGTTACATTACCTTTAAAATACACTGTTGTATACTAAACTTAAGGCCTAGGTTTTTATTGAATTTAATATGAATTGAATTTTATAAGGTATAGCCGCCTAGTAGTAAGTTGTTTGAAAATAGATTTATAATTATAAATTGTAAGAAATTGTGACATAGTTATATTATTATTTGAAAGGATAAATACAGGGTGTAAGGGACATCGTAACAATTTTTTTTTATAATTTGCCATTTTTTGGTTAAAAATGATGAAAAATGATATCACAATGAGAAAACAGACCATTTTAAGTAAAACATCTTAATAAAGACCGCATACGGTTGAAAACTGCCATGTAATTAAACAAGCAGCGAAAAGCGCGCGTCGTTGACTGTTTGCACGGAATGCAAATGTAGTTATTACTTCTGTGCGATATCTACAGGGAATGACCCTAACCTTTGACATCTGATTGCATAAAACGTTTATTTTCAGTATTCGTTACGAAGTCCCTTACACTCTGTATAGTATACATAGTTAAGAAGCGTGTACAACAGCTGTTGTACACGCTTTTTAACTATTATTTATACTATATCGGATGGACGCCTATAGCTATAGGCATCCATCCGATGACATGAATAGAAAAGAAGAATATCAATGCAACTATCGACGTACTAAATCAATTGTGACTTGAAATGTGATTTCAGACGGGACCACGAAAATACAAACGACGGCGGAAATTAAAGACCGAGCAGTCCCCGCCCTCGGTCCGGGAGTGGGCACAGTCGCCCACGCCGCCGCCCGTTACGCGCTCGCCCTCCCCCGCGTCGGAGTCGGACGCGGCCGCGTCTCCTCCGTCACCGGCGTCGCCAGCCCGGCGCCGGCGCAGGCGCGCCTCCCCGCCGCCCCGGCCGCGCATGATCCACACGGCCGAGAGGCCGCGCGCCGAGCGGCCCCGCGCCAAGCGCGGCGAGCGAGCACGCGCTCGCCGCCGGCCGCCGCGCCACCCCGCCGATGACCTGCGCGCCATCCGGCCGCGCGCCGAGCCCGAGGCGGGCGGGCCCTTCAAGTGCGAGATGTGCTCGCTGGAGTTCCCGCGCCGCGACGCGCTGCTGCTGCACGTGCCGGTGCACATCTGACGCCCGCCGCGGCCCCTCCGCTTGTCCTCCGATGGGCCAAACGTCGACTAGTGTGCCAGATCGTCCCGTCTACTACCGTACCGCAAATATAGGCCCGGCGTAGACTTTCGATCGTTCTGAACGTGCGGATGAATCTCCTCGGTACCTCTGTTAAAGAATATACTTTCGGTGTCCGACCTGGTGCCCTACGTTTTAGGATTAGACGGTAATGTAATACCTTCACATAGTGAATACATCGAGTGGAAAAACCATTACATTGTCCACCACAATCTTCGATCGATCTTAGCAGTTTATAATGTGAAATATTTAATTGTATAAAATATATAAGAAACCATTGTTCGACGTAAAGCATTATCTGAACGTAAACGAATCGTTGTTTCTCTGAGTTATTCTGTGCAATAGGTGTTTCTGATTTTTATTCATTAAAAGCCCTCACGTCGATCTATAATTTGAAATAAGTGAATTGGAACTGAGAATTAAAATTTAGAATCAACATGTGGAGGCTATATAATTATCATGGAGACGAAATGATGTCTTAATTACGCGGTTTTTGATTATATTGCATCTTTTCTAAGCGAGAAAATAAGAAAAAATATCTGTCCTTCTATACTTGTCTATACAGTAGTGGAATCCTATGCAAATGTGTTGTTTATATGTAATGTATGTTTTCTAAACATAACTGTGGCATTAGATGTTGAGATATTGTTGTATTATACTAATTGACTGATTTATTGATTAGTTGAATGTACATTTATTATTATTATGAGAGTGTATAAATATGTAGATAACATAATGCATAACAGTGATTTGTGACATTTTTGAAGTTTCATTGTTTAGTACAAATACTGTATGTTTTGGGGGCTTCTGTGGTTTTAATCTATATATTGTGATATAGACATTATGAACACTAATAATCGCATGATTGTGCCATGAAATGGTGATAACATGACTTTGAATCTTGAGACATACTTAAGAAAACAAGGCATATGTAATATTGTATTTATCTTCTATCTTAAGCAGTAAATTCATATAATGCTAGATATTATTATTTTGAAATCATTTTTGTTTTAATTCGTGTTATTTTTTTATTTAGTCCTGAAAGTCTTATTACATATTAAAATAATATTGTGCAATACATTCCCCAAAATGCATGGTAGTATGTATGCCTTTATGACATTTATGTAAGAATATTTGCTCTTTGTTTTAAAATGAGGATTATTAAAATGTACACATACTGAATAAAATGTTTATGTACTTTGAATATTATTGTTTTTACTTTGTTACAGGAAATCCCGTACATTGCAATAGTTTGGTTATTTGAACAACAATGTTAATTTTGTAGTGCTTCAGCTAAGGGCTAATCAAAGGAGAAACCCAGGCTGAAGATACGTCACCGGATATGGTGTGGATAGATATAATGTAGGAAGCTCAGATCAAATAAAACAGTTACGATGGTACTCTGTGAACAAAGAGGCTAATTAAAACTACGCATTAGCGTGTACATGCACAATTATACGCATACGTACAACGATACTACGCCTTGTCAGTCAAAACGTCATCAAAAATGTCAACATTATTTACTAGTAAAGATGCCGAATCGTGTTGTGAAAAGGTGTAAAAATCACACAACAAGAGTTAGATAGTAGGATGGAATCACACTTCAAAGTGTAGAAACCAATATTTTCAATAAATTAAAATTACGATGGCTATATGTTTATAAAACTGCCTCACTTCGTTCTTCTTGACTTTTATTTGATCTGAGGTAGGAAGCTATTATAATGATACCTTACACATAGAAAAATTAGTTTTTTTAGATACTGGACCAACATAATATGGTTCGATTAACGGCTGGATGTTGGGTTTGTGTAATGGACTGTTTTAGTATGAAAACCATGATGCTAAATGGAGATTTCCTCGAGCGTCATGGGGACATATTGCATTTGAAAGATTAGGTAATAGAATGAATACGCGCATACGCGGCTCTGCGGGCGTGGCAGGCACGGCTTGTAATCCTGGGATGTGCTAGCCAACGCGCCGTTGCCGGGCTTCGAAGCGTGGGTAGGTACGTTTGCTTCGGTGAGTATCTGAATCGAATTGGACGGGAGGTTACAGCACAATGCCACCATTGCGGGTCCGACCGGGACTCCGCCCAGCACACGCTGGAGGACTGCCCTGCATGGGAGTCCGAACGTCGAGTCTTGGTCGGACAGATCGGACGAAACCTGTCACCGCCAGCATTAATCGCGAATGACGAGGGATGGGCAGCCGCGGTCTCCTTCTGCTAGGATGTTATGCTCCAAAAGGAGGCCGCAGAGCGGGATCGGGAGAGGGCCGATCCCGCTCGAAGGAGGCGGCGAAGGGGACGCGGCAGGGGTCGCTAACTCCCCAATCGCCGCCTAAGAGTCGCTGCGGCCACATCTTGGGGCGATGTGACCGCTGTAAACGACCCAAGACAGATGACACTCCGGTGCGGCCGGAGGGGTGTCGTCTAAGGCGGGACGCCGTTGCGCCTTTTACTCCGTAGAGCAGTGAGAGGCGCGGTAGCGTCCTGCCTCAGGGTGACTACGGTCACTCCGGGATGTGCCTCAGACATGAGGTACAGCAGGGAGGACTCCAGAAGTCGCCGATGCGTTCCTGGAGCTCCTCCCGACTGCCGAGGTAGGCCGCCGCGGGGTTTAGTGGGTAGACCGGTTCTCCGGGAGTCCCACACACGCCCTACGTTTCCCCAACGGAGGGTATGGTGCAAAAAGCATTCCCCGCGTGAAAAAAAAAGAAAAAGGTAACAGAATTTCCCCTACTTGCAGCGGGAAAAGCTTCTACAGGTTATCAAAAGTGTAAGGGGAGCAAATCGACACGGGACCCTCTCATACCCGTTGACGCAGGTGATCACCGGGAAAGGATTCTACGGGGATCACCTGTGTCTGATCCGTAAGGAGCGCGAGCGCGTCAGATTTTAAAAATACAGACAGTTCAGCTCGATGTTCCTGTCCTACTAGCCGTAAATCTAACGATAATTCGGCTGGGTATTTCAAATCTGACGGTTGCAAGTATTTTGAGTTTTTACTTTCGTGATTTCTTTTTATCGTGCATATATCGTAAATATCTAGTACTAGTTACAGTTGTCTAGTACCCCTATTACAAGCTCTCAGCTTAGTTTGGGACTAGATGGCGTTGTGTGGTAGAATCAAAGAAATACAACCCAGAGAGAACAAGAGCCCCAATCTTGCAATATTGCCTAAATTGATAATGCCTGCGGAGAGATATGGATAATAGACAGTCCCCTCTATCTCTTTCTAGTCAAGCTCTGTGGTTGGCTGGAGAATATTAGGGATTTATAAGTAGCCAATCGTAGCTTAGCTAAACAGAGACCGAGGGAAATATAGGGCGGCCATCTCTCTCGTTGCCTGTATTGCTTCTACTTACATATATATTCAATATACTCTGTGTACTTACAGGCAGCTGTCCCCTTTTTCTCTCTATGCTTATATCTCAATTTGTCCATTCAGACACTCATGACAGGTATAAGGTCCAAATCAGTGTTGCCAATTTAAGTGATTTACGCTACTTATGAAACTACTGTGGTGATTTGGAATCAGATTTTTATTATATAGAGAATCTACCTGGTGAGTGGTAGAAAAATAAGTAAACTATTAGAATTAATACGAATATATTATACGGTTTTAGAAGGATGGCCCTATTATTGAAGTTTTACCAAAGCCATAACGTTCTTTAATGTAATTCTTACTTCTTTTTGTTCTTCGACATTGTTAGGATCTAAAAGAATAAGATATTTTAGGTGAGACAATTTTATTCCTGAGTAATATACTTTTTTTATATAATTTCATTACTATTAACTGGTTAACAATTCAGTCAGTCTTTTAAACGGGAACTTCAAAAAATGCTTTATACTTTAATTAAAAAGACTACACTTTGCATATATTTGAAAACTTTGTTAAAACAAGACCAGTTTTTTCACGCTACTTTTAGCGACTTGGACCAGTCTAGATCAGGTAACACTGGCTAGAGATGTTAAGGTCTGGAATTTTGTCAAATCCATTGAATAGGTTAGACAATTCGTGCGAATTGATTCCGAACCGAACCATTGAAATTGCAGTAAACCGCGTTTTGAACCGTATGACGAGTTGACGAACGAATGTAACACACGAAACTAATGTGCAACATAATTCGACGGTATCGATTAAATTGATTGGTTGTTTGTTGAGAGCTAAGGGCAATACAACAAACTACCCAGTCAAGTAACACGTTGCCGGCCTTTTAGGAAGGAGTACGCTCTTTTCTTGAAGGATTAAAGGTCGTATCAGTCCGGAAATACCGCAGATAATAACCCGTTCCAGAGATTGGTTGTGCGGGGCAAAAAGTGTCTCGAAAAGCGCACAGTTGTGGAGCGCCAACTATCCAGGTAATGAGGATGAAAATTTTGCCGAGTGGAAAGATGGCGGAAATTTGCGGCTGATATTAGTCCGAACAATTCTTCGGAGCACTCTCCATGATATATGCGATAGAGAATGCGGAGTGAAGCCACACGAGCTTCTTCGAGGCCAATTTGACCTTTCCCTCTAAGTGACCCCGAAACTGGACTTCGCTCGATATGTCGATGCCTAGGATTGCTCTTAAACTGAGGTGATACGACAAATGGTATCTTTTTTGAGGTGAACGTACATACCTGTGTCTTTTTTGGGTTAAACTGGACTAGATTTCATCATCACACACATCAACAGCCTTTAATAGTCCACTGCTGGACATAGGCCTCTCCTTAGAAAGAAGACTAGATTTAGTCGGCCCCAATCTAAAACCTCCGCTAACGAAGTCTCAATTTCAGACACAAGTTTGTTTCGACTCTCGATGACGTTTTCCCGAAAAATGTGGGGGCGGCCGGTATAAAGGGCATCGCCTGTGCTATCATCTGCATAGCAATGGATGCCACTAGTTTGCAACATGTGGTGACCCAATTACACAATATCTCGGGAAGCCCAAAGGAAGGGAGCTTCGAGAGAAGCGCCTTATGCCAGACCCGATCAAAGGCCTTCGTTATGTCTAAACCAACCGCACAAGCCTCTCCTTTGGTCTCGATCGCCTGTGCCCTCCGGTGTGTTAGAAAGACTAGAGGATCACCAGCTGAGCGACCCCAACGAAAACCATATTGTCAGTCATTGAGTAGCTGGTGATCATCCAAGTACCGGAGGAGCTGGCTGTTGATTATGGATTCCATAATCTTAGAGAACAAAGGAGTTATGGCTATGGGCCTGTAGTTGGACGGGTCAGAGCGGTCACCTTTTTTAGGGATCGCGTGCACAAACGCTACCTTCCAGGAGTTCGGGACGATGCCTTGGGAGTAGGAGAGACGAAAAAGGCGCGTTAAAACCGGTGCCAACTCCGGAGCACACGTCTTCAACACGATAGGAGAAATTCTAAATCAGAACGATTAGTGAATCCGTTTATTTATTAAATTATTATTAAGCTACGCTCGCCAATTATTATTATCATATTTTTGAAGGAACATAAGAATATAGTTTGTGCTTGTAGGTAAATTGATAAAGATGTAGTGTAGTGTCGCGTCGTCTCGATTAAGAAATAGTTGGTAGACAAATAATTTTGGTTCAGTCGGTAAAGCACGAGCTGTGAACGCGATGGTACGACGGGAAGTGCAGCGCGATCTTATGAAACGCTCGCATACCGATTCAACTCGGTTCATACTCATACCGATTTAAATCGGTTGAAAAGTCGAGTCGTCACACCGCTAACACTGGTATAATTTGTGAGTTGACAGCGATTTCTCTCACTTATATACAAAATAATTTATTTATTTTCTAACATAATATCGTTAAGTTGAGACCAACGTCATGCAATAAGTAGTAGAAAAAATATTATTGCTGTTGAGTGATATAATATTGTGATATATTGGTTCTCGTAGGTTATCAGTGTTATCAGTTACAGAACAAAGTTCGATATGGCTGCTCTAAAGAGAACAAAAAATATAAATATCTTAACTGTGCTAACACAGAAGTATCAGCCACATATTACTGCAAGAAGAAACTTGAATCTGCAAGAATTTAGCAGTAAGGACTTACTGAAAAAATATAATGTTACAGTCCAAGACTTCCGTGTCTTAGATTCTAAATTAGACCCAAAACAGATATCGGATTTTAAAGCTGATGAGTACGTAGTTAAGGCACAAATTTTAGCTGGCGGAAGAGGTAAAGGTCATTTTGATAATGGTTTTAAAGGAGGTGTACATCTAACTAAAAACCGCAATGAAATCATAAATTTAGCACAAAACATGATTGGCAATAAATTAATTACTAAACAAACACCTAAAGAAGGTATTGTTGTGAATAAAGTGATGGTGGCAGAAAGTGTAAATATTGTTAGAGAAACATACTTCAGTATTGTGATGGAAAGGATATACAATGGTCCTGCCATTGTTGCATCTCCTGCTGGTGGCATGGATATCGAGGCAGTGGCAGAAAAGACTCCTCACTTGTTGAAAGCAATTCCAATTGACATACATGAAGGTGTAACCGATAAAATTGCAGATGAGGTAGCTGATTTCTTAGAGTTCAAAGGACCATTGAGAAAAAAATGTGCCGAGGAGATAAAAAAATTATGGCAGTTGTTTAAGCAGGTATTTGAGATAAAAACATTTTAACTGATAAGTATTTGTAGTATAAAGAAAATAAAATAAACTATTACACAAGAAAATTTATTTTTAATTAGAGAGTTCATTTGAAGGGCAAGTTAATGTGTATATCTATTTTGCTTTTATAAACATAGTTGCACTTTTTATTCTCTTAGATTTCAATGTCTTGTATTAACATTTATTGTGTTAAAGGTAGACGCAACTCAACTGGAAATTAATCCATTAGTTGAAACAGATGATGGAAGAGTTGTTTCTGTAGATGCTAAGATCAATTTTGATGACTGCGCCAAATTCAGACAGGAAGAGATTTTTGCTCTTGATGATGTATCAGAAACAGATCCCCAAGAAGTAAGTAATTATTTAAAAAATATAATTAATTACAATACCTGCACCACATATCACATCACACATACAAATCATAGCTAACATTGATATTGCAAAATATCTGTTATCTGTAATTGGTAGGCCCTGCTGCTATCTTTCTGTGAAGCTGTAATGCTCCAGAAAGAGACTGTGAAAGGGATCCGGAGCGTAGAGGACCGCGGGCTGCCAAAGAGTGTTGACCTCTGGTGGCAGATTGAATGCTGCGGTAGGGGGAATTGCCTGATTGCATTAAGACGAAATTGGCCCCCCACGTCGGGATTGAGGGGGGGTATAGTTTTCCCCTGGGATAGGGCCTGATTAGGCATGGTGTCAATTCGGGGAGGACCTGAAATAACATGGTCCAGGGCACCTGAGGCCACGTTGGGGTGGTTGTTAGTAGAATCACCACATACTCCTGGGTCCTGAGTCTCCGAGGAGCAGGAGATTCGAAGAGATTTTCCACCCCGTCAGAAAAAAAAGGCACTGCTGCTAAAAATATAAGTAAAATAGTGGTAGTTGTTACTGATCCTCACTGCTAAGAAAGAGGTTTTGGTTGGTAATAATTGCATGATAAGCACAATCATCTTCTCTGTGTCTAGAATATGTATATATAACGAATACTGAAATAGTGTATTCAGACCATCATACTGAGTTGAAAATCATTGGCATTTTCGCCAGGAAACTTAAACTTTCTATGCAATCAGCTGTCATAGGTACACAAAAGTAATAACTACATGTGTATTCCGTAAGTACAATCTACGCACACTAACACAAGTTGGCGGCCGGAGGGGAGGCCCCGCGCGTTTCGGCTGTTTGATTAATTACATTGCAGTTTTTCACTGTATGCGGTATTTATTTCTGTAAAATGTTCTCTTTACTCATTATGATACATTTTTCATCATTTTTAAGCCAAAAATGTAAAATTATTAAAAAAATTGATGATTTTGCCGGCGGCAAACTTCAATGATTTTTGTCTCAGAATCATGGTCTGAATACACTATTTCAGTATTCGTTACGACGTCCATTACACCCTATAAGAATGGTATAAGGTATAAGAATGGTTATCGTTTATCAAAAGTCTGAATACTATCACAGGCTCCGCCTAATTTGGGCTTAGATGGCCATATGTGAGATGTGTGAAGTTATTATTATTACTGAGACTGTGACAATATTGATTGCCATGACGCTTTTTTTACGCGCTGAAACGGGATGACGCTGGGTATAAAATATTACACACAGGTCGCTTCTCTCTTTATTGTGCCTGTCTATGGTCCTGGATTTACTTCGGTTTAGAGAGGTGCGCGTATAATTTGACGCCTACTCAGACATGTTTCAGCGGAGATGCCTGTACGTACGTACTCGAAAGCGCTCTCTGGACGAACGTAAGGCGCGTGATACCACGATACGTGACGCGATCACGATTAAGATCGCCGGCGCATGCGCTTTTCTCAAATTAAGCACATACTCGACACTCGAGATCCCCAACCTACTCCTAATGGGAACTTCCTGATGCAACCGTTCACCCTTGGTAGCTGCGTCTGCGGGTAAGAGAACTTGCCCCTTCTCTATCCAATAATTCATATCGTCAAGATAGTGACGTGCCCATATGAAGGATGGATATGGAAAATCCATCAGATTCTTCTGCTCGGTTGCCCACGACACGGGCTTTAGTTCTCACTCGAGGATCTCTTCTCTATATTGAATTTAGTTTGAGTTTAGTTTTAGAAGTTATTTTTAATTAATGAAATATTCTTCTTTTATTTCTTTCATGAACACTCATCTTTATTATGCAAAAATAAAGATGATTGCTTGTGAAATAAATTGCCAGTTATTAAGGCGCATCTAAACAGCTGGCGAAGTGGGACGCTGTAATTTAATAGTTAATATAGATGTTTCCGTTCTGTAACCATTTAATGTATCAAACAGTGATAGTGACGGACTAATGGCATATCAATTTAATAAAAATAACGTCAAAGCACGGCAAATTGACTAATTTTAGACCTAGAGCTGGGCGCACTATCTTTTTATAGTTTGTACGATTCCGGACAACCTATAAGGAAATCCATTCATCACGTGTACGTCAAAACAAGGCATTTAAAATAAGTGATTTGTGCATATACTTTTTTATACTTCCGATGCAGTTGCTATATACTACAATTTAGTAATTTTTTTAGTACAAATATTAATAATCGTTAATACAACATAATATGTTATACGTTTCAATATAAACAAACCAATGGTGCTAATGTCTGTTTAATCTTCGACGCGGTGGCATTACAAAAGCTATAATTAAAAGTCTATAATGAGAGATGAAAGTACCTACTCGGTCGCTTCGAATAAAACACTGCACTTAATAGGATTATAACGATGCTTGGAATGTTCCCTGTAGCATATTACACATTTAACATATAACACATTTAACTACTTGGTACTGATACACAGAAAATTCAGTGATAGGGAATCACTGTGAAACTTAGGTTTTTAGCTATCATTTTTCTACTAAAATTGAGTTTGTCTTTATTGAACTTTATTGTACAATAACAAACTATGTAGAAATAATTGATTATTGTAGTTTTAAATAATAGCGTTTATATTTAAGTGGTGGTGTCGCGGCGTCGCCGGAACGTTTTTGTTCGTCACTTTGGCCGACCATCTCATCAATCATGGTTAATAGGATTCGCAAATGTTCGAAATTTTTTCCACAATTTATAATGATAATAGATTCTTCTCTTTTTTTTAAGTCGTTTAGAAATTGATTATTAGTTTTTGATAATATCTATCTATCTAAATTATGACAGATGCGAGATTATGAATGTTCAAAACTTCAAAACTTTGTTGCCTATCTTTGAAGTTGCCTATTCTTTATACTGGCTAGTACTAATATTAGTTGAAAATCGATCTCTTCTAGTTTTAGTGTAGTTTACGTTGTTGTTAACAAAATTCACATTAACTTAAATTTTGTTTAAAGTGGAATCACTAAAATTTCACATGCAGTACATTGCTTTACGTGAACTTGAAAATATGAAAAAGATTGAAACGCGGGTAGCATAGGTACGAATTAGATATTGTTTTTCATTTTGAATTTTATTTTAGAGAGAAGCTGCAGCCAACAATCTCGTTTATATAGACCTGGATGGAAGCGTGGGATGCATGGTGAATGGTGCCGGCCTGGCTATGGCAACTCTTGACATTATTAACCTGAATGGAGGGAAACCCGCCAATTTCTTAGATCTTGGTGGTGGTGTTGGCCAGAAGCAAGTCACAGCTGCCATGAAAATATTAGAAGCAGACCCTAAAGTAAAATCAATTTTCGTCAATGTTTTTGCTGGTGAGTAGATGATAAAATTTAAAATTCATTTTGTAAATAAAATTTTGTAAATATATTAACATACTTACTAATGTATGAACATTCCTCTCCACAGGTATAATCAACTGTGTTACCATAGCAAAAGGAATAATCGACGCCCTTAAGGAAAATCCTACAAAACGGCCAATCGTTATGAGACTTGTGGGCACCAACTCTGAGCCAGCTAGAAAACTCCTTCTTGAATCCAAGATTCCTATGGAGATTATTAATGATATCGACGAAGCGGCAAAAGTAGCGGTGAAATATGCAAAATAGTCTTGCCATTACTTAAGAAAATTATTGTAAAATTCTACGACCCTATAAATAATATAAATGTATATTTAATGTGCTTTGACACTTTGATAGGGCAAATGTAGAATATGGTGAATAGAGCGCGTTACTTAACTGTTTGGTACATATTGGGTACATCATGAGATTCACCTTCATTGCTATTTAGGTTAGGCTTTAGTATATTACAAATCAAAGGCATCTTTGTACCTACTTGTTAATAAGTTTGTAATTACAAAATTAAAGTGATTTCATAAATCGCAAATATGTTTTAATATAACATGACTGCTACGTCCAAATATATTTTAAATAAAATAAGATTTTATAAGGCAACTAGCTGCGCACTGCGGTATTACTCCGGTATATCAAATATATTTCAATTCCTTGTTCATCTCATGGGAACACTAAATTTTTCCGGAATATAAAGTAGCCTAGCTACCTTCATACCAAATTTTATCAAAATTGGTGCTGCCCTTTGATCACGAAGAAACGAAGAAATAACAAATATACAAACACACACACAAACTTTCGCCGTGGGTGGGTGTGATACCTACATCTCTGTCGCCTTGCCTATTAAAAGATGACAATGATCAATCAACGTCAAGATAGACAGCTGATGTGAAAAGAAAGACAATGACGGTGCAGAAAAAAAAATGAGTGTGATTTAGACCACACGACTAAAGTAAAACTTCTTGGCTATGAGAGAAAGGAAAAGAAAAAGTGTTCTCGCACCTCCACATTTACGAAACGTAACTCTCTCTCTTTCTATCTTCACTCGCCCGATCACACCTTTCGTAACGCTCTCGTGACGCTTTCACCAGCTTACTCCTAAGTCAAGCGTACCTAAAGAAGTTTTACTTCAAAAAGCTAAAAGCTGAGAAGTAACTAGGTAGGTCCTAGACAACAGTCACCATACCATCCTCCTCGTCAATAAATTTTGAAATAATTTGATGAGGTAATTTCATAATGAAACAGGTTAAATTTTAAAATAAATTGCGATTAAAAGCGACCATGAATAAAGAATGTTACAGTCGAAACTTTTTTCTTTTTTTTTTTTCTGTGCGGAAATCCCTTCCGATATCCATGGTCCATCGAATAGGGGGCGGGGACTTCCCCAAGTCCCTCGCCCCTGGACCCATTCATGGGGGCCGGAAAAGGGCGTTGTCCGCCCTTCTTCTGCGCCCGGTGCGCCTTCTGCGGCCGCGGATCGGAGTCGAGATCTCCCTCTGCCGTTTCGTAGTTTCATTCTGCGACATCACGTCCTCGCAGAAGGACACCACCGCGTCCCACGACTCTGCGCTACCGACCATCCTCCGCACTACGGCCGGCAGCGACAGATCGCCTCCTACTTCATTTGTGAGGACACCTCCCAAGCTACACAACTCGGCGAGCGTGTGTTGAGCCGTGTCCTCCCCGCAATGGACACAGTGGTGGCACCGAGCGTCCGGCTCCTTGTCTATGCGGCACAGGTACTTGCCGAAGCAGCCGTGCCCCGACAGCACCTGCGTCACCCTAAACGACAGGGAGCCGTGCCTTCTCCCGAGCCAGTCGTCGAGTACTGGCCGGATCGTCTCGACGGTAGCGAGGCCGGCGGTAGGGCGCAGAAGCCTTTGCCGCCATTCCGCCACCAAGGCCTGACGGAGCTCCTCTCGGCGCAGCGCGATCTGCCGCTGCACCAGCAGGCCTCGCTGCAGGCCTCGGGCCATCGATATAATGACGCGAGTACTTTCGCCTCCAGATCCCAGGGCGGGAATCCGGCCAGGACGCAAGCCGCCTCGTAGGAAATCGTGCGATACCCGCGGACGACTCTGATGGCCATCGTCCTCTGCGGTTTGCGCAGAATGGCAAGAGTGCTGGCCGTCATGTCCATCGCCCACACAGGGACCCCATACAGGGCCATGGACCGCACGATTCCCACGTACAACCGCCTACTGGCGGCGCTCGGGCCCCCCAAGTTGGGAAGCAATGTTGAAAGCGCGCCCGCTGCACCCATCAGCTTGGGCGCCAGCCGCCGAAAGTGGGGCCCGAATTCCCATCGGCTGTAGAGCACCAATCCCAGATACTTCATGGTGGACTCGACAGCTTTCCGGGCCCCGCTGACCACGATGTGTGATCCCGGCGCCGGCGCACGTCGGGGGCCATGAAACACCATGGCCTCCGACTTGTTTAGGGCCACCTCCAGGCCCAGGCGCCGGATGCGGTTCACCACCTGTGACACTGCAGCCGTGGCTATAAACGTCGCCTCCCTGTGCGAGCTCCCTCGGGCAGTGACAAGCGTGTCGTCCGCATAACACGTCAAGTCGGCGCCCGACGGGAGCTCGCCTCTCAGCACCCAGTCGTAGCTGATGTTCCACAGGAGCGGTCCCAAGACCGATCCCTGTGAAACACCGCACGACATGAGGTGCCGACCGGCACCGTCACGTCCCCGATAGGTGACGCATCTATCCTCCAGATAAGCCCCTACCGTACGGCGGAGGCAGGGAGGCACGCGATGGTATTTCAGAGCCTCCCAAATACAACTCCAGGGTAGGGTGTTGAATGCATTGGAGATGTCTAAAGACACCGCCAGCACCACCCCACCCCGGGACACCGTCTCCTCCGCCAGGGCCCTAACGTTGGTAGCTGGCCCAACTACACTTTTGCCACTATACTTCAGCCATCTTCACTCCTGAGTAAGACAACTGACTTGTGAGTCACAAATTTGAATTAGTCAAAATATATGACTACTCTTCTGCACAGAAATATCTAAACACAACAACAACTGCACAAAAATGTCTTACTCAAGAGTGAAATTGGCTGAAGTGTAGTTGGGCCAGCTACCAACGTTGCCGAACCACTTCTTACCAGTTAATATGAGGTGTCGTTCGCGTGTTGGTTTTGACACGAAACTATTTCATATTAATAGTCGTTAAAAATTAGAAAATATTTTTTTAATGTTATTTTGGTATTTGATTGATGACACGAGAAGTCAGATTACACAGTTTTTTATGTTTAATATGAATGTAATGAAATATAAAAGGTTGATCGATTATTGTTATTACAGTATTGATTCAGTATGCTTTATACAGTATTTGGTCTTTATTAGTGATGAACAAATGCCATGAACATCGGTGCTCCACGGAAACAAAACACATATGCTCCACGTATACCCCGAATTACTCATAACATAATTGGCCGGTACAGGTAAAGGAACTGTTTTGAATCTGTCTGTGTTTAACTCCTCATACACAATTTAGAATAAGCAAAAAGCTGGTAAACCTTGGCAAATACTAAACGCAATTGAAACTACGAAAGTGATGATTTGTCTAATGCCAATGTTTCAAAAGCATGTGTTGCCAACACAGTTCCTTTGGCCCAGATTCCAGGGAAAATAAATAAAATAATTAAAAAGAAAAGTCAGCACTGTGACTCCTAAGTTGCAGGCGTTCATGAACGCCAACCCCGTTGTCACTTTCCATCAGGTGACCCGTCTGCTCGTCTGCCCCCTCTAACAAAAAAAATGAAGATCTTGCATACCTAATCCGCTTTCATTCTCTCGTTAAAATTGCTTCATACCGATGTAATACTCATGAATTAATTATTATTGTAAAGGTTGCCTGTAAAAAATTGTTTTTTTAGCGATGAGGCCCCCTATTGTACCTACATGTTTATTAATTTGATGTATTCTTGTAAGGAAACAAAAGGTTGTTAATACAATAAAGACTAATCTATTCTTTGCTCACCTAATTAATTTTACTTTTTAGAAAAAATAGTTACCATCATTTTAAAGTTAAAAGGGGACATCCAGTTCATGAGCTGTTAACATTGGAAAAACTGTCACAAGCACAGAACATATATACCCCTAAAGGGGAAGAATAACGACTCCATACTATTTTTATGAGGAAATTTTTCCTTACCGGCCGGCGCCATCTATGCTCCGCCCACCAAAACTAGACAGTAGAAGCTAGGGCGGGAATTTCAAAACAGATACTTTGTATTGCATTTTATGCACAAGTACAGTGCGTTTCTCGATAGTGTTCATCAAGATGGTCAATTATTTCTCAGCAAAAACAATTGACATCTAAACGACATCACTATCGAGAAACACACTGTACTTGTGCATAAAATGCTGAAAGCAATATTTATGGAACAGTGTAATAAAAGAAACATTAGTATTTGACTTTTTTATTTAGCATAATATTCATTATAATTTATCAGATATTCATATTATAAGCAACTATATACTAATTTTACATGAATAAATGTGTTTTTGGATTATATATTCATTTGGGACAAAAGGTGTTCACAAGTATGTGTATGTAATTTTTTTGCGTGTGTTGTGGCCACCCTCTAGTGTCAGAGCTTATTAAGTCGCCTCTGGGAATCCCACAGGCCTCTGACATGGCGTGTATGTAATGATAATTAATCACAAAATTTGTCGCTTAATCTAAACACAAATTAAACATAATATTCTAAAAATGAGATAATACATACAATTTGAAAATACAGCAAGCATCTTCGACCATATGGTCTATTGCATACAATTTTAACATCAAAAAGCTAGACAAGGTCAAACACAAGTTTACACTTTACAGACATATATCATAATATTATATAATATGTATTATTTCAGTTTAATAAAATAAATAAAGAAATGGTTAACAAGAGAGATACTTATTATTTTTGTTGAAGGTAGACAGATCTGACCAATTTAGCTACACTATCGTCCATTAATAAAACAAGTTGTAAAATAATAAATAAAGCATAATCAGCCTATAATGAAATGAAATGATATTTATTTCTGTAAGTAAATCTTTTCAGATATTTTTACAAGTCGGACTTTATAGAAGGAGCCGGCATTTCCTAAGACTCACTCTGGGAAGAAACACCGAAACAAACCACAGAGGTGTCTTTTTTTTTTAAGTCCGTAAACAAAGTTAATTAAAACTGTGCGAGTACAGTATAGGGTCTGGATAGGCCTTTTGAGGAAAGGATCATAGTTTTGAGTC